CATTGCAGGTAATGGTACTCAAGGATATAATGGCGACTATATGTTGGCCACCTCTGCTTCCTTATATTATCCTTCGGATGTTGCTGTTGGTCCAAGTGGAGAAGTTGTCATTGCTGACACCAACAACAACAGACTAAGAATTGTTTTTACCAATGGAACAATTATTACTCTTGCTGGTAATGGCTTGCAAGCCTTTTCAGGAGACGGAGGTTTAGCCAATGCTGCTTCACTGGCTGGACCCACTGGCATTATTTTCGTCAAAGACGGTATTCTTATTGCCGACGCTTTCAATGCAAAAGTTAGAAAGCTTCAAACGAAATGTTTTGGTGTCTTGAAAAACGCATGTAATGGTCATGGTTATTGCGTAGCAACAGATACATGTGTTTGTGATTCTGGGTACACCTTTGGTCCAACATGTCTTTCGAGTACTCCTACAATTTATACTTTAGCAGGAGGTAATGGTGAGTTTGTGGATCCACAAAAACTTGGAGTTCTCTCCACTGGTGAAGTCATTGTTTCAGATGCCAATGGAAATGCCATCAAGAAGATCCATTTGGATGGCAAGGTCACCACAATTGCTGGCAATGGTGTTGCTGGTTTCAGCGGAGATAATGGTCCAGCTTCTCAAGCTTTATTGAATCGTCCTTATGGTATTGTTATTTCTCCATCAGATGAAATATTCATTGCAGACAGCAGAAACCATAGAATTCGAAAGATTGATGTGAACGGTACAATTTCAACAGTTGTAGGAAATGGAGTCAGTGGATTCAGTGGAGATGAAGGTCTTGCCACTTCATGTTCTCTCAACACTCCAATGGATGTTGCGTTGTCTTCTTCAGGTGAACTCTACATTGCCGACATGTACAACTACAGAATCAGAAAAGTATATTTGAATGGAACCATCAACACTGTGATTGGTTCTGGTGCTTCTGGATATATAGGTGATGGTGGTCTTGCAATTAATGCTGCCCTTGCTCTCATTTATGGTGTTACTGTCACATCCAATGGAGAAGTTTACATTTCTGATTCATTCAACTTTAAAGTTCGAAAAGTCGACACCAATGGAATCATCACAACCGTTGCTGGTAATGGTGTTCAGGGATACAATGCAGACAACATTTTAGCCACCTCTGCTTCCTTATATTATCCTTCGGATGTTGCTGTACTTCCAACTGGTGAAATGTTGATTGCTGATGCCAACAACTATAGGGTCAGAATTGTCTTTCCAAACAACACTATTACAACACTTGCTGGAACTGGTGTCCAAGGTTTTAGTGGAGATTATGGTTTGTCCACTTTGGCACAAATCTCTGCACCAACAGGTTTAATTCTTACCAACCAAGGTATTATATTTGCTGATGCATTTAACGCACGAGTTCGAGTTCTTACTGATGGAAATGGTCTCAAATGTTTCGGAAAATTTGCCAGAGATCCAAAAGTTTGTTCAGGACATGGTATTTGTGCTACAAAGGATTCTTGCCAATGTTTGCCTGGTTGGAGTGGACCAAGTTGTGATCAAGCAAGTTGTGTTGCACCTGAAATGGGAATCACTGTTCCATGTTCTGGTCAAGGAACCTGTGTCAATAATACTTGTGCATGTTTACCAAACGTGTATGGTCCTTTATGCTTCATTAATACCCGAATTGAAGCTCCTTCATATGTAGCTCCAGTTTATGGCTATCAAGCTGCTGCGAATGTGCAAGTGTCTCCTTTTATCAACCAAACCTATAGTATCAATTATAATTGGTATCAAACTTCTGGTCCTGTGATTTCTAATCTTGCTTCTATTGCAACTAATGGACTGAATAGTCCAACATTGCTTCTTCCATTCAGATTCAATAATTTGGCACTTGTGAATGGACTGGTAGCAGGTAACACGTATGGTTTTAGCCTTAATACTACAGTTGTATTCTCCTCTGCCACAGTAACCATCAAGAATGACGTTTCTGTGTTAGTTCAACTTGATCCAACTTTAACTTTTACCTTACAAGATGCAAAGACCAATCAAAGTATTACATCTGGAACTGCCGGACAAACAATCTTCAAAATCACAATTACAAGCAATTCTAATCCTTACAGCGACACAGACATCCAATATGGATTTGGTTATTATGATTTAACAGGTATCATTATTTTGACACCATTATCACCTGCTCCTGCTACATTCACATTACCATACCTCTCAGGAGGCTCAGCTGATTTATACGTTGGTACCTTTGGATCAAAAACTATGAGTGTTCAAAAGTTGACCACTATATCCCTTTCCAGTCCAATCAATAATTTACCTACAGATCAAGCTTTAAATGTCATCCAAAATATCATCTCTCCAAATTCATCTGTGAGCGATATTTTGAGTGCATCCTCTCTTTTGAACACTCTTTCAACTACCAATGCCACTGAAATTGCAAAGAAGAGTGCAATGAGAACGAGCATCATTCAGAGTATTTCCAACATGGTTGGTACCATGGAAATCAATACTGCCTTCAAAACACTTTCCTCTGCCACTCAGGTCCCAAGTGAGCTCAGTCCAAGTACTTCTAATTTGGTCATGGACACTTTGGTATCCACCACTCAAGCAGGTCAATTTAATAGAAATTATCTTCCTTCACTTGTCGGTGTTGCTTCTAACACAATTCTCTCATCATCCTCCAACAAGACAGGTGTATTGATACATTCCGCAGCCAAAGCTCTCATTCCATCATTGGCGAGCTCCGAAGTTATTTCTTCGACAAGCACAAACTTGGATGTTGCGTATTTCCAATCTCCAAACTCAAAGGTTAATATTGGAGGTCAAAATTCAATGGAGCTGATACAAAGACAACGATTTAATTTGGGATGTTATTTTATTAACGATTTAGATGAAAGAGGAAAATGCCTTTTTGGAGGTTTTTTTACTTATCCTCAGACACAAAAATCCTCGAGAGCTGTTATTTCTGGTAATTACAGAATTGTTTCCAAGATTGTTGATTTTAATGCATATTATGCAAATGGTTCACTGGCAACAAACTTCACTATGGGTGGAACTATACGTTTAGGATTTCTTTTCAGTTCTTCTTCTGGTTATGTTCCAATTTGTGCCACATTTGATCCAATCTCGAACACTTTCAACACAAACGCTAAAATCACAACAACAGTGGTTAACTCAACATTTGTCTATTGTGACACCAACAATGCCAAGGGAAATGCATTGTTGTTACAACAAGCAACACCCAGTTCTCCACAGAAATCTGCAAGAACATCTGGACGTGTCTCAATTGCCACAAGTAGATTCCAGTTGAATTATTATGCAATTGCAACAACCACTGCTCTACTCCTAATGTCTATCATTTTATTGTAAACTGGAAACTCAAATAAATTCTATTTCATTGCTCTCCCAGCGATTATGAAACATCAAATGAAATGTGTGTGTCACAGCCAATACGGACCATGAATAATTTAATATGCTTATTCCTCGTCATACCACTCGTCATTGCACTCCACTTCCTCCTCATTCAACATTAAATGGACCTTGCGATTTTCCCACAACAAAGTCACTTCAATGTCAGAGAATTTTCCATTTCTCGATTCTGAATTAACATGGAAGGTGTGTTTTCCCTTTGGGAACGTTAGACATGTGCCTGTAAAAACATATAGTCCATTACTTTTAACATCCAAATCATCACAAACCAATTCCAAATAAGTACTATATTTTAACATGTCATTATGAACCATTCTCAAAGCAACAAGTACTTGGCAAGCCTCGCCAAGAGTCAAAGAAAATTTTTGAGTAAGAATTTTGGTTCCAGTCTCTTCATCTTCTGTCACAAGATCCTTATCATCATGAACAAGAATTTGTTTGTAGATTGGAAAAGTTGAGGATTTGTGAATGGCATGTAAAAGATTTCGATCGAATTTGAATCCAAATGCATTCTCTTCCTTGTACAAGTAATCAATGTTAGTGAGATGGCCAATAGCCATTGTACGAAAATTGTCAATGACATCATCTAAGGAAATCCAAAAAACACCATCGTCAGGATCCAATACTTGTTTTTTTCTTCTCCCTCTCGAAGAATTTCCTATATCACTGGCAGTGTCCTCATTGAGTGGCAAAAGTCCTGTGTTTGCACATAATTGCTGAATCAGAGAAAATGTTTCAAGACTGCTTGTGTTGTTCAATTCTCTTCGAACTTGATCGGTCATTTGAGGAGAAACATCAGACCAGTCACCTTTCCACTCCGTGTTTCCCCATGGATTTCTCAATTTGACCAATTGATGACCCTTATATTCACGTGCATCCACAAGTGCATAATAATGGCCTCCAACAATACCTGTTTCTGAAACAAACTCGTCTCCCAATCCAGAATGATCTTCAGTGGCGAAACCAATCATGTTACCATTGTTAAAAGCAGTCAAAATGCATTCCCAAATTTCATCTCGTGACAATCCACCACCCCCATCAACATCTTCAATTTCTTCTTCACATTCCTCTTCATTTTGATCGTCTTCTTCATATTCTTCTTCATTGTCATCATCATCATCCTGTTGTGTACGTAATGCTTGATAATCTTCATGCTTACAATTCTTTAACAATTCGAATTGAGGCACACATCCAGTAAACAGATAAATACCCAATGTACCATCGCCTCCTTCGACCTTTGAGTAACTTCCAAACAATTTAGCAATAGCTTTTTCAACAATGGTAGGCCATAGTTCATTGGGGTTTTTAGATCGAACGACCATGGGTTCTCCTTCACTCGTGACAGGCACATAATCATCCACAGTAACATTTTTCCATTCATTTCTCCAAAATAATCTCAAAGTATATTGACCCATGGAAATATTGAAACGAACAAAGAGATGAGCAATTAAATGAGGAAATCTTGCAACTGCTGCCAATGAGCTCAATAACCAGCAATCTCCAAATTGTCCTTGAATAATATCTGAAATATCAATACCATCAATGATTAATTGTGGATTTTCACACAATTCCGATGCTCGTTTGAATGAACCATAATTATTTTCTTTCATTTTCTTTTTGGAATGACCCAAAGATGTTTCATTGGGTGGAAATTCCGAATCGGTAAATGGTTCATTCAGTACAGTAGTACCTGGTTGGAATAATGATGATGAGTATTGTGGATTGTGTTGTTGTTGTTGTTGTTGAGAATGTTGATCAACAATTAATTGTTGTCCATAATACGACGGTGGAGTCGTCCATGACACAGGTTGTGATTGTTGAGGTGAGAATTGTTGTACATGAGGAGGATAGACGGAAGGTGTCTGTAATAATAATGATGGTTGTTGTTGTTGTTGATAAGCAGAAGGAATATTGTAGGGTTGTTGTTGTTGTGAGATGAAATTATTGTTATTCATGATTGTTGGATATTGAACTTGTTGTTGCGTTGGAGGTTGTGGTTGAGAGTTTGGATAGGAATAAGTCCATGATGATGATGGTTGTTGTTGTTGAACAGAAGGATTCATAGATGATGATGGTTGTTGTGGTTGATAGGGATAGCTCTGAATATACGATGGTTGAAAGTAGCAGTTCGGGTTAGAAACTTGTCCATACGGATACTGTTGTTGTTGTGGTAAGGATGGTTGGGCATAATATGGTTGTTGTTGTTGTGGTTGTCCTGGTTGACCATAAAGTGGACCCTGTTGTTGGTTCTGATCCACAGTGAAATGGGGTTGATGATTATTGTTGTACATTTTTTTAGTGATCGCCCTTTCTGAATTCGTACTCCTTTGACAACCCTGACACGCGAATTGATCAAGAATAATTCCCAATTCTCATGAGGTTGTTATTAAGGAAGAATAAATTATTTTGATCAAGCGTTGTTGTATACAACCTGTTTGTTCATGAAACACCATTAAACTATTATTTATCGAGTGCGCGAATAAAAAAATACCAAAAAAATACCAGCAAAATGCCAGAAATAACGTCTCCTTTGGCACCACCACCGTCGTTGGCATCTTCGGAACAACAAGAACAAGGGTATGCCGAGAAGGCATTATTGAACCATTTAATAGAACTGAGAAAGAGTCATAACAAAGCAGGAATAACCTTATCAGTGTTACCTATTTTTTTCGCATTATCGTTCTGCTCTTCGGGAACGTATTGGGTCTTTCTTTGTGTGGCGGCTGCGGAAATTGCTTTTCAAATAGCATTAAATACAATCATCACGAGTACTCTAAGAGGATTTTTGGCAACGAATATCGTGCGAATTTTTGGCATGATTCTGGTCCAAATATTAGTGTACATGCTATTCGGCCCGCATTTTCCTTACCATGTTCTTTCTACTTTCAAAATTCTCATCACTACAAAGAATTTTTGTTTCAATTTGAGGTTTATGCTTTTGGCAGGATTTGCTCTTGTATTGGGCTCATGTACAGCCATGCTCATTTCATTTTGGAATTGGAAAGAAAATATGACGCAATTGGAAATTGGACACTTTTACTCGAGACTAGCAGAAGTATTTATTTTGCAAGTGGGTGTTACTTTGGGAGCATACATGTTCTCGGATGCATTATTCAAAACGAATCAAGAATTCACAAAACAACAAGTGGAAATTGCAAAAGAAAAAGTGAGAAGTTCAGAAAAAACAAAATTCATTGCTAATTTGAGTCATGAAGCAAGAAATCCTCTCCATTGCATAACGGGAAGTTTGCAAGTGTTGCATCACCAATTTGAAGGTGAGAAATGTGTTAATGGCTGTAAGCATTGCATCCTAAAAAACTCTTCAATTTCTGAAACGATGGAAGATATTAAGGAAAATGCCAATTTACTCTTACATATCTTATCTTCATCTCTACAGATGAGCTCTCTTGAAATTGGATCAACAGTAATGAAATCAGAGCCATTTTCAATAGTTGCTCTGGTGGATTCGTTAGTTGGCCTCTTTTCTCATCTTTCTCATGAAAAGAAAATTGCGTTACATGCTTTTTGTAATGTTTCTTCTTTACCATCAACCCTCAAAGGAGATTCGATTCGAATTAGCCAGGTAGTAATGAATTTGATTTCGAACGCCATTAAATATACAAAACATGGATACGTGAGAGTGAACTGTGATATTTGCACTGAGCAAGATTTAACAGAATTTGACAAGAACATTCGCTCTCGATTGGCTCAAAATTCCACTTTTGTTAAACTTGAATGTATTGATACAGGATGTGGTATTTCACAAGATCAAATCCATAACTTGTTTCAGCCTTTCCATATAATAGAAAAGCATGAAGACATCAAATTAGGATTTGATCAATATTTTAAGCAAACAGAAAACATTAACAAATTAGGAGAGGGTGGAAGTAGTTTGATATACACCAATAGAAATGGGCTTGGGTTGAGTATTGCAAAGTTACTCGTTGATAAAATGAATGGCCAAATAACGGTTAAAAGTGTAGCTAATGAAGGAACCACTATGACCATAATTTTACCACTGGAAAAAGCAGAAGGAAACCATGACCTCAAAATCCCTTTAGAAGCGAATCCTACTAAAACAGCCTGGATCATTGATAGTGATGGATGCTTTAGAGATGTGTTAAAATGCTATCTAAAATTATTTCAACTATATCACGAAATTCTTGAATTCGAGAACAGTCAAAACATTGCATCATTATTGCAGACAACCACTCCAGATATTGTATTTCTTGTGGAATCAGAGTTTGAGCGTATATGCAACGAATGTCCAACCCTCAATTTTGTCATAACCACCGATCGAGGAGCAAGACGCAAATATTCAGATTCATGCTATCTTTCAAAGCCAGTGAGATTTAATGATCTTCGAGAGACATTAGAGAACTTCATAGATGTAGATGTTCACAAGTTGAAAAACGACGAAGAAACAAGACAATTCAAAGAACTCGACGCCAATGATAACGACATCAAATTTGATGAATATTCTGTCTTGCTTGCTGATGACAATGATGTGAACAGGAAAGTACTTGAGAAAATGCTGAAAATAATTGGATTTAAGGACATAGATCAAGCAAAGGATGGTATGGAATGTTTTGAGAAATACAAACATAAATCATACAATCTGATTCTATTAGACTGTGTGATGCCAATTTTGAGGTATGTATTAATTTAGTGTTAAGAGAAATCACGAGATCATTAAATTCAATAGTGGTAAAGAAGCTTGTGAAATGATACGACGAGCAGAGCGCCAAGGCAATTATCACACAACAGCAAGTATTGTTGCTGTAACTGCGAACACATGGGAATTGAAAGAACAGCTGTTGTCTCAAGGTTTTGATGAAGTTGCATACAAGCCAATAATGTTACAAAGTTTTAAGGAGCTCTTGGTGAAAGTACTGAAGAGCAAACGGTAATCTGTAGTCAGTTTTTTAGGTGGCAGTGAATTTTGTGCGGCTATTCCGCAGGGTTTCAGTGAAAATGCATTCACTCGACTACTAATCGCTATTTCCTTTTTCTCTCAAAAATTCACAGCTGTGCATATCACATTGAAAAAATTATTGACTATTGACATATAACAATCATCATGATGGCAACAGAATCATTAGCGAGCATAACACCCATGGAATCTCTTGTGAAGAATTTTATCGATCTAAATATCAAATCAATTATTTCGGATCCGAATGTAGACAGATCACAATTAGAACAATATGCCGCTTTTCCACTTGATGTTTCTCCAATTCATTTGGCTACTAAGAAGGCATCTATTTGTAGTTTGGACAAGGACGTCATCTCATTCCTCTTTCATGACACTGGATACTCTGAAAGAGCTCCTTTTCACGGAAATTCAAAGTTGAAAAAGTTTGTGGCGTGCCATACCATATTAGCATTCAATGTTTATGATATTCACAGAGATAATTTAGATGTTGACAAAGCTAATCATGAGAAAGCTTCTGTTGGGGAGGATATTGAAAAAGATGACGGCTTAATGACATCAATTTTCGAAATAATCATACAAGAAAAATTTTCAGTTGTGTGGAATCATCGTAAGGAATATGCGAATAGCTATCATTCACTACTCATGAATAACAACTTTGTATTGCAGCTATTGGAAGAATTCAAACCAACATCTCCAGGATTGTTGGACAAGAGTGACATGCTGGCTTTTTTATTCGCCAAATTGAAGGCTTTAGATTTAGAAAATGCTTACTATCCTAAAGTTCACTCCTTCTACGAAAAGTTGTTTTCGCAATACTCCATTCAAAACATTTGGAAATTTGCAAAGCTGGCATTCTTTGACAGCACTCGGTTCACGAACGATGATTTTAAATATGCGAGAGAACATAATGAATACAAAGTGTGGGCAAGTCCAAGACAAGTCTTTAAGGAATATCACATTTTGGATGCAATCAGAAAAGCACCCTTTGATCAGTACCGCAAGGAGCCTCACCATGGTGGCGGAGACGATTGTATAATTCTTTAAATTAACATAAACTTTCCATTGCGATTCGAAATTCCTATTGAAGTTCGAATCTCAAAAAACTAAGCGAGACTTTAATAATCAAAGCTCTCAACAACAATATTCTTGGCATGAACATTCAAATCTTGCATGGTCCTAATCATACTTTCATTGAAAGGACCGGGTCCGCATATATACACTACCCTCTCCTCGATATCTTTAACAGTGTCCGTAATAATCTTCTTATCCAGACGTTGACATCTAATTAATTCACCCTTAACATCTTTCTCTCGTGTGACACAGAACAACAGCTGATCGATCACTTTTTCTTGTAGCAAATTTTCTAGCTCTGACCTGAAAGGTATCTCATTTTGAAGTTTTTCGCTGTGAATCATAACTATTTGAGGTTTCGAATCTTGTGTTAGGATTGATTGTTTTAAGCTATGGGACACTCCGCGAATCATTGAAATGAAAGGAGTAATGCCAATTCCTCCACTCAGGAACAAGACTTTCCATTGAGCATCTTTGTTTTGTGACTTCTTTTTCATTGTTACATAATACGACGTTTGCAAAGTGAAATTTCCTTCAATTCCCATTAAAAACAGCTCATCTCCTGGTTGGGCATGATCATGCAACCATGTACTTGTTGCTCCTAAATCCTGTTTTTTTACAGAAATTTCAAAGTAGTTCGTATCATTCATGTCTGTGTGAACATGAGGAATTGTGACATATTGTGCTGATGACACAGTCCAACTTCTCATATATGGATGTTCCAAAGATAATGTAAATGTCGCATATTGTCCAGGTTGTATGGAAACTGTCTTATTCTCTGAAATTTTGAATCCAAAGGTTTTGACTTCATCCGTAATTGGAATAATTCTTTCTAAACGAGCATGCACAATTTCTTTCTGGTGTTTCTTCTTCATAAGAGGTGCAACATTCACCACTGACAAATATTTGGGATTCAATTTCTCCAATTCATTGGAATCATTGAGTAATGGATTGTGAGAGGACATGGAAACAAATTGCCAAATAAAAGGACATGAATGTTGAAATAACATCCATCTTTTGGTGTGAAAAAGAACTGTTCGATCACTTCCATCCAAACTTGTTCCAGGCTCTCTCCATAATATTTGAATATCACCAGTGAGATGAAGCAGATGACCATTTTCGAAATCTACAAATAGCAGTCCCGCATTGGGACAATTGACAGTATTTCCCAGAGTTTGAAACATGCCTTTTCCAACATAATCTCCCCAAACTAATGTTCTACGATCCAAGACTCGAATGAATCCAGGTCTTCCTCCTCGATGTGAACCTTTGCAAGCACAAAACAGTTTGAACCAAAATTCCAGAAACTCTTTGAACATTACTTACAATCAGCTCCAACATGTTTGTGAATCGTTGCAATCATCATGGTATCAGATCCCACAATAAAATTAATCACATCCTCACTCAAGTACGTTGTTTCATCTCCCAATGTAATTCTCCTATCAGCCAACAATTCATTCACCACCACTCCTTTACGTTCTTCACTTTCTTGATACAATTTCACCACAGCTCTCTGTTGAATATATTTCGGGCAAGTCGAGAAGGCCTCACACACTTGTATTTCAAATCCCGATGCAGAGAGTCCTTTCGTTAAGATTCCATTCGTTCTATAACGTTTTCGAGATTCCAAATCAAGAAAATTCAAACTCACCAGAGTACCAGCCTCTCGACACGATTGCCACATGGGATCTTGTGCATGAGGAGCTTTCAATATTCGAAGGGTTTTACCATCCTGAGAAATATCAACGAGTTTTTCAAAGTGTTGGGCATTCAGGTAATTGAGATGAAGCCATGAATCACCACTGGCCACATTACATGGATCGTATAAGGAGCATAAACGTTCTTCTTCCGAATCTTTACCTTGAGGCTCAACAATGGTAGAGAGAGGAATCCATGGATAATCCTTCTCCTCCATATACGAAGGTAAATGAGAGTCTTTCAGAAAGGAAGGCTTTTCAACAATGTGTTCCTCTTCCAATACTTTCAATTCAGTGGGACGAGGAGAAGCCCATATGGCCGAACACCAACATTCATTCGTTTCAGAATTATATGAGGCTACATACACGACCATACGATTCGTGAGGAAGTGATGAAATTCTTGAGGAACATGACCTGTGATTTTACGTGGTCCGAGAGCATTGGCAAATTCAAAGGTATTGGCTTTCTTTTGAAATTCAATTTCACCTTCATGGAATATGGAAGAGGGTTTCCGTTGTTCTTGTTGTTGTTGTTGTTGAAAGGAAAGAGATGAGGAACGTGGTTCCTGGATTTGAGGAGAAGGGGTTAAGGAAGTGGTAGGAGCTGTTGGATTGGTCATTGGGCGTTGTGTTTTTAATGATCATGCACTGAATTTCAAAATTGGATGATCATCTAAAACTATCATCACCACGCCTCATAAAAAAGTAATTAGGCTGATATGGAAAATAGCTGAATATTGTTTGACCAACAACAACAATCAACACCAGCGATGTGTTTGTACAACGCCACACCATCAGAATGGTAAACCTCATTTCTAGTTTCGGCTTGGTAGATGAAAGGAAATTTCATGATCTCTATGATAGAATTCCATTGGTTAGCATATTACGATCATTCCACTAAATTCGTTAAGAAAGTTCAATAGCTTGATCAATAATTAAATCCAACTAATGAATCATTGAAACTCAGTGTTGCATTACTCGAATGAATACACCAAGTCATCAATTTCCTTATTTGAATTTCTCAACCTTGTAAATACATCTCTCATATCATACAAACAATGTTCTTCAAGCTTATCAAAGAACGATGATGTAATTTTTGCATCACTATTCAGCACATTCATATAGTCCTCTCTCTTTTTAACAATATTTGAAATATTCAATTCAAAAGGACTTCCAATCGTGAGATAGGTATTTACAACGTGTTGAGCTATTTTTCTCTTATGCAACCGACTGGATTTAAATCTTCGAATGTCTCTCCAAGCCAATACACTCTCAACACAGTACGAGCGTCGTGCAAAGTCCAACATGATGTCAAATGTTCTCTTATTCAAGAGAATTCTCTCAATTTCAGACTGATGTTGTTGTTGTTGTTGCTGTTGATGAATGGATATTGCCTTATTTAAATATAAAGTAGTGGTGCTTGGACTTGAGGCAGGTGAATGAATTTGATCCATGTTTCTTCTCGACCACCACAAATTTTTCATCACGCCTTTCTGTGTTCCAGTTTCATGTTGATCACGCTTATTATGACTGGTGGATGGTGGTCGAATGGCTTCCATCAGTGTCTTCAATAACGGAATAGATGTATAAATTCCAATTTCAAAAAATGTATACAAGACGAGTGTGTAGCCATATGGCACAATGTAATCGGTGAGAATGACAATGAATTCTACATTACCGGCAATGGCAAATAATACCACACAAATCACTTGAAGAATAACTAGGAGAATGGTATCTCGTTTCATGTTCCAGGTATCCCGATCTGCTCGAAAACACAGAATCAAGGCAATAATTTCCAGAATGATATACAAGATGGAAACACAGGCAAATATAATGACAAAATTAGTGGAGAGAGCACAACCATGATTGAATACAAAGAGACCTCCCTCTAGTAAGAAGGCTCTCTTATTTTCTTGCTGGGATGAAGAAACAGCAAATATAATTTCCTCAATAGCTCCGAAAAGCAGCCACAAGATGATTTGAAAGACTATTAAGGCCGAATAGGAAATGATCATGAATTTGTAACTGGAGAGAAAGGAAAGGATTTGCATGGTGCGAATTTGTGCTCTGACTTGTTCATTTGAATCTGAAATGTCCCATACGGATTTTGAGTTTAAGGTGAAAGTAAATTCATCATCATTGGAATCGGTAGGATCTGTATTGGTGATTAGAGAGGAGGGGTCGATGGCTTGCAGCTGTCGACTAATGATGTTCATGGGACTCTCAATATAGGTTGTAGTATTGTTTGGAAGAGCCTTATCGTCAGTCATTGTGGTTGTGGTTGTATCATGTTGGATACTTGAATCAGAAGTTACATCTGCAATTGGAAGCACAATTTCAGAGGATGGTTGTTGTTGACCTTGCTGCTCTTCTTGGAGAGGCTGAGCAACAAGATTGTCATCACTCGTTAAGGTTAGGGCAGGTGATGCACCACCATCATGATGACGATTCACTTCTTCTACTAGGATCGATGACTCGTCATGATTTGTTGTTGGTGTATTAACCGTGACCATCTCTGGTTTGATTTGAAGTTCTTGATCCATGCCCGTTGGCTTGTTGTTGCCAATATTTATCAAATTACCGACATTGTTCCTATTCTTATCCGCTTCATGATCGATATCAAAGATTTTAGTTTTGAACAAATTCAATCGATACATGGTATAAATCCGAATACATCTCAACGTGGTTGGCAATGAAACAGCAGCTGGCAGCAAGAAGTAGAGCAAGGTATAGAGTGCACACGGAAAGAGCTTTCGTCCGACGGTAAATCTCAGTAAAAATCCAACAATGAATACGGCATGGACACACATGCACACAAACAAGTAGAGAGGATCCCTCGATTTGATGCGACCCTTCTTTCGGAATTTGATGATGCCAAGAGTGTTGACGAGATAAAGCACAAGATAGAGACCAATGAAAAGACCTGAAAATATTGGTGTTGTGAGAGCATCTGGGCATACGCCATAAGTTGATGAAGGGGAGCTTTCAGTAGAGAAATTGCCAAGTGAGAAGAGAAAGGGATCGCAAATGATGGAAGAATTGTTTGTGGTGGAGTTGCCCGAGGACATGATGATGAGCTTGCCAGCTTCGGGTTCTCCAAGGCGTTTTTTCTGGCTGTGCCAAATGTCACAACTCAAAAAGCGCATCCTACTCGGGCCGAACAAAAAAGTGAAGTGTGGCATAACTGACAGGTTTCAAAACATGTTCAACCCAATGTTATTATTGATAATTTGGAATACATATATTACTACAAGACTGGAGCCAATGCAAACAAATCATAATACACAGGTTGAGTCTTTTGCAACAGCAAAATATTCATATCTGCATGAATGACAGGATAGCTCAAATCATTCACCTCAGAACAAGCTCCACAATAATGTTGAGTATCTAGCAAACGTTTTGGAGAAGCAAAATATTCAATCTCACTTCCTGACTTGTCTTTGTGTGAAATTTCAACATGATAACCTTGAGCACGATATGGATCTAACAAACCAACTTTTTGATCGGAATTTGATGAATCCCAATCACATTTAAGGTAATAATATTGCTCAATCATGTAAATACTTTCATGACGATCATCAGGAATAATATTCTTGAGAGTTCTCTTTGCAGCACTGTAATCCAACACACCTGCCCATCCATGTTTCCTGGTAATGTCAACAACCTTACTACTATCCACCACGACGAATGGAGAAGTCACCAACTTGATATAAGGGAAATAAGCCTTTGCCAAATTAATTGGTTTTTTCAATTTGATTTCACGAAACACTTGATAGCCCATCACATTTCTAGGAGTTTGATGAAAGGTAATCTTGGATCGAAAATCACGTCCAGGAATTTCAAAATTAATCACCAAATTTCGAGTCGCATTGCAATCCAAAATCTTGATCTTTAAATGTGTCTTCATGGAAATCTTCATACATAAATTGGCAAATCTGAGAGGAAAGATGATATTCTTCTTGAAAATATCCTTATGAACGGGATTAAATCGAGACATGAGATTGGCAGCTACCACTTCATGAGAGCTTCCAATGGCCATAGATAGTGTGATCATGGAAGGAGATCCGGAACGATAGGGTTTGTACTTTCCAACCATGGTCAATGAAAACTCCTTCTTGATGATGGGGGCTGATAAACCACTCAGTGGAATTTCGCATGTAGCAACAAGATCATTACTACCCACAGCATCATAATCAAAGATTTGAATTTCTAAATTCTTGGAAATGTCGACATCATGTTGATAGATCCAACATTTCCAAACTGGATTTACATTGTTCGGAATGACTTTGGATTTATGAGTGGCTCTGCTTGGACTTCCAACGATGAGAGGGATATGCACCACAGCGTAGGCATCGATCGTTCCTAACGTGTCGGCTTTGGGTAGATTCAGACCTGAATGGATTTTCAAATGGAGAATGTGTCCTTGTTTGGGATCAGTGTTGTGCATGATCATGGGTTGTTGTTGTTGTTGCGGAATGAATGATTGTTGTGGAATCATTTTGTGAAGCGATTGAAAAAGGGAAACGTCAACAGCCAATCGAATGGTTAAAATTTTTTGGAATTTTTGTGAGGGGATGTTTCGCTTTTGACATTTCCAAAACGCTCCCTTAAAAAGGTCGCCCATCACATCAACGACCTTTACCACCAATTAGAAAGAAAATCATTGGTCAAAGAGACACGGCAAAAAGATATTATTTAATGTTTCTTGGTGATGTATGTCTTTGAAGTTTAGATTTCAGCTTGGAAAAGAATCCGCCATGGTTGGAGGAGTGGTTGTTTGAGGAAGAAGAAGGTGATGGAGAGAGTGTCATGTTTCCTGAGGATGCAGAGCCACCCTTTTTTGAGGGTGAATTAATTTTGATTGAGGGAGAATTCTCGAGTTTTGCTGTTGCTGGAACAAGGGATTTCCATGTCGATTCGGTTTCAAATAGTAATTGATGAAACATTTTGAATGAAGAATTGGTTTCAGACTCTTTGGCAGCAATCTCTATTGCTGTTCTCCCTTTAGAGTCTCTTGAGGAGAGTAACTGAGCAAGAGAATGAGGACATGACACGGAAAAAGTCTTCCTTAACCAATCCAAGAGCCAACAAAATCCATTAAATACAAAGAATGTTTCTTCGGACCTGTGAGTTGAAACCTGAAGTGAGGATTGAATTGCAAGCTGAATAATATTCATGGTGTTGATTTTCTCTGGATCAAATACCATTTCTTCAAACTGTTTCTTTGTCCTTCCAACACACGTATCCAATTTTCTGGAAATGTAACCACAAAGTACTTTGGTCGAATCAATATCATTAATTGCAACAGATTCTAATAGAAGTTGAGTTCAAAATTAATATTGGTGACTCCAATTTCTGAAATACATACCCAGTAAAATATTTCTTCCAAAACTATTCTTACAGGTAATTGCTTTTTCAAGTAAATCTTCACCGAGCCATTCAGGACCTTTCTCCAAAAACTCTCTCAATGTGACAGCATGATTACCAAGAGTGTTTGAATCTCTAACAATATTTGTTTTTACAAGTGTCTTTTTTGGTGGAGAGTTTGGATTGCCTGGAATGGAGACCGTCATTTGTTTGTTAATACCAGTAGGTCTGAAATCACGAAGGGCTCTAAACAATGCTATTTCATCTCTCTGATTCTTTTTCAAAATAATTTTTGGGTTCTTCTTTACAAGATATTCACTGGTGACAATATCAAGCTCTCTCAGAGCGGTATGAAGAAGTGATTCACCTAATGCCACGCTTCCAATCATGTCAAATTTGGCTCCGAACAGTTGTAACAAGTCACACAATACAAAGTCTTTTTTCTTCAGAGCTAGGACAATGGGTAAATTACCAAACCTATCCCTAGTAAAATTGATTTGACTTTGAACAGCAGGTTGACTACAAAGAAAAACACATGCTTCATGAGCTCCGTACTGAACTGCATACAGGAGCGGTGAGGCGGATATACTATCAAGAGTTGTCCACAAGTTCTTTTGTCTGTTGATGCAGTCATGAGAATGGAGTGTGTGACTAGTTTGATCTTGTTCAGCTGGAAATTGAATAGAAACTTGAGGATGAGAGGTGCTGCAGGTGAAGCTATTGATCTCATCACTTAGCAAACTTGTTTGTGAGGAGAAGCTAGCCTTTGCTGAGGCACATGTGATGGCATCGTGAAACTCTGTGGTAGTTGGAATTGTCATTGAATTCATATCAATGTTGACTGCAAGTGAAAGCCTTGGAGGTGATGCTGAATCTATTTGAATCCTTACATCGTTATGATTCGTTGTTGGAGAGTGTGTCGTTGAAATGCTGGTGTTTGGAGACGCTTCAAAATTTGGGGTGGTAGGATGATCAGTGACATCTGTTCGGCAATTTTCATCACAGCAACAATCCTTGAGCCAGCTCAAGACTTCCACACTATTAAATCTGGCGGCCAAATGACATAATGTACAAAACGAGTATTGAGGCCAAAGCATTTCATTGAGAACGCATTCGACCACATGAGGCCCAAAAAATTCTTCAGGACAAGTTTCATTGTTTCTTGTAAGTTTTCCATTGTTTGAACCAAATGAGTCATATGAGTGTAGTGAATGTGTAGGGGAATTTTGACACTTTGATTGATGACTTGGAGAAGATGGCCTACTGTTTCTTTCAGAATGGGTAGGAGAGCTTGGATTTGAGCAATAATCGCACGAAAATGAAATAGGTGGATTTGAACTCTTGGTTTTCAATTCATTGTTTTTGATCATTTGTGTCAACCTGTCAATTAATTCTTTTCCATCAATATTTCCACTCGAAGAAAGAAGAGGGCTTGTTGAGGCATTTTCCAAAGTATTCGAATTGGTGGTGGTTTGAGATGAGGAGTTTGGAGTCCTAGGTGTCACAGCTTCATACAAATCAGGAGGTAAAGAACAATCTGTAAAAGTGCTTGAACCAGTCTCAAAACAAGGTGCTGATGACCGTTCTGCAATATGACTTCCAACCTTCAACGAGTTATCTCCCAATAAACATTTTGAAAGACTGACCAGAGTTTTAGAAACTCTTCGGTATGGCCCATTTCCATTTCCTGACATGGAGAGTGACATTGGTGACGATGCAATTTGTGAGGAAGTTTTTGAAAGATGTGAGGTGCTGAGGAAAAGTGGTGTTGTAGGTTCTTCCAGTGAACCCGTTGCTGCTGTTGGTGTTGTTGGTGATTGAGAAAGTGTTAACGGTTGTTGTTGTTGATTATGATGGACTTGCAAATGATGAGCTTTGCCAATTTCTTCATTATGATGAGGTTGTTTCTCCAAATGATCGTCATTCTTGCCAATTTCATCAGAAAACACCACAGAGATGAACGAGGATCTTGTACAACTTGCTGAACCAAAATCTATGGAAGAAGCATCATCATCCGAGTCGTCCAGTTTGAGAATAATTTTCTCTGTAGATGAAGGAGGCGGTTTCTCACCACTTGTGGGCTGATGACGAGAAGTTGTTGTGGACAGCATGGTGGACGGAGTTACCATTGCTTACTCTTAAGAATTGTAATAATAATAGGATGATGAAATTTCAGAGTAAGTAGATGCATCAACAACAACAAAAAGCGAATGATGATGATGTAGATCCTCAAAGTTGCAGATTTGATGATGCTGAGAGGTCGCTTGATGCTTTAATTTCTAATAGTAATAATGTTAGCTCTCCCAAACAACACTTCTTCGTCGTAGATGTTCGCTGCTGATGCTGAGAGTGAAGAATAATTTGAGAGAGAAGGGGCGAGAGGCCACTCAGAACACACTATATTCTCTTGAGAAGAGATATTCCAAACGACTTTCTTTTTCAATTACTGAAAGCTCGGAAAGGAGTAAAACATCTATTCAATGCTCACTACTGCGTTAGACGATTACTGTTATTGTTGTTAATATTATTATTACCAAAATTAAAAGAACAACAGGGAAAGCCGAAAATATAATATTAACGCGTAACGATCATGGAGAGAGATTTCACGACCTATCAAGGGCAATACATTTTGGTTCATGTCATGATGAGTAGATGGCTATCAATCCGAAGCCAAGCTGATACCAACGTTCATGTGGCGTACATTCTTGAAGCGTTTTTGGTGAGAGAGCTCGAATCTTATCATCGGGAAGAGAGAAAAGAAAACAATTTTATCATCATCAACTCTACGAGATCATTTTTTGATAAGAATGGATGAGAAGAACCGAATCGTCATCATGTACAAGCCATATGCTGCTCCCATTCAGTTTGATTTTCAACAGTTGGTCATCCGTGGAAAGAAGAAGCGAGTCAACGAAGCCTCTTGCTCGACGAGAAAGAAGACTTGAGGTCTATACCCAAAAATTTTGTAACGGTTGGAAACGGCTAGGATTGGCGCTCTAAACCGTTGTAAAATGAAAATCGATTTTTACCAAGAAAAAAACTTTAAAAAAAACGCCTGTGAACTGACGCTCCCATCACTGACTCGTCATCCTTGATCAAAATGCCTGCAGCAAAGAAAGACAAGAAGGAAGAAACCGAAGAAGAAACAACAACAAGCACCGAGAAAACCACAAAGGGTGTGAAGAAGCAAAAGAAGACCAAGAAACCAACTGATCCAAACAAGAGAATTGCTCAAGAATATTGCAGCATTGACGAGAAAAACGTTCTCTCTGGTCCAAGAAGAAGAACCAACGTAAATTACAAGGAAACTGTTCAAAAGGGTGCTAAGGGCGAGAAGGAATCCAAGCCAGTACAAAGAGAGAGTGCTAACACCTATGAAGCAAGACAAAAAAACGTTGCAAATATCACAAAGAAGAAGAAGGGATCAAAGAAGAAGGATGAAGAGAAGAAGTAATCTCACACTTGTACAGCATAATCTAGATTGAATACTCCATGTATCATACACTTTTGATCTATTTCAGGTTATCATCTCTAGAGTTTCATATTTTTGATTATTATAAATATTTAACCTGATACAGAAATATTTATTATCTTTTGATGATTTAATGATTTTGTTCTTTCACGAATATTTAATTAATTATTTTAATTATTTAATATTCAATGATGTCTTCCTCTCATCGTTTCACACCTTGTGTGTGATGGGTTTATGAAAAATTAAAATGTCATCAATTTGACAAACATCACGTTTCATATGCCTTGCGCGTATTGCGAAAAGCAAAAAAAGAACAACGTTAGCAAATGCCAACTCTCAAATTGATACTAGTCGAAGGCAAGAACTTACCAATTGCCGATTTGAAAAGCAGCGATCCAGTGAGTATTCTACTTTCACATGATGCGACGCTCATTTCGTTTAATCCAATCTTGATGATAAATGCATCCATCACGCGTGTGCTTTGTTAAATGGCGATATTTCACAACAATTTAATACCCAAGTACGTGAAAATGAAAACCGAAAGATCAGAAGTAAAATCAACAACCATCAAACAAAATCATCTTCATCCTGTGTGGAATGAAACCTTTACTTTTGAAATTGATAACCCCAAGATGAGTTCAATGGAATTGAAAGTTTTTGATTGGGACCGACTCAGTGCCGATGATGAAATTGGACAGTATAAAATCATGTCCTTCTCCAACTTTAAAAAAGGTGTGGAAAATGACTTGTGGCTGAACTTGACAGTTCCATCGTCAGCAAAAGTTTCCGATCCAACACAACCTTCTCAACTGCACTTGAAAATTGTTCCTGTTGATTTTGGAAAAGAATAATAATAATTGCATGAATTGCTTCCAATGCAAGATTTGCATTTTACTGTTACATTGTGTGCCATTCAAAATTGTCATAACCTAGTAGATGTCAGTTATTCCTCAAGTACATTTTCCTTGATTGTTTAAACATTTAGAAAAAGTCATCTTCTTTCTTTTGGCTAGCAGCCTCTAAATCCTTTTCCAGTCTTTCAATGGTTGCTGCTTTAACTTCGACTTGTTGAGAAAGTTCTTGTTCCTTCTTTTTCAAGGTTTCGTGATCTGTTTTGATTTTTGACAACTCGTTTTCCTTATTTTTCAATTCTGTTCGAATATCTTCTTCTCGTTTTCTTAAAGATACCAACTCTGAGTGTGTCTTTTCAACTGAAGCTGCAATTTCCTTCTCTTTCGCTTCCAATAATTGTTTCAACTTGGCAATTTCCTTCTCTTTTTCAATAACTTTGCCTTCCTGTGAAATGGTGTTATTGTTGGTTGGCTTCTCGACAGTATTTCTAGTATTTCTTTTAACCGTAGTAGTAATAGTTTTCGATTTTGGACTCACAGTCATATCCTCATTGGAGACTCTATGTGCCTTCTTTCCATGTAATGTGTTGAATAAGCATGATCCCCAATAATGGAACTTGTATGAATATAATCGTTCCTTTGCATCAATAGCAATTTGATACAATTTAGCATTCTCGGAAATCAATTCCAATGCCAAATCAAAGGCTTGATCGAAAAGTTCACTATTATAAGTCAAACTCTTCTCTTCATCCAGTACGGATGTTACTGCCATAGTAAATAGATCATTCTCTCCGACCTTTTCGCTTACATTCTTTTCTCCAATGCATTCATAGAGATAGGATTGATATTCAAGATGTTCTTTCATGGCAAGAGAAAGTTTGTAAGCTAATTGATGAGTTTCATCATCCTTAATGCAAATTTCTTCGTTTTTGAGCGTATAGCCTCGAGAGCTGATTGAATAGATTCAATGTAAATTCCGAATGGATCATCAAGGATTCGGATCGTAGGCACAACATATTCACGAGACAGACATACTTACCATGCCATCACTGAACGAAGACTACAGATTGAGTTTGGAGGACACGGAACACAAACTTTTGAAATGAAAGATCCTTGATCCTCTATTTATGATTCATCATCATCATTCACATGATCATCATACAGTAAAATTCCGTGGAGCAATCAATGAGAAATTGATCAAAAAGTTAGAGACGATGATGATGCAAAATCATAGATGATATCGAAAACAATAAAATTCCACGTAAATCGGATGGAATAGATTCCTTCTCCAAATCACCTACCTCTACAATAGGGCTTGTACATGAGAACCAGGCACAATACTCCCACAAGGTTAAGCAAATAAAGTCCTTTCGATGCGAGAAGCAATCGGAGTGCAGTGAAGGAATTGAGCATTTTTTCGCAGCGTGAATTCACAAAAATCCGAATCATGAATTGATGACTTGGCATCATGATTTGTATTTACAAAAAGTTTGGTGATGGGTTTGTACCAATGATCATCCTCGTCATGGTCATCTCAAAACCGTTAGAATAGAAATGAAAGAGCAGCTTCTACATTGTTGTTTGAAGCAATTAAAGCTGCTGCACTTTGTTCTTTCGAGAAACCCATTTCCATGAGTGTTTGTACAAGTTGTGGGTCAGCCTCGGTCACATCATTGGACATACTGGAATTTGTTGAGGTATCGTACAAACCAACGACACTTCGTAAATAATTCAATCGTTCCTTAACAATTTGGACGTCTTGATGAGTAAGATATGGATAAATACAACTCTCGGCTTGGTCTGAAATGGTCATGATTTGTTGAAACATGTTGTTGGAATCTACAACTCCTCCTTTTCCAAATACATTGGCAGTATTGGCATTGAAACTATCATCCAACATGAGATTGATCTCACTCACAAAGTCTCCCCATTCACCTGGATCTTTAAGCTTGCCCTGTGCTCGAAAACTCAATGCTCCTCCATTGTCAATACGATAGACTGAAAATCGTTGTTTTGAATCGACATGCTGCTGTTGAGAATGTACTGCTTGTTCTACAATAAGAATGTTGGAATCATCTACACCGATCACATCACGATTCGCAAAGAGACAATCCAACACAAAAAACCGAGCCATCTCTCTTCTCACTTGATCACACTCTTCTTTCGAACGCTGTTTCATAAAATTGGCCCATGTCATTCCATGGTTAATAAATTCTGACAAGACCACAATATCCGAATGATCATCATCGGCCAATGATTCAATTCCGTCGAGAGAGGAAATCATCTTTCCTTTCACATACAGTTTGACTTGGGGAACGAGGCAGCCCATCTTGTAATAACACAAATTCACTCGGTACTCATTCACAACGTGTTTCTTGTTGAAACCTTTCTTCATGACATATTCTTGATTGGTGGTTTGATCTTTGACTTTTTGTGGATGTGAGCTTCCTCCGAGTTGTTCAAGAACGGTCAGTTTCGATAGATCACTGGGAAAGGCAATTGAATTTGGTCCATAATCCATTTTCAATTCTGGAATGATGATGCAATCAAGGAGAAAAATTGATTTTCAACAAAGTGATGATGACGGCCGTCTACGGAGAGGTATGCACTTCCAGATTGTGATTTCAATTTTTTGAAGCAGCAAATTGAAAAGTTCCTTTCTGTTCACATGAAAGACCAAAACCTTTGAAGTGTTGCACTCGGGTCACGATTTACCAACATTGGCTCGACAACAAGCGTTGGTGGACAGCTCGCAAAAAGGCCTCTCTTAACTCGGCAGAGGAATCACGAGAAAGATCATCACTCGAACAACTGTTGGCGAGTGATGGAGGTGGTTCAAAAGATCCAGAATACATTCTATTGGCAGAATATTGGTCACAGGTGAGCTCTGAAGTGGTTGGAGGTGAGAGTTGTGGCTTGTTTTTAAGAATTACAGCCTGCTTACAAATATCGAACTGAATTACCATCTCACGAATCATGAGAAAGACAAAGGATTTGTCATCAATGGTAAATAGTGATCCCAGGCTGCTCTTACTTCCGTTAGATTGAGGAGAGGTGTTCATGGGAGGAGGAGGAGGAGATCTATTTGCTGTATCCATCATGAGAGATTGAACCAAATAGCTTAAAATTGTAATTTGATAATTTTCTCCAGCATAATTAGCAAATTCCAAAATAAAGTGTTTGATATTGTTAATGAGAAGGAGGACGTTTCGTTTCAGTTCGTCATCTTCGTCGTCATTTCCAGGTGAGTGTTCACTAATGGCCGAAAAAACATTGTAGAGGGTGGTTGATCTTGATCGCTTTGTTAGTTGTGAAGAGCTGTTGTTGTGGCTACAGTGGCTCTTGTTATTCAGGTTTTCCAAATAAGAACATAACCAACTGCCAATAGATATCAGAATGAAGAAAATACTAGATTTTGACTCCAGAGATACTCCTTCAATAAATAAAAACTCGGATCCAATTTGACTCATTTGGCTCTGTACAACTTCCAAGCATTTGTCAGGTTTGAGTTGAAATAATTGGACAATTGCTTGGAATAATATTTCAATTTTTGGAATGTCTTCTTTGTAGAAATCTAAAAGTTCGAATATCGTCTCAATAAATTCACGATCTGCCATCTCAAAATAGGTAGCATTCAAAATTCCTCGTGATATACTAATCACTGCTTCGAATGCTTTCACTGTTGGATGTTTGATGAGATCTTCACTCGTAATTCTCTCCTTTTCATCATAGCTTGTCATTAATTTGATTAGTTTTTGAAGACTTTTCAGAGGCAATTCAGAAATTAGTTTCTCGAGACAAGTACAATCTCTGGACTTGTTGTAAATTCTATTTTGAAATTCACACGAGTCTAATCTACAGAGCATTTCTAATGCTGTTACTCCTAAACTGTACACGTCCACAGAGAACGAATAAGAAAGACGATTAATTTCTGGAGCGGCGTAAATTGGAGAGCCACAAAAGGTTTTCAGTGTTTCAGTTTTATCCTTTACCAATGAACTCAGACCTGTGATTGATTCGGTTGGTATTATTATGCACAAATTTAAAAGTATACAGATACGTACCAAAATCGCATAGTTTGACCATAATTCGACCATTTTCATGAGGAGCATGTAATAGTATATTGCTGTAATGGAGTTGTGCACCAAATGAAAATAAAACACAGTGTCACATTGTGAGCCAACAATGCCTGTACTTACTGAGGCTTGATATCTCTATGAACTACGTTCATCTTGTGGCAATACCCAATACCGTGAATGGACTGCACAACCCAGTCCAGCATTTGTAACAGGTCGGCAGTGATGTGTCGATTTCGCTTGATAAAGTCTCCAATAGAACCATTGTTGCAATATTCCATCACAATGGCAACCATGGGATCTTCTGAGGTGTGTACCTCCTTGCTAATCTCAAAATATTCATAGAATTTCAAAATATTGTCATGTTGAAGATTTTTCATGGCCGCGACCTCCGAAATGATAAGCCGCCAATCTGCATCGTTTCTTGCATAACAACACTTGATAGAGAATGTCTTTTCTGTCACTAGTGTTGTCGTTGTTGATGTGGTTGAACATGTTGAACCTTGGCTTGTGTTGTGAACTTTCTTTTCACACTTGTAAACTTGGCTATATGTACCTTTTCCGATGAGTTTATCCACTCTGTAACTCTCAATGATGGAGCCAGATTTTAATAATTGGTCCTTACAATCGATCATTTGTCCGGGCTCAACAGTTTCATCGTCATATTCCTCGTCTGCCATAATACACTTGGCAGCATTGTAGTCGTTGCTCGTCGAGGTTGCAATTTTGGCTGCCAAGCTTGCAGGTCTATTTGCACTATTTCCCATCGTAACGATAGAATTTTCAAACGAGAAAATTATAATAATGATCGGTTAAGTTAGAATAGTATTCTACAAGAATTGTTGAAATTCAGTGATCGTTAATATCGTGTTGTTGATGATGATTCAATAATATTGCACAATAATTATTGATCTATCAACACTTCGGAACAATGCACACACTGAATGTTGTTGCTCCTGAATCCAACTTCTCTCTACAAGTAAATTTACTGTTTGATTACGAGTAATGCTACTTGATGGCCTAATCAATACTAATTATTAAAGTGTAAAAAAACTTCGGTGAGTACTCTCTTGACACAAAAAGCACAAAGCACGGATGAAGTTCGGCCTTTTTTTTAAAAAATTATTTGCTGAGACCCGACAACGGAGCGTACATTCGCTCAACCAAACGAACAACGAGCACTATATGAAAATTGGTTCTTCTTTGCATCTAAGAATCAATTACTGATTGTTGTCTTTCAAAAGAATTCGAATGAGCCTCCAAAACGAACTCGCCACGTCGTGTTTGGGATATACAAAAGTTTAAAAAAAATATGGCGTTCTCAAGACTCACCTCACCTCATACAACAACAGGAAGAGTCCGATCATCATCCTCCTCCTTGTTACCCATAACAACGTATCTAGTTTTGGCTTGTTTGTTTGTGTGTTGCTGTTTTACAACAAGTACGGAGGGATTCCTTCCTGGTATACCTGATAATTACTACACTTTAGGTGATGCGGTCAAAATTAAAACTAGAAAATTATCAAGTACTCATGATTTGGCCTTTGATTTCTATTCCGTTCCATATTGTAAACCAAAGGAAATTAAGAATAGCGTTGAGAATTTAGGAGAATATTTAATGGGAGATCGTATTCACAATTCCGTCTACTCCGTTGAATTTATGAAAGATATTACTTGTAAACGATTGTCTTCTATTGACTGTAAAGAATCCGATGGGTCATCATGTGTGAGCACTGAATGTCCAACAAAACTCACACCTGACGACATCAAGAATTTGAAAGAAAAGATTGATGAGGATTATTTGGCTCAATTGGTTGTCGATCAGCTTCCTTTTGCCAACTTACAAGGATATACCGCTTGTGGAAATCCACCTCCATCTGTAGATGATATCAAAAGCCAGAAAAAGCTCACCAAATACTCTCGTCCTGATGGATTCCCAGTTGGTTGCAAGGAGAAAATATCTTCCACTGACGGAACTGACAAGTACAATTACTATTTGAACAATCATCTTACATTTGTATTGTATTATCACACTAGAAAGAATGGAAGAAAAGTTATTGTTGGTGCTGAAGTTTATCCAACAAGTGTTGAACACACTGCAGATTCATGTAAGGATGGAAAGGGATTACCTAGCGACAACGACATTGACAGATTGGTTATTGATGACAAATTGTCAAAGGTAGAATATTCATATTCAGTGATTTGGAAGGAAAGCGATATTGCATGGGGATCTAGATTTGATGCATACATTAACACTGAAGATAATCCTGATGACTATCGTATTCACTGGTTCTCAATCATCAACTCTTTGCTCATTGTTTTCTTCTTGACTGGTATGGTCGGTATGATTATGCTCAGAATTCTCAGAAAAGATATCACTTTGTACAATGAGAGAGATGAAGAGGATCCAGGTGACGAAACCGGTTGGAAACTTGTTCACGGAGACGTATTCCGTACACCAAAGAATTCAACTCTTCTTTCTCTTGCAGCTGGTGCTGGTATTCAAGTATTAGGATGCTTGGTTGTTGCTCTCTTCTTCTCTTTAATTGGATTTATTTCTCCTGAGAGCAGAGGTTCTCTTCCAACTGCAATTATGGTTTTGTTTGCATTTATGGGAATTACAAATGGTTATGTCACTTTGAGACTTTACAAGATGTTCCAAGGAAAGTCATGGAAAACTGTTTCTCTCCTTGCTGCTTTTGCATTCCCTGCCATTCCATTGTCTCTCTTCACATTTATTAACTTTTTGGTTTGGGCATCTGTACACTCAACATCTGCTCTTCCATTCCTCTCATTGCTTGAAATATTTGGTTTATGGCTTGCTATTTCTGTTCCACTTGTGGTTGTTGGTGGTTTCTTTGGATTTAGAGCAAAGGATATCGAAGTACCAGTCAAGACCTTGCAAATCCCAAGACAAATCCCAGTTCAACCTGTCTATATGCATCCTGTTATTGCAGTTTTGATGGGAGGAGTTTTACCATTTGGTAGCGTTTTCATTCAATCCTACTTTATTTTGAGCTCTATTTGGTTGCACCAATATTACTATCTTTTTGGATTTTTGTTCGTCGTTTTCCTCATTTTGATTGCTACCTCTGCAGAAATCAGTGTGGTATTTGTTTACTTCCAATTGTGCAATGAGGATTACCGTTGGTGGTGGAGATCATTCTTATGCAGTGGAAGCTCTGCATTGTATCTTTTTATTTACTCTGCATTCTACTACTTTACTTCTCTAGAGATTGACACATTCATGATGGCTCTATTCTACTTTGGATATTCATCGATTTTGTGCTATTTCTTCTTTGTGTTGACAGGTGCAGTTGGTTTCTTCACTTCATTGTGGTTTGTCAAGACCATTTACGGTAGCATTAAGGTTGATTAAATTATTTTTTGTTTCTAATAAATATATGTTTGCATTTCTTACATTTCACAACATATTGAGAATTCGAGTGTTCAGAAAATTCACAAAAGGTGCTGTCACACTTCTCACAGCTCAATCGTGTGGATTTTGGAGGTGCCTGAATAACATGATTCGTTTTGTTATGCTGAACGGCAGTTGCGAATGCCGAGTTGTTGCTGACTGATGTACCCATTGATTGGGTAGTGCTTTCTGTTTTTGTCTTCTTACTAGGTGGTTCAGTATGACTAGTTGATGATAATGAGTTGCTCCTTGTCAACATTGTTGTTGATGGCACAATACCGACCGTGGCTGTTGTTGAAGGCGTTGCAGAACTAGCAGTGTTTGAACTCATGGTTGTTATGGGAGAATTGAATGAAGAAGCATGTCGTGCTGTGATTGCTGACGAAGGAGTGCGTGGAGATTGTTGATGATTATGAAAGGAATGATGATTAGCTCCAGTAGTTGCCATTACCGTTTGCCCATGACCATGCTGCACAAGAGGAGACACATCGGCCGATGAAGAAGGATTTTCATGTCGTTTTCTACTCATCTGTTTCAATTCTTGAATTTGACTTAATAATTGATCGATCGTTTGTTTGTGTTGTTCATTCTCTTGTTTCAACTCATTATATTTCAACGAAGAAATGACATGTTGTGTCAAACTATTTACAATGGAAGAAAATGGAAAGAGTGATTGAAGGAAAGGATGTGACAATGCTTGCAGTGGTGTCATTCTTTTCGTTGGATCATATTCTAACAAACCAACTAAAAAGGAAGCAAAATCATTGTTCTTTTTCAATCTCAAATATTTGCAGATTTTGTGCTGTTTTTTTGCAAAATTATAAGTTTGTGTGTTGGAAAGATCAAAATGTTGTTTCAATAAATTAGAGGAAGAATATGGTACAGGTCCTAGAAGAGAGACCATTTGTCGAAAAAGTTCTTCAGGTGAGGAACAGTTAAATGCTGGATTTCCAGTGTAGCATTCAATGAGTATACATCCAACAGACCAAACATCAATTTGAAAGTCGAATGAATTCAATCCTAGTAATATTTCAGGAGCTCTATAGAGTAATGTTTGAATTTGATGTCCCTTGTTGGATTCTATTAATTGTTGATCACAAAAATCCAGAGCATTTCCAAAGTCAGAAATTCTTAGAGAGTTCTTAGATTCATTTCCCATTAATATATTCTCAGGTTTAAGGTCAGCATGAATAATATTGTGATCTCGCATAAATGCTAATCCTGTCATTAGTTGTACTGCTAGCTTTTTAAGTGTGGTCATTGGCATGGTGTATGATTGAAATCGTTGAATGTACATGAGTAAATTTTCTCCCAAAAGTTCAAAAACTAAACAAAAATGTCCATAGAAAAAGAATGTCAAGTATAACTTGGATATCGATTTTGAACTTCCGAGTTGTTGCATTTTGTAGTAATGTAATGATTCTTGAATTCCAATCTCGTTGGCTTTTTGATTCATTACTTTGATTGCAACTTTTCTGTTGGGAATAAACAAATCTTCACAAAGAACAACTTTAGAAAATCGTCCTTCACCTAGTAGAGACACAAATTTAAATCTTCGGAAGAGCAGAGGCCACATTCGAATGTGCTTGTGTTGCGGTAAAAGCACAGAGCCCTCCAAGTCATTGTCTGTAAAATATCCAACAGGAAAATCTGTGGCAATAGTCGAGCCACTCGAACTTGCATTCATTGATGCTCGACGACCGTCATGTAATGAATGACTTGCTCCATAATTAATTTTTTGCCGAATATTTGTTGTGACAGTCTTGTAGCCGACTGTGACCATTTGTAAAAGGCTATAGGGCCTCTGTTTTGTAACTGGATTTAATAATACTTTAGGAATTTCTAAACAAGTTGGTAAATCATTTGAACTTTTTCCACTCGAAAATTGTGACGACATGAATGCACTTTTAACAGTAGGTTTAAATGCAGAAGAAGAACTGTTTGCTGAATAATGTCCACCACCACTCGTGGAAGGTGAAATTCCAACCACACTACTACTCCGTGAAACATAACCAACGACTTGTTGTTCATAAACTATTGGCTGTCGTTGTTGAAAAGTATTTCCTCCAGCTCCCGCTGATGAAAATCCGTTACTTCCAAAACTTGTATCATTCAAATAATTTGCATTAGAACTCGTACTACTATGATTCAACACGGTAGTTTGATCCATTCTCCTCTGATGAAGAATTCTAGAATCGTCCAATGATGATCTGGAATGTTGTTGTTCCAATAAACACAATTCCTCCCGAGAATGATGCATGATTTGATACTTCATGTCATTCTGTTGAGCATGATGATGATGCAAAGATCCGGGCTGCGTCGGTTGGTCATGCACTACTGCTTGTCCTCCTGCTCTTCTCCGAGAAGAAGAAGAAGCCGTTGAGTGTTGTTGTTGCTGCGGCTCATCGGGAGGAGGCCCCGAAAAAACAAAGGTCCTCGGATTGAGCATTTTTTTTAAAGTAATTCTTTCATATCTTTATCATGATAGGGATGGATGTATCATAATTCATTCATGGATCAGTATCATCATGATGATGTATGAATTCATCCAAGGTTTTTATAAAAGACAGAATTGGAAAAAATGTCTTTTTATCATAATAATGATGGTTCAGTAGTGCCAATACTGAGTACGAACGGGTCGGAAGATGCCTTGCGGAAGAGAAGGAACAATTCGTTGAAACCCTTCATTCAACAACAACAACAACAAATATTCATACCGGACATGATTCCCCAACGCTCTATGGTTGCTACTGCTTCTTCTCATAATTTAAGAAAAAGCACTCATTCCGATGTTTCAATGAAACCAACAGGAACAACAACATCCTTACAAATTTGGTCTCATCATGTTGAGAGAATTAAATTATTATTAAGACATTTATTTCCGAATTTGATGAATAGGGAGTCTACACGGATGAGCGAAAACGGTTTTGAATCCACGAAGAAGATTGAAACAGAAGATTATTATTGCAGTAGTAACGTGAAAGCCTTTCCTTCTTGTTGTTGTTGTACTTATTTACTTCTCGTTGGAAATACCGGAGATATGAGTGCGTGCTCGGATTTATCGATTTGTAATGCCATTAAGGATTACTCTCATAATTTTGAAAAGTATTCAAGATGTATTATTAATGTACATAATGATTTGTTTCACTTTTTATATTTTGTAAAAAACGTAGAGAAGATGTATGGAGACAAACTTGATGTGATGGATCTCACGTATAATATGATTTGTAATTATGAATATCAAAAGACGAAAGAATTAATGAAATTTTTCAATGGAAAGAATTATGAAAGAAGTTTGAAATGCATGAAAGAGCATTCTGTGCTTTCATTGAATATCATTTACTGGAGTGGACATGGTGAGAATAACCTAGGACTTTCTTTTCCATCTTTTCAGTATATGAGCTTTGAAGAATTTTTATCAATATTCGCAAATCAGAACTCTGAGAGTATTTCAATTCCACATTTGTTTGTGATGGAATGTTGTTTTTCGAACGAAAAAGAAATTTTTAATTTTGTTCAGAAGACCAGACATCACAACAAGCCATTTCCATACTTGTTTCTGTGTAGCTCAATAGAAAAATCTGGAGGATGGATTTGTGATGGAGTGGATAGTAATGGTATCATGACAAATTTTCTGACGGATCCTGTTTCTTCGTTTTTTAAGGGTATGTGACTGTATTAGATTTTCTGAATGTCATTTCTCATCAATATTCTATTCCATTATTCATATGACGTTTTCTAAAATTTTCTTGACCAATATTAGTGAAATACAAGATATTCTTCGATTTGGGAAACAACTCTTCGGAATATTTTCCATATTTCAATGCCAAGGTGAAGCGAAAATTTTACTCCATTATTGATACTTGCCTCAGTGAAGTATTTCCATTGGTATATCCTGTCGAATTTGTTAATTTTATTGGAGCTCATCTTTCATTTCTACATTCGAGCATGATTCGATTATTGTTCAAACACTTTATTTTACTGCATTATTATGTGGACAAATTGTATCAAAGACAAACTCCATTCTCATATCCACCTATTTCAACACATGTCTTACGAGATTTAAAAGTTGTAACCTTATTTTCTCAAATGGAAGACAATATTGATTCTCTTTTAATTGATACTTTCAGAAACACTCAAATATAGAACGAAAGATTTTTCACGTTGAAATTAAGTATCATGTGCTCAAAGAAATAATTTAACAATATTTTAGACTCATCAACCCTCATTCATTGTTCAATTTGAAGATTTATTGGGCAGAAAGAGAGGGATTTGATCGAGTATATACCGAAGAGCTTCTGAATCTTTCTTTTTCAAAATACCAGGTACTTGCTTAATATCACCCTCCATAATCATTTGCCAAACCCTCCTGAATTGTTGCAAAATTTGGTCTTGTTTAACCTTCTGAGTGCCGCATTCTTTTACGAATTGTGAAGGATACCACGACTTGTGACTGTTCACCAAGGGTCGAATGAGAGCACAATTCCCAACTCGAAAATCATTACTCAGACAATGAGGAACAATGTGATCCCTCGCCAGCTTGGTTAATTGTTTCAATGAATCATCCCAAACATAAGAACTTTCACTTCGAATCAGAATGGCCAATGACCCACAATTCGTAATTCTCATGAAGCAGTTCAAGAGTGGAAAGCCACAAAAGTCCAATGGTTGTAATCGTAAAAAAGCTTCTTGCACGGCAATATTCTCAAAATCATTCTCGGCTCGCTCCTTGGGGCCATAAGTTTTTGCCATATTTTGACAATAACATGTCAGTACTTGCTTCAGCACCTTCTCTGAGTTATTTGCGAATTCCAACGCAAATACATCTTGCTCGACTTCCATATTTTGGCTCGACAATTGTTCTGCCTTTTTGAGAAGTTCATCAAATTTTTCGCTGTTCTTTGTTTTCAAGAGTGACTTGTAAATCGTATGGTCTTTCATGTCCCTATGTTTGTACATGACGAATAGTAAGCGAAAGACCTTGGGATGGCGTTCCTTCAGCTTGGAAACATTTTCTTTCACATGTAAATTTTCCACTGGTTTTAACAAGGTCCAGAACACCCCGTGATTGATCATTTCATCTCTTGCTTGCTCTTCTTGTTCCTTATATGAAAGGTCACTTCGATTAATCGAGATCACCTTTTGCAAGAATTCAGAAATCACTCGAATTCTCTCTCCCTGGGATCCATCTTTCAATGCTATCGTGATACCAAAAAATCGACACATTTCGTGTAAATAACCCTTATCCATTTCTTTCAGAAAACTTTTAAGAGACAGTTCGCCAGAAAGTACCTGTTCCATCCAAACATGAGGTTGAACAGAAGGGTTAAAGCGCTCCCAAAATCGATCATAGCCATCAATGGATTTTAAGTGTGTTACATATGGATGTTGCTTCTTGGTATCATCGTTGCGCTCAGCCTTCTCTGAAAACTGGGAAGCAATTATTTTGTTCAATCCCTCGACAATACGGGCTCTCAAAGATCCCCTCTTCTCCATTTCAAACGCAATCATTTCGTACCAAGCATGTATAGTTTCTTCAATTGTGATAATATCATCAAAATAAGACCACTGGGAAGCTTTGTCACATTCTGAGCTTGTTGTAGGTGTTGTCATCAAAAATTGAAAGTCCTTCTTGGTAGCAATGCAAAAACTGGATCTAGACAAAATCCAAAACAAGGCTAATTTCTTGAACGTTGCAACCAAAGTTAATGGATGGTCAGAAAGAACAAGCTTCTCGGAGAGTTTAGCGGTTGGCTCAGTAATGCTTGTAAGAACAAGTTGTTGTTTGACTTCTTCACTAAGATGATGCAGCATGGTTATTGCTTCAAAAGGTAACACGTCGTTACAATACAGTTTTTTCAATTGAGTATCAATATCAAGCGCACGAACAAGTTCTTGCGAGCTTTGAACCAGCTTCTCTTGTTTGTTTTTCCGATTGAATTTTGCTCCATGTTGTTCCACAACTATTTCCGAAATGTAGCTCTTGGTATGTACAGAAACATCGACGTCGGAGCTTAAAACCTTCTTTCGCGAGTACCTTCGGCAACAACAACAGCCAGTGCCTGCCGAAGAACGAATGAATGTGTTGTTCCCCCGAGAAGCAGTGCACTCATTTTTAAGGAACGTTGAGAAGAGGTTGTTGGTGCAATTTAATGAATTTTTAGTGCTGCTGTTCATGATGGAAGCACTCCATGAGGATAAAAGTTTCCTTCTCATTTCGAGATGAGGTTATATATGAGAGAGAGAATGAAAGGAATGAAAGCCTTACTTCTTTTCCAATGTGAATTAAGGTGAGATGGTCATCATGTAAGGAATGATGAATTGTCTCACTCCCATCATCATCAAGGCACATGGTTGATGGGATGGCTTCGTGATGGGATCTCCATTTTTGGACGTGAAACCAACAACCATCAATTGGGAATGGAACTCTGAAAACCTTTCGTTTTTTGGAAATTACCTTATCTGTCGTGGATAAAGGCAAAGATACAGCTTGGAAACAACAATGAAAATGCTTATGTAAGTATGGATGGAATGAAACCCATTAAGATTGTTAACACCCTATTGTGAGACCTCAGTTTCGAAGAATTATTTGATATTAATAATTTATTAAAGCGTAGTGAACTCGTGTCCAATTAGTTCAACTTGTGAACATTTTCATGATCCTTCATGGCATCAAGAGCAGAAAAATCATTCTTTTCCATGCAAGGCAACAAAGTTTCCCACCACTTGAACAAGAATCGTCTACAAATCAATTTAAACCATGGAGTAATTTCAATTTCTTTCTTTTGTTCGTTCAAAACGTCCAACATGTGCAACAATTCATCAGCATTGACATATTTCACAGCACGAACTTCATTCAAATTCATGGATTTCAAATGTTCTTCAAATTGAGCGTCCTCCTTTTCAGTCAACACATAAAACAAGCAATAGTCAACTTCATGCTCTCCCCATTGTGAGTCTTGGGGATTTCCACTTGGTGCCTTATACAAAATTCGTGTCAAATAAATAAAACGATCTGGGTCAATGCTGGATTGTGGAATTCCAAGTTCGTGTTCTAATTTTCTACGAGCAGCAGTACGAACTCCAGATTGATTCTTTCCCTCACGTTCCGAATCAAGATTATAAAGAGGATGAGAACAACAAGTGTTCGTCCAATAGTCTGGGAAAGTAATCTTTTCCGAAGCACGTTGTTGAAGTAATAATTGTCCCTTGGAATTAAACAAAAACACAGAGAAGGCTCTATGAAGATAAGGAACATTATCATCTCCGACTTTTGAATCAATATTAGCCCAAACATGGCATTGCTTCTTTGAAGCTCTTCCCTTCTCTTGGTCTTGTTCCGTAACTAGGATACAGTCCTCGGACTCCATAAAAACTAATTGTTGTTGGTCGAGCGATGAAGTGGTGGCCATTCTGTGTTTTTTGAAGAAAATATTTGGTTCGTGGATATCAAAAACGATGAAGGAAAAGAGAAACCAATGAATTGAATTTCAGAATTTTTTTTTCAGTTCATCACCAACCTACCTCGGAGTGCGAGTGTGAAAGAGTTGCTGACGAGAAGAAGAGTGCAATGTCTGGTGCAACAAGGATCCATTCCTTTTCCAAGAATGAGATGAAGAGAGTTTTTTGAAACCTTTCAAACCAATGTGGTTCCGAAATGCCAACCATTCAAACGCAGTTGATGATGACGGAAACAATTTCATCATCATGAAAATTTTTGTTGAATGGAAAAAAAATGACCTCGAAAGCAACCTCTGCTACCAAATCTCTCCCTCCGCAAGTGGAGGACATGAGGACGAGAGTTCGGGTTGGAAAATACGCTCCAACACAGACCACAACATTTGCCTATCACTCTAGTTTTGCAAATTTAAATTATGATAATAGTTTTTCTCTTGAGGATTTTCAGAACAATTTGCAAATTAATGTTTTGAGAAGGGATGAAAATGATTTGGTTTTTGAAATGATTGGTATTGATGCTCCTGTTGCAAATGCTTTCCGTAGAATTATGCTTTCTGAAGTTCCTTCAATGGCTATTGAAAAGGTTGTATATATAACAAATACCTCAATTATTCAAGATGAAGTCTTAGCTCATAGAATTGGTCTTGTTCCGATCCGAGCAGAACCAGACTTTTTCTACTTTGCAAGGGATATTAACCAAAACGAAGATATTAGTGCATTTGCTCCTCCTCAAGAACCAAAACACAACAACAGTAACCATCATTCAAATGATGACGACGATGATGAAGACATCCAACCACCTATTCCAACTATGGCCACCTATGCTCCTTCCCTTGCCAACAAATCAACTCCTTTTTGGCAACCTCCTGAAGAATTATTGGATAACGAGTATATTTTATTTGAACTGAATGTCACCTGTGAAAAGACACTCGTTCCAAATCCACACAACAACAATAAGCTCGAATACAAACATTCAAAAGTATATTCTGGAGATTTAAAGTGGATCCCAATAGGAAATCAATCTGAAAATTTCAATGGAGAAAATGCTATTAGGCCTGTTTTTGATGATATTTTACTGGCCAAGTTAAATCCAGGACAATCCATTCATGTTCAATGTTATTGTGTAAAAGGTATTGGAAGAAGCCATGCCAAATGGCAGCCAGTTGCAACTGCTTCATATCGTCTCTTACCAGAAATTACCTTCAAAGGAGAACCAATTACGGATATTGAGCAAGCCAAAGAACTGATTCAAAAGTGTCCAATGAATGTTTTTGACATTGAGGAAAATCCTCAAACCGAGTTTGATTCAAAAGTTAGAGTTGCACGTCCATTGAACTGCACCATGTGTAGAGAATGTATTCGTGAAGACGACTGGGACAAGAGAATTCAATTATCTAAGGTGAAGGATCATTTCATTTTCTCGATTGAAAGCGTTGGGTCCATTCCAGGAGGACCTGCAGAGATTTTCAGACGAGCTCTAAAGATTTTCTGGCAAAAGTGTGAAGCTCACTTACTCAACATTCGACAAAATCCAATTGGCTCACGTCAACAAACTTCTTCATCCACATCAATGCAAGACGAAGACAATGATGTAGAAATGTCAGAACAACAATCAAAGAAGAAGAATAAGAAGGACAAGAAAAAGAAGAAGGTGTTGCAATAATTGAGTGAACATTTTCCAATAATAAATGAGCAAGTATAACAAACAGGTGTTGTGTATGATGATCCGTTGCAGAATGGAACAAGAGCCGAAAACATCGTTTCCCAACTGACGATAGTATTGTAAAAACTACTCTTGGGTGGTTCAATGAGCTGAGTGTAGTTCAGGAGTATCTCTCTCAACAGAGAAAAACAACATATTGTTGGTGAAAGAGCGAAAAGGATGTGTTTTTATGAAAAAGGATGGCAATGATGGTACAACATGAAGACGCGAGAGAGAGCACCAAAAGAAAGAGAGAATTTCTGATTTGAGCATATGGACTCCAAAACATTCTAAAAATTGAATGAACACTGCTGAGGAATCTTCCACTCTCTCTCCAACTTGGCACGCACTCTCTCGTTCTCACAAACATTTTAACATCAACACTGTGATGTTCCAAAATAAATATATAAAAATATTATTGTTATTGTTGTGTGCGTAGATGTAAATTCTACATTTGAAAAATAATAATAATAATAATAACAATAACAACAATTACATGATGGTACAACATCCTCCATCCTTTGGTGGATTCCAATATGGATTTGTAGGGTCACCCATCACGAGCATATCCTTCGACTTGTGATCATTGCAATAATCAATCAGAGTTCGACATGCTTCAGAAATTGGGATGGCCTTTCGACAACTTTCTAAACTTTCTTTTAAACGTTGATTTTCAGCCAATAATTGTTGTAACACAAAGTCGTTCATACGGTTTGCCATTTTGAGTTATTGTTGTGTTGATGATGAGGAATAGAGATGGAATTTAGTGATGATGAAGATGATGAATAACGAATTTCTGCTGCAGTGGTGGTAGAGATATGAGAAAAATTGGACAGCAGCAGGTTGTCGAAACGGTTTTTTTTTGCTGGATGACAGAATGACAGGACCTTGACAGGTGTTGTTTTAAATGGCTTCATGGGCAAGTGTGAACTCCAGTTGCCAATTCTCTAAGGGAATGCAGTTCCAAAAAATTCTTCTTCATTTTGCTCTAGTAGAGGGTTTCATGAAAAGAATTTCTCCAATGAAGAGTCCCAAAGCCTTTGAAGCTTCTAACAGATCGACTTGAAAAAGATTTCAACAAGCTTGTTGTAGCTGTTTGTTATCCAAGTACCAAAAAGAGCTAAACATTTTCATTCTGGTACTTGAAAAATCCACAAGGTGAATTTTGCTACAAATTGATCGTGGCAGTATTGTTCGCGAGTTGCTGAAGAACACTTTTTCATGAGATTATGATGAATCTGTAGTTGAGTAGAAAACACCCACACTACAGCTCTGGTGTTGTAATAATATATGTAGGCCAACGCTCTCTCTCTCTCCAACGGAACAAGAGTCCTCTCATTCATCCTCATGATCCATCCCATGACCACACCATTCTCGGGATTTTCTTTCGACTTCAAAAGGAAAATAATTCGGAAACCACTCGTTTCAAGTTTTTTGGCAAACGTTTGAAAATTCCTCCGTTCAATCAATGTAGTAGCAAGCTAAGGGCTCCACACACGACTCTATCTGTGGATTGGCTATCCTTTGGCACTCTCGTGTTTGAATGATCAAGAGTTGAGAGAGATTAATTTGGTCTTGTTTTCGGTTGGGGCTTTAAAAAGCATTCACAAAGAACCGAAGCAAAAATATTCAAAAAAATTCCTTTCATCAACACGACTTCTTCTTCTTCCTATACAACACAATGACCAAGCCAACATTGAAGGTTTTGATTACTGGTGCTGCTGGACAAATCGGATACAGCTTGATTGGTATGGTTGCCAGTGGATTAATGCTCGGTTTTGATCAACCCATTGTTCTTCACTTGCTTGAAGTACCACAAGTTTTGGATGCTTTGAAGGGAGTTTGTATGGAACTTACCGATTCAGCTTATCCATTGCTTCAAAAGGTAGTTGCTACTAGTGATTATCAAGAAGCTTTCAGTGATATTGATGTTTGTATCATGGTTGGTGCCATGCCAAGAAGAGAAGGTATGGAAAGAAAGGATTTGTTGGAGAAGAACGCTGCTATTTTCAAGGGACAAGGTGAAGCTTTGGAAAAGTGGGCCAAGAAGACCGTCAAGGTCCTTGTTGTCGGTAATCCAGCCAATACCAATTGTCTCATTGCCAAGACTTATGCACCTTCAATTCCTGCTGAAAACTTCTCTGCTCTCACTCGTTTGGATCATAACAGAGCAAAGGCACAAATTGCTGATCGTCTCGGCATCAATGTTGCTGATGTTCATAATGTCATTATTTGGGGAAATCACTCATCAACTCAATTCCCTGATGTTGCTCATGGTTATGTCACAATTAATGGACAGAAAAAGTCAATTTATGAAGCCATCAATGATGATGCTTGGTTGAAGGGAGATTTCATTTCTACTGTTCAAAAGAGAGGTGCTGCAGTCATTGCTGCAAGAAAGCTTTCTTCTGCTACATCTGCTGCTAAGGCAATCACTGATCATATGCATAATTGGATTTTGGGTACACCTGAGGGTGAATGGGTCAGTATGGCCATTCCATCTGATGGTTCTTATGGTATTCCAGAAGGTGTTATTTACTCATTCCCAGTTACTTGCAAGAATGGAACAGTCTCCATTGTTCAAGGTTTGAAGATTGACGATTTTGCCAGAGAAAAGCTCACAATTACTGACAAGGAGTTGAGAGAAGAGAAGACTATGGCTTTGTCAATTTAAATTTATTTGTAGAAGATTAATTCAATATATATTTATAATTGTGACATGATTTAAATCTTGGTTGTCGATCCCGCCTCAACGGGTTAGTAATTAGAATAATATTAATGTTGATGATCTCTTGCATGAATTACCCGTTGCTTTGAACGCTCATCATCAAAAAAATGTTTCGCAATCACTCCCGAGAATCATTCGTTGCTGTGTTGCTGCTGGTCGTTTTCCTAAATTACAGCCTCACTCTGGTGGATTGCTTCATTCGGGTCAACACTCCAACTCAACAATTCATGGATGAGACTAATAGAACAAGAATTTTCCACGGGTAAGAATTACAGCGTTTGAGAATGTCTCACAGGAACAATGTAATTCAAAATACTTAACACAACGGCAAATTATGATTTCATGGTCACTTGTGATTATTTCTCATTGTCACACCACTTCTGATCACTCCGTTCAGAGTCAATGTGGTTTACAAAATTGCTCCCTTTCACCCAGATCGCTTCAATTTCAATACCAACACTTCACTCACAGATAAGGATTTACAAAATTTGAGAAATTGGGGATTCAATGTGATTCGATTGTATTTGTCATGGGAAGGTACTGAACCAAGGAGAGGTCAATACAACACAAACTACTTGGCAACTTTGAGAGATATTGTCAGACAATGTGAAAAGTATGGAATTATGGTCATTCTGGATGTACATCAAGATGTGATGAGTGATTTGTTTTGTGGAGAGGGTAAGATATGATTATATGTGGTCCACAAAATTTCTAAATTTTCTAAACCGATCCAAAACTATTGAAATAATGTTGTTAATTATTGAAACAGGATTTCCGAGATGGGCCGTTCAATATTCCACTCCTGATTTTCCCTATCCATTCAACAACATTCATCTCCGAATCAATCAAACCACTCATGCTCCCGTTGTGAGTGATTGTTTACAACATGCCTTCTTTCAATATTATCTCACGACAGCAGCCTCTAATGCCTTTCAGAATTTTTATGATAACATGAATGGTGTGCGGGATGCTTTTGCAGATTTTTGGAAATATTCAGCAAATTATTTTAAGGATGAACCAAACGTGTTGGGATTGGAGTAAGTTGTTGTGCGGTGTGAGAGTGCATTGGTTTGCATTAAGGCTGAATTTTTTTTAATGTTGAACAATTTTCATGATTGAATTTTAATTATTTATAATAATTGTAACGACAATTGTAATATATAATTGTAAATGGTCAACCTTATGGCTTTACAAAAAATTATATCAATTTAAGAATTATTAATGAACCTTTTGCTGGAGATATATATGCAGATTTAGGCTTGTTGTTGGATCAGACAGGAAAGGCAGATCGTAAAAATTTACTTCCATTGTACAAACAAGTCTATCAATCGATTCGTTCCGTGAATAACAATCATTTGGTATTTTTCGGTAAGTGATTCCTTATCATCATCATATCGCCCTTCTTTTTACAATTAAGGCTTATCATGATATTCCTTAATGAATTCATTACTACTCTTGGATGATCATTATATTTAAATATTTCATGATGATTTTAATATAATGATGATTGATAATCTCATCATGGTTGATTTCATAATAATTAAATAACATCCCGATATATTATTTCATTGCATACACAATGAATAGAACAAGCCGTAACGGATTTACTTTCATCTGGATTTGACGAGAGTCCGTTAGGAACTCAAGACTTGGACAAACAAGTATTCTCTTATCATGTGTATTGTTTTGATGTGAATAGTACGGGAGATCCCAATAATAGATTCCTTTGCCAAATCGGAGATGATGCCGTATTGGGAGCCAAAGAATATGATGTTAAACGATTTAAGGTTGGTTATTATTGAATGATTGACAATGGGTTAATTAATTATTATTGGAGTGTAGACTGGAGGTTTTATGACTGAATTTGGTGCTTTAAGTAAGTCATTGATTATTATGGAACTATCTTTGATTCATGCATATTCGATAGGTAATTTTACTCAAAGCGCACATGAAATTGAGTGGATTACAGGACTTGCGGATGAGTACTTGAGATCATGGACGTAGGTTTCTCGATCTAATTTATGAAATTGGAACTTGAATCCAATGGTTGTAAATAGATATTGGCAATTCAAATACTACAATGATGTGACCACAGCAGCCTCTCCACCAACTATTGAAAGCTTTTATGGACCAAATGGAGAACTTCAATCAAGAAAAGTCAAAGCTCTCAGTAGAACTTATGCACAAGCAGTGTGTGGAAATCCAACTCGAATGACCTTTGACCCTGCTTTTTCAGAGTTTTATCTTTCGTTTAATTATGTCAAATCCCTTAATTGTGATTCACAACCTACCGTCGTTTATTTCAATCAAGAATTTTATTATCCAACCGGATTTAACGTTCAAGTGACTCCTCCCAATGCTCTTTCAGTGAAGCAAAGTGAAATGAATTATTTACAATTTTTCGTGAGGAGTGAAAATGTTGTAGATGGTCAACAAATACAAATTCAAATCACTAGAACCAATTAATGGGATGGCATGCTGCTGCTCTGATCAAATCGAGAGATGGAATACAATATTTATGGATTATTGTGAAAGCAGCTCCTACCAGTAAAATTATTTAGTTGTTTGCTGCTCTCAGAGTGTAATTTCTAATCACTACTCCTTAATGTTCGTTCTGCCTCAAGTTTGTTCAGAGCTTTCAACCACTCCAACACCACCAGAACACGAGCTTCACCTTTCGGATCCACACAGCCCCAGCTTTTTGTTAGAACAATTTACTCACCCAGACCAACACCAGAAGCTTGAACAAGAAGAAGATTGAAACCGTCATTCGGCTCTTCCTATGCAATAGGTTACACATAAGGAATTCATCATTGACCAACAATTTTGAGCCAATCGTTCGACGTTCCACGCTTTTGTGCAGTGAAATCTCTTTCGTTTATGGTTTGGATATTTTTGTCATTTTAATTTGTTGATTTTTAACTGTGAACAACACAAAAACCCTTGCTATTCAAAAGCACATGTCTTTTCATAAAAATGTGAATTGTTTTGACATTCCAATAAGCATCCTCGATGCTAGCAGTCAATAAAGGTAATATTATTATTACTTGAGTTCAAAATTGACCTTCAAACCCAAATCAGTGGCATTGACCACAATGGATGCAATTTTCACAGCTTTCTGAGCGGCATCTTCAAGATTGTCAGCTGGTATAATACGAATTCCACTCTTGGCGAGAATATCCTTTGCTTGTTGCACATTGGTACCTTGCAAACGAACAACAACTGGAGCTCTCAATTCCGTCTCCTTCACAGCATTAATCAAACCTTGTGCAATAAGGTCACATCTCATAATACCTCCGAAAATGTTCACCAAAATTGCTTGAACGTGATGATCGTCGTTGAGAATTTTTAAAGCTTCCACAATTTGGTCCTGGGATGCACCACCACCCACGTCCAAAAAGTTGGCTGGATCTCCACCGTATAATTTAATGATGTCCATAGTTGCCATGGCCAAACCTGCTCCGTTCACAATACATCCAATATTGCCATCAAGACCAATATAATTCAAATCGTATTTAGCAGCACGAACATCTCTAGGATCTTCTTGTGAAATATCCTTGAGAGCGAAAAGTTCTGGTTGACGGAATGCAGCATTGTCATCGATATTAATTTTAGCATCAGCACAAATCACTTTTCCATCAGCAGTTTCAATTAAAGGATTGATTTCAAGAAGAACTGCGTCTGTCTTCATAAACAAGTTATAAAGTTTTGTAATTTGGTCGACCGCTTGTTGCATCATGTCATCACGAGTAAAACCTAATTTTTGAGCTAACTCTGCTGCTTGAGTCTTCTTCAATCCCTCCTTGATATTGATTTGAATGGTATGGATTTCTTCAGGACTTTCCTTAGCGACATCTTCAATAGCCATTCCTCCCTGAGTACTTCCGATTAAAACAGGACCTCCCGATTGTCGATCAAGTAAAATGGCAAGATATAATTCTCTACGAGCATAAAGTCGTTCTTGAATATAAACCTTGTTACATGGCTTTCCTTCAGGTCCGGTTTGTTTGGTTACAAGGACTTGTCCCAACATTTTAGAAGCATATTCTTCAGCTTCTGCAACCGAAAGGGCTTTTTGAACACCACCTTTAAGACCATTCTTGAATTTTCCTCGTCCTCTTCCTCCAGCCAAGACTTGAGCCTTTACAATATAATCCACGTTATAGCCCAAATCAATACAGGCTTTTTTCACTTCGGTTACACCCGTGATGATTTTACCTCTAGGAACAGAAATATCATATTTTCTGAAAAGGTCTTGAGCCTGATATTCATGAATGTTGAGAAAACGTTTTTGAGTACAATTAAGAGCCGTTGTTGTTGTAGTTGCTGAATTCGGAGAAAGAAGAAGAGAAGAGAGAGCGTTGGATTTTGAAGAGCTTTTCGAGCAAGCTCGGAATAATGATGATGAGGACGAGGCAAACATTTTTTTGAGTTATTTTTAAAAATTAAAAAATTAACAAACGTTCTAAAAATTTGAACGACGAGGATTCTCAATGATTCTCATAGGATAAGGAAAAGATGTCGCGCCACCTCAATCTTTACATCATTCGCCAGGTGTGTTTGAGAGTCTTCTTGGATTCACAGAGAGGATGAGATTAAAGATCGATGAAAAGCGTTCAGCATTGAATCCTCTTCTTCTTCGTTTGCTTGTATCATCTTCAATGTTTGAATGATTGTCAAATTAAATTTCACACTTTTCATGAACCTTCAAATGAGGTCATGACATTAAAAAAACTCAAGCAGCCAAGATCATACACAAGAGTAATAATGTCACTCCTCCAATAACACTCCATTGTGAAAACGTCAATTGATGCCTCGACCATGCTTCTCCAAAGAGCTGTAAATCCGCTTTTGTGAAATTCCCAAAAGATGTCAAATTCGTTAACGACATGATCCATTGTTGATGAAAATCGACCGAAGTATAGACTCCTCGATTCGTGTATGACTCTTGAACTCCACACTTGTCAGGACCATAACTATAGATATTCAGGGAGGTGGACCATTAAGATGTTCATGATTTTTGAATTTTCCAAAAATCTTAATCATCATAACGTGCTTACCTTGTGAGTCCAGTTTGAGTATAAATTCCATGTTGAATGAATAACAAAGGTCCACCAGAATCGCCAGCACCTTTTTCATGATCCATTCCATTCATTATCATAAATCCCAACATTCCAAATATATATTTATCATCATCCTTATTGTTATACGAAATTATAAAACCATGATGACTTACAAGTATCCACTCCTTCTCCAGCTCCTGCACAGGTCTGTCCCCGCGATGTGGACATTCCCAATCTCAACTCATTACATGCCGAGTCAGGTACAATGGGTACCATTCCCTTCCTCAGAAAGTCAGAGACCCGATTCGCTCCACTGTAATAACCCCAACCCAACACGAAATGTTGAGTCTCAAAGGAAGGTCTTTTCAAAGTCAAGGCAATGGGTTGAATGGTAGAAGTCCAAGGTAAATCTTCATGTAATTCCAATAAGGCTATATCATTGGCTGCAAAGGCATCACTGTAACGAGGATGGACATGAATGTGTTTCACTCTCGCTCGGATACAATTCCAGAACCGAAATTGAGTCGTTCGTCCAGTAGTAGTAGCAGTAGTAGTTCTCTCCATGCTCTCCCTGTTAGAGGTTAAAGAAGAACCAGGTGAGGAAGAAACACCATCCATAAAACCCTCCAAACTACACGTGGATAAACGATACGAACCGACCATGACGGATAACTTGTTGGAGGGAATGACCTGACCCGATAGCACGACACAATGTCCAGCCGTTAAGATCCATCGTTTGGCAATGATAGTACCTCCGCATCGATGGTAGGGATCTCGTTGAGGAGAGGGTTGATATTGGAGAGAGGCCATGAAGGGAAATTCACGACTGTCCATGACGATTTGACCTCCTTGGACAGAGACTTTGAGAGTCATGGCATGTATGAAGAAGAGAGGATTCAATGTACTGCTGGTACTCCTACTACTGAAGAAGAAGAAGGAGAAATTGAAAAGTGGTAAGACTTCTAATAAGATGAATACAAGAACGAGTCTTGAAATAAATGTTTTGCTTTTCAGAGTTTGGGGATTTGAAGAAGGTTTCATGAATTCCGATTAAGAGTAGTAGAGTGGATGGTGTGGTAGGTTTTTTGAATTTCAACCAACCACTAACGAACCTGTTGTAAGCTTTCAAATAAGCCAAGACTGGTGTTGGAAATTACATATGGCGGGATTTGAATTAATGTCATGAACATGGAAATGTAATAGTTCATCTTTGGTATGACATTGATATCGCATGTCGCAAATAGTAACTGTTGTTAGGGCAATAATTTACATCATGCTCGTTTGAAGGAGCATTGGAATAACATCTATATGATGGATAATATGATATTCGTTCCTTTTCAAAATTCTTTAAACACCAAGATGAGCGCCTTTATTTAAATCAACAATTTGAACAAAACAAACAAATCGAACAAAGTGCTGATCTTGCAAGCAAACACTCAAAGAGCGAAAGCCAGGGGAAAGGACCCAACGCACACAAGGTGGGGAAGACCCAACACACAAGGTGCTCAAAAACTAACTCTATGTGTAGTAAGGAATCGAAGAAGAATATTTCTTGCTCCATTGATATCTCTGTCAAAAATTGAGCCACATGATGGACAACGAAACACTTCAGATGATCCAACCGTATGAATATGTCCACAACATGAGCAAGTTTTGGATGTATACGCTTCGTTGACAATATAAATGTGTGTCCACGGATGCTCTCTAGCTTTGTGAAGCAATCTTTGCTTGAATCTGTAATGTGACCAAGTCAACATTTTTCTTGCAGTCTTGCTGTTAATTCTCCTATGGAGTTTCTTTACCATTTTCTGAGTCTCAAACGAAGGAAGTAAGATCACTTGGTAGTTTCGACACAACCACAAACACAGTTTCTTGTGTAGATCATCCACAATATTTCTAATCTTTTGTTGAATTCTTCTTCCTGCTCTCTTGTACTTGTATCTTTTGCAATGTCTGACTTCTGGTTGAGACCACTTCGATTGCAACTTGTCATACGCGCAACACAATCTACCAATTCTTGGAACTGACTGTTGATGATTATATTGACATGTTGAGTTTGTAATAAATTGTGGCTTTTGTTCTTTTATTTTAGCGCAGAGCAATTAAAAACCGTTTATTATAACAAAACCTCCAAAACAAACAAGGTTAGTAATAAAGCAGCGTCATCAGGACTGTGTTTTAGTGATGGTTTTTGAAAGAATTTGCTGGAATTATTCTTTTGGCTTCAACGGTTGTTTAAACCATTCAAGAAGGGTTTAATACAATAGGATTCCAATCCGTGAAGGTCCCAGTTAAACCTTAAAAGATTGATCGTTGAGCGTGAAAGATTGAAGTGTTTTGATGTTGGAGAGTCGTATCGAGTTAGACACGTTGTGGTTGGTGAGCTGGTCACTTTTCAAATGTAAATGGTTCACGTTTTTGTAGACACCCAAAATATTACGCAAAATTCTTTCATCGAGCAATGGATGATCGAGTCGTAACGTATAGCTGTGTGCGTTTGGATTTGATGGCACTAGCAGTATGACATTGTTTCTAAAAATCACAAATGACCCTTCATGGCCCTTCTCAATTTTACATAATTTTCTACAATTATTAAATAATCTGGTGACAGTCCATCGGCTGACGTCAATGCCTTCAATTTCTAATTTTTCTAAATGATTCTCAAGAGCTGAATAAAGATCAGCCAAATATTTCATGGAGTTTTCAGTTACCTTTGTTTTTGATAAATTTAAGTGCTTCACGTTTTGAGGACTTGGCAACGACTTGATCATTCCAATACATCCATTGTCAGTAATTGCTGTATTTTCTAGTTTTACTCTATTAATGTCGTACAACTAAATATTCTCGTGAAATGCTTACCGTTCAATTTGTGGAATTTTAGTACAAATTCCCACAATGATATCATCATTTAATTGTACATTGCTAAGATTGATTTCTTTCAAGAACGAGAGTTTTGGAAGAGCAATCATCAGAATATTATTGTTAATATCATAAACCTTTCCACATAAATCCATTACAGTTAAATTAGAATGATCTATTTTACCATTATTAATGGCATCTACCAAAGTCTTCAAGAATAAATCAAATTCAAATTTTGAAAATGCAGTCGGGAGTAATTTCTTTGGAGAGGTAAATATTTCCTCTTCCTGATAATTATGAGGAGGAAAAATCAATTGTAATTTTTCAGAAATGTCATATAGCGATGGTGATTCCGTTGATAGTGTTCCATCTTCTTTCCGAACATTTTCAAGGATCAAAGCTAAATGAAATAAGAAATTGCTTGAGCGATCCAACAATTGATGATGATGAATAATTGTACACTTACGCATGATATGCTGGATGATTGCTTGAGCTCTTGCAGCCGTTCGGGAAGAAAGATAATTCCTGATGGAAGACGATGAAGACATTTTTTTAAGAACTTGTTTGCTTTTGTGTTTCAAATTCTTAATGTCAAATACATTCCCAATTCATTCCGAGCTTGATCCAATAATAAGCGTTTTGAACGGCAATCAGAGAGTGTTTTAGTATCTTATTGAATGTTTGGAAAAGATGAAAAAAATGAGTTTAAAGAGAGACGACATCATCACAGAATTTCCAACCAACACCAAGAAGAAGGATGAAGAAGGTATTCATCAACGACACGTTCGGAATACGTTCAAAATCGTTCAGAAATATTTTACGGAAAATGAGATGAGTTGGGACTTGAGTGGGACTTACCTACAAGATCTTTGTGATGATAACAATCAATATGAAATTGAGCATTTAGGAAAGGAGGCCAATCAAGAAGCAATACTCGTTGAATTTTATGCTTCTCGTAATTATCTTGAAGGATTTTCTAATCATGTGGTGAGAATCTTGGGAAGATGTATATTCACGCAAAGTCTGCGAAAACTAAACTTGAGTTGCAATAATTTAACGAAATTTCCACCATTGAAAGAGCTTGTAAATCTACAGGAATTGTTGCTATCAAACAATAAGATTTCAGAAATAGATCCTCAATTAGAAAATTGCATTAATTTAGAGAAATTGGATTTGAAAATGAACAGAATTACGTCACTCCAAAATCTACCACTTCCAGCTAATGGGGCCACAAATAACAAGCTTGTATATCTTTCCTTGAGTTGTAATCAGCTCGCTGAAATCAACGACACGGAGATGCGAAAGTGTGGAAATTTGCAACATTTGGGGTTATTTGGGAATTTAATTGAAACACCTCTAACACAAATATTAGTTTTACTTAGTGAGAGTTGTGGAAATGCATTACAAGAGTTGTGGTTACAAGCTAATCCCATTACACCTATTAGCTCAATTACTGCAGATGAAAATGTGCTGGGAGTCCACAATAGAGTTGAAATAATTAGTCAAACATTGTCTCTATCTAGAGACAAGGAAATTGAGCTTGTTCAACAAAGACTTCCTGCGCTTTCTCATTATAATGGAACGTATTTAAATTAATACTACATTTTCTTATCATGTTACAAATCTCCACTCAACCATCAGACTTTTTCAGATAAGGAGTGTAAGAATTACTTTGGTTAGAACAAGCGTGTTAAGCCTTGTGCATGATGGTAAAGCTATATGACCAAGGATATGACTAAAGAAGTTCTTCTCAGTTTTTAATTTTATTATTTAGAGCTTGAATTTTGGAGTCTTTTAGACGTATCAGAAGTTGTAGTTTGTTGATTTTTGACTCAAGAAGCTTGACCGTCTCCTCAAGCTCATGAATTTTTGCATCTTTTTCTCGAACTAGTTCGATATCCTCGGTAGAAAATTTTCCTAACGGATTTGAGTTATGGTACATGGAATCGTTGTTAGGTGTTTGAACATTGTCATGATTCTCCTTCACTTTGTTTGGAGCTTGTTGACTAGAGCCTTTTTGGTTCGACACTACGTCCATATGATCGTCACCATAATCTCTCTGGGTTGCTCTCTGAGAACGAGCTGATGACGCAGAAGCAGGTCTCCTTGTTTTTGATGTTGTCTGTTGTTGCGTGTTTGAATTCTCCCTAGAATTGTTGTGATTTCCTAGTCCGCTTGACGCCCTAGACCCTTGTTGTTGTTGTTGAGTAAGCTTTCGTTGTTGAATTTGAGATACTTTGATTTGAAAGTTCTTTAACATTCGTTCAGCCGCAAAGGGTTTACATTTTACCATGTCGTCAAATTCTTTAGGGTCTACATAAAAACCAATTTTTTGAAATACCTTTTCTGTTGTTGGCAATTTCGACATTCCAAATCACCTCTGAACTGTTGAAGTACAACACAAAAAACTTACGGTCTAAGGTTTGCCAATTGTATCCTTTTTGCTTAGAGCTACTTGTAGAAACATAATTATGAAGATCCACCAATTTCGGAAAGAAATGCTTAACCACCTCTGCCATCAATACTCCGTCGCTGAAATCTCGGGCAATGTTCTTTTTAGGTCTACTCAAAGGTATTTCATCGACCCATGTATACAACATTTGTAACTCCTCCTCATCAAAAGACGGAATGGTTCCATCTCCTCCCGATCCACTTGTATCATGTAGTTGATGAGCCTGATGAGCGTGTACTCTCGTCGTTGATGAAGGTGATGTGGGCGGGTTTTGAAATCGTGGTGCTTGACTCATTTTTTACAGCTGCAGAGCTCATTTGGACTCAACCACCGGTAAAAAGTGATGGCGCCAAAGTCAATTACTTTCATGCAGCTTGATCATTCTTTGGTATCATCAACATTAGAGTAATTTTTTAAGAGAGTTCATACCTCACATTGGAAGTCTTTATTGCAACAAACAATTACTATTACTATTTTTTCTCTTTCTGCGTGCTGAGGTTGTTGTGTCCACGCTTTCAGACACTTGCTCTTCATCTGTCCATTGTTGGCCAACTTCATCAACCACAATCATGACACGTTCTTGAGGTGGTTGTCTCCAAGATCCCCACGTGGTCCAACTCAAACGATGAGCACTCTTCTCAACAAGAGAGGCCTTTGCTTGCTTCTCTTTTCGTTTTCTCTGTTTTGTAATTTTGGAACTAGTTAACTCATTCGAGTTGTTGCCACTATTATTGGAATTTGTAGAAACCACAGAGAGAGGAACGTTTTTACATCTTCGATAGTAATATTGAGAATAATCTGCAGTTGTATCATTCAGGAGTGGTGGTCTTCGATAATGAGACCGATCGCTCATGGGTCCACCATCTCTGCCAGATCGAGAAGATTTGAACTTTTCATGAATGCTTGGAGTACGTCCGTGAGTGGAAGACGAGGTTGCTGCTGTTGACGACGGTGATGATCCATAATATTGCTCATTGAATTGTAAATGAGTCATGATATCAGCATTGAGAATAATGTCATTCACTAATACTTGTGTGCTCTTCTTCACGTCAATGCAATTCAAAACGACAACATTTCTTCGCATTTCTTCTCTTCGTTCTTGAGAGGTGGCAACATGAATGAATTGTTCAATGATAAATTCACAACACGAGTGCCACTCTTCAAGCTTGGAATCACCAAATTTGTGTTGAATGGATGGAATTTTTGGCTCTGTCTGTTTTTGTCCTTCAGCTGCTGGATTGAGTTGTTGAACACAATGTACAAGTGAATTCTTTCGAGTTGGAGTGAGTGGGAATTGTTTTAAGGCTTCCTTAAAAACGTCCACAAATGTAAATACCAACAAGATGGGTATGTCTGAAAAGTACTTTCCATTCACACATTGTTCAAACTTCTCTAGTGAGTATTCGAGACGATTTTTCTCAATCATTGAACCACTGAAAGAATCTTTGACCTGAATAGTTTTGAAAAAGTCACATAAATTCACGACATAGACCATTGCATTTGATGTGTAGCAGCACACAATCCACTCTTTTTTAGAGAAGGTGATTTTGGGATTAATACCTCCCTTTGTAAATTACGATTATTGGGAGTGGATTCATGCATACATACATGACAGGCCATAAACGATGATAACTATTAAATATACAACAATGGAATCTTAATACATACCATTGTAACAATGCTAAATATCGTGTTTTTCTGTTTGGGAGGAGTAGGTTTTTTAACTGTCTTTGGAGGAGGTTCATGAGCTTCAATTGTTGGAGTGTTGTTAGAATTCGTAATGTGTGACTTTAAAAAGCTAAGTAATCGACGTGGGCTTGAGAGTGGTTCTTTCTTTTCTTCTACCACTGGTTTTTGTTCTTGAATCTTGTCAAGAACGAGAGGTCTTACTGCTGCTACAACTTCTTGAGTTGCAGAGCCTCTATGATTTCCGGCCAATGCCTTATAAATATGTGAATTTACAGAATATAACAGTGTGGAGTCAGATTTGGAATAATCTGTGTGGGATTGTGTGGTTGTAAATGACGATGATAACACTGTTGCACATGATTTCTTGTGTTCTCCTGGTCGGTTTTCGTGTGGTTGTTGGGAAAAAGTTGGAGCCTCTTGAGTGATCAAAATTGTGTGGTTACCCAATTCTTGACTATTGATAGGATCTGAGGCAGTAGTGGAAGACGAATTTGAGGCCGTTGAAGATTGTATCTCTGAAAGTGGAGGCAAGTTGAATTTGAAATTATATTCGGTGGTAGTACTGGATTGAGCATTGTTTTCTACTGGAGATCCAGTACTCACCATCGAGTTCAGTAAAATGATGATTTCAGAAGGCATTTGAGTTGTTTCTGAATTAGAAATTCCTTCTCCCAATAATTGAGTACTGTTGTGTGAAGAAGCATCATTATGATCATCATCATTGGCCACATCTCCTCCAAATCCAAACATTTTCGATGGCATTTTCAATAAATATCGATCCACTACATGTTCCATAATGGATGGAAAAGCCGAGAATGCATTTCCAATTTGAACAGACATTTCACTCAAATACTTGTCTTCTTTTTGAAAACCATTCATAGACTTGGAGTCCATCTCGCCACTACAATTATTCTTGAATAATGTATAGGCATGGAAGGTATGTTGAAGTCCCAAATGATTCTCCCACAATTCTTTACAGTCGTTGAAAAACTCGGTTCTCAATCGTTGATTCGCAGCTAACTTCTGAGGCTCGTGAATCTTTTTCATGCGCTCCACTATTGAAAAGGTCTTTTCGAGTTTCCATTGTAGTTGTTGGCAGGAAAGTTTCCCTTCCTTCATGACTACGAGAGCTTTCTCTGCTGCCATGGCATGGCAATAGTCGCAGTAGTCATGATTGTCCGTGTTGGAAGAAGACGTTGTGTTTTTCAATTTGTCCAAATTTGTAAATTGTTTTAGGAATTGATGAAATTCTTCCTCTGTCTTGTAGAGAAATCCTTTCGCTTCGGCATCATCAATTAATATACGGAAGCACACAAATATTTGAGATAATAATTCATAAGGAAGAGCCTTAAGAACAGCATCCGAGAAGGCATGTCTTCTTTTTTTCAATACTGTAACAGGAGAGAATGAGGATGTTTGATCCAAAAGAGAGGTAGTACTTGTTGATTGTTGTTGAGAATTAGAGTTGGGAGTTTGTGCTTTCTTCTTGATATTGAGAATTGGGCGTGCAGGAGTGTTCTCTTCTGTTTTGTTGCTTTCAATCTTGTTGATGATTGAACTGACGCTCACTTTTGATATTTCCGATTCCAAAACTTTAGTCTTGTTGATGGGTGGACTACTCGAAGAGTCGTTGTTGTTGAGGTTGTTGAAAAGTGTATTGGAAAGAACTGGTCTAATGGATCTTCTCCGAGCAGGAGGTAATGGCCTTGGATGATTACGGGCAAATAATGGCAAACGAGGTAATGGTCTCGAATGACTGACACGTTGCATCAACGGAGAGTCGTTGTTCAAATGATCATTTGGAGCTGATGATGAATTCATTGAGAAATTAAAATTGGTATGAGGAGAAGAAGGGAGTAGAGATGATCCAGTATGGTTGTCATCCTCATTGCTATTGTTTGTTTGGTGTGGGAGCTGATGATGATGAACGGAAGGTGATGATGTGGCAAAGGATGAAACCGTTGATGCCGATGATGACGAAAGGGAATTGGCCGTTGATGAGAAACTGAAAGGTTTTGGACTATTGCTACCATCGTGTTGTTGTTGCCATTGAACATGATGTAAGTGATTGGGAATGTTAATTGGAGAGGATCGGAGACTTGATGGTGTATGTGGATGACTACTATTTGGTGATCTTGGAGTTTGAATGGAAATTCCATCACTAGACTCCTCTACCAACGGTGTCGTATGAGGAATGAGTTGAAAGAGATGAAAGAGAGTCGACAAACCCGACTCTGAAAGACCATACAATAATAATTTCACCATGGTGATGATGATTGATTAATGAATGATGATGAACTAAGTAATTAATGAACAAAGGATGACACTCGGATGATGTCAAGGTTAGAGAGCTCTCTTGTTCGTGATGATGAACCACACACAGTTCTGTTGCAATTTCTTGTAGACGGCGCTGTATGAAAGGCTCTCTGATGAGACTGGAACCAATAGCTGAGAAGCCAAAAGTTGAATCAAGCAAAGACCATTCAACGTCGTATGGCGGCGCATCCGACGTTGAAGCGCACTAAAAACCTGTCAGATATTCGTCAAGTCAAAAATGAAAAAGAAAGCATAAAAAAATTTATTCGTTGAATGTCATGCAGTAGAATTGGTAATAGTTCTGGTTTAGGGTGCTAGCAAGGATCTGTCTTCCGTGAGCTGTTCGTTGGCACGCTGTTGTTTTACAAGCTTAAGCTGAAGCGAATAATGGTGTAACGTCCTATGGCCTCTATATTTCGTTTCAGTTTGTCTGTTGTTGCAGTAAGAACCCAAGTTGCTTCGGTTCTTCAAACCCTTGCAAACCAATCAGGAAGAGACTCACTCATTTTATTTTTGATTCCTTTGGGGTTCACTCAAATCAGCTGACGTGGGATTGACGAATATCTGACAGGTTTCTAGTACCAATTGCGCCGCCATAGAAAGACTGACCGGTTATGTCATGGATGAACCTAAAGCGAAACAATGTCAAGTCTCAACTTATTTTATGTCATCTGTCGAAAAAACGTTATTATTATTTCGCTGGAGTTGGTCCAATCATCATCAACAACAAGAAGAAAATTTTCTCATCCTTCTTCATCATCATCATCCAGAGTGGACTGAAACAAGAGTATCAATTGGATTGTATTCATCAAACAAACTTTTAATTTTTCAAATCCATTGACTTGGCGTCTCCTCTTCTCACGAGAAAATTTAAAAACACAATTTCAAGAACGTTGTTGTCATTATCCATTCTCCAATAATATTAATCATCCCCTTGTTTTATTTTGCAACCGCGTTGATTATCAACCATCATTCTCCAACAACAATAACAACAATCACAACAATAATAACTCGAGAACACCCTCTTCATCATCATCATCGTATACGAATTCATACTCCTAAAATTGAATTCTTTCATCTTGTTCTTCTTTCACTCGAGTGATTTTCAAATTTTCCTCATTCTGACTTTTACTCACATCCATTATTGATTGCTTCTTCTCATCACACCATGAGCGTGAACATGACCAATGTGGTGGATGAACTCACCAAAGTTGCTCAACACAAACTCGAATCTCTTCCCGTCTCGAAAGACATTCCTCGTCTCGCTCGAAAATTTACTCTTTTCAGATATAACAAACAAGATTCAACAATGCAAGAAAAGAATTTCACAGCGGATAAAGCCAAAGATAAGATTAATATAGTCTTGTTCGAATTGATGCATGCTTTGTGTTCAGAGATTGGTACTCAATCACCGGGTGGAGCTTCTCAAGAAATATTTGACACAGAGGTTAATACGAATATTCCAACGACTTTTGACAAGTATTTACTCAAGTATTATGGAGAGAATCATGCAATTATCAAGTTATTGAAATGTTGTAATCAGAGTCCTGTAATTGCTGTGTTGTTTCATGTGAGAGAATGTTTAAAGAATCATGGAATTGAATTTAAGGATTGTAGAGGAATGTGGGTAAGTAATAGTTGGAACATTTTGAAATTAATCGATGAAATACATCTTAATTCACACAAATTCACACACAACTCCAGTTCCTGGATTTCCACACTGGAAAGGACTTTAAAACACCAATCATTACTCAGAGACGTATCGAACAAGTGTATAGCATTTCAGAAGACAAATCCAGTCTTATTTGCAAGTATAAATTTGAATGGGAGATATCCATACAATTCGATACACTACATTGTGACCATATTACAAAAATTGAATTGAAACTGAAAGATCTTGATTACTCTGGTTATTCATGTCCAGAAAAAGAAAAGGAAGAAAGTGGAAAAGTGTTTGCAAAAGCATTTTCAGGAACTGTTGTGGACGGCTTGAAAATTGCAGTCACAGGCGATTAATTCATGTCATGTGATACCATTGATTCATTCATGTCATGTGATATCAATGATTCATACCATGACCCGACATTCCCTTGTAAATACTTCTCTTCCAATTTTTTCACTTTATTAGAACATTCACTTTGATTTTTCACAAAGCCTATTTTCTCTCTGGCCGACATTCACGAGGTTTTCACACAAACTCCTCTCTAAGCATTCAATTTTTATAGTTTTTAATTTAGGAATGGACAACCTTCACATGATTCACTCTAAGACGATCCTCACGTGTCATAGATTATCCCTACATTGTTTCATATTAAAATTAAGATTGTGTCTTTTACCAAATAGTACATGCCGTTTTGAAACGTTGTCCAGAGTGGACAACAAAGTTTGTGTGTTGGGGAGAATGGAGGTGAGTGCAATTCAGAAGTTTCACAATTTTGTTTGAAAAAAAATTCGTTACGAATTGTGTGTATCACCACATCATCATCATCATTCGCAATCGTTTCAAGAGAAAGATGATTCCGGAACAAGTTGGTTTGAAACAAGAACAAACCAAACAAGAACAGGCAAAGGAGGACAATGGCACCAAGAGTAGTATTGAAAATTCAGTGATTGCCAAACGTTCTCGGGAATTCTTTCGTCTTTCTCATTATGAACAGGCTGGAGGAAAAAGTACAACGGCCATTGAAGAGGAAAAGCAGATGAAGGAACAAGAAGCATTATCGGAGCAAGAAGTATTGAATATGTTGGTTCATGGTGGAACAGGTAAGTAGTAGTTCCGATTTGAGCACAAGTAGTAGTTTGAATATTGTACTTTACACCACCCAACTTGGTCCGCAATGTATCTATGAATTTATCGCGCAAATTTATGAAAACACATTGAATGCATCATGATGAAATGGATATTATTTCAAAACTATGGCCAATAGATAATGAAAACCTTCGTCAAAAAACAAGCCTCATTCAAACCATTCATGATTCAATTATCGGAGATGATGAAGTTTTTAAATCACCTTTTGGATATAGAAAAATAACTTATTGTGACTATACAGCTTCTGGAAGGTCGCTTAGTTTTTTGGAAGAGTTCATGAAGAAGCAGGTGATGACCATGTATGCCAATACTCACACAACAAGCTCAATAACTGGTCTTCAAAGTACATTATTTAGACATGAGGCTCGTTATATTGTAAGAAATGCACTAAACTGTGGAAAGAAGGATGTTTTAATATTTACTGGAAGTGGTTCTACAAGTGCTGTAAACAAGTTGGTTCACTTGTTGGGTCTTCAGAAGGGCGGTGACATGAATTTGCTCTTGGAAAAGAGAAAATGGGAAAAAGAGTTCAATATCAAGAATAATTTATTAGAAGACAATTTCAGACAGCCACAAACTAATTCTCCTTTTCCCTCTGACAATGACCAATTTTATGATGATTATTACAACATAGAGAATGGAGCTGATATTGACGAATTACGACCTGTTGTTTTTGTAGGACCAATGGAACATCACTCAAACATTCTTCCATGGAGAGAATCTTGTTGTCACATTGTTCCAATCAAATTATATATACCAACGACTGGCTCTACTGCCACAAGAAACGAAGTTGCTGATTTAGAGGACTTAGAAAACAAGTTAAAACACTTCAAGAATGGAAAGAGACAATTAATTGGAGTCTTTTCAGCTGCTTCCAATGTCACAGGTGTTTTAGAGCCTAATGTGAATAAGATATCCATCTTGATGCACAAATATGGAGGTTATGTAGTTTGGGATTATGCTGCAGCAGCTCCCTATGTAAAGATGGACATGAATCCAAGAGGAGTCTCAACCGAAAATTTGGATCATACATTTGGAAAGATTACTGAAGAAATTCCAGACGAGGACAAACCTTTATGTTACAAGGATGCTCTGGTATTCAGCCCACATAAATTCGTTGGTGGCCCAGGCACGCCAGGAGTCCTTGTTGTCAAAAAACACATGTTCAAGAATAAGATTCCAGAAAATCCTGGAGGAGGTACAGTATTCTTTGTGACCGATAGAGATCATCACTATGTGAAAAAGTCATACGAAAGAGAAGAAGGTGGTACACCAGAAATTTTGGGATCAGTCAGATGTGGTCTTGTTTTCCAACTTCGTCAAGCAGTCGGTACTCAATTAATTTCTCAAATAGAGACAGATTTTACGAATCGTGCCTTCAACGAATTCAAGTCTGTCAAGAACTTGGTAATTCTTGGCCATGGTCAAAATACTCCTCGCCTTCCAATTTTCAGCTTCCTTATTAGACACCATAATTCATTCCTTCCATCTACCTTCGTGTCAATATTGTTGAATGATTTGTTTGGTATTCAAACTAGATCTGGTTGCGCTTGTGCTGGCCCATTTGCTCACTTCCTCTTTGGGCTCAAGTACAGCGAATCTAAAAACCTTGAAAATGTGCTCTTGTCAGATGATGATTATGAGTTTTTGAGACCTGGTTTCGTGAGATTGAATTTCAATTACTTTATGGATGAGGATACATTTGTATACATTACAAAGTCTGTTAAATTTGTTGCAGAACATGGATACAAATTTTTACCATATTATTACTTTTATCCAGAAACAGGAGAATGGTTGCACAATCAAAACAGAAAATTCCCCACCAGAAGATGGCTACAAAACATTTCATACAAGAATGGAAAACTCGAATATAGACAAGAAATTGGCTACAAGATTACTTCCCCAAGCAAGGAATATGAAAAGTATTTAAAACATGCTGAAGAAATGGCTGATCAAGCAGTTAAGGAATTCTCTAATCCTAAATTCAGAATTGTTGACCAAGATTTACTACTACTCAACAAGACTAATACTAATTTATTGAAAGAAAACAGCATTATCAATAAGGAGAACCTTCCAACAAAAGAAGAAGAAATTGATCATGCCGAAAAATGGAGATGGTTTGTCTTCCCTAAGCAAATTGTGGAAGAGTTACAAGGAGGTGACATTCATTCAATTTTCAAAGCTTCTTATTTGAAGCCATGGACAGGTTTCGCAGTTTCAGAACAATCAGTTTCTTCAAACGAAACTGCCTCCACACAAAGTCGTCTCATTCACTCCACTCTCACTTCAGAAATTAATCCAGTTTCATCTTCGCTCATTGGAGTAGAGTTACCATCATCATCGACACAATCAACAGAAACGAATGTACAAGTGGAACCTTCTTCATCTACTCTACCTACGTCATCTATTGATGGTTTTGATATTGGAGAAGATGATTTTGGAGGAGATTGGAAAAAAGAAAGTACTGCCAAACCTTATGTTCAAAAACGACCAGTCATGTACAGCAGACCTGTCAATGTTTTTGATCATGAGACCAACAAGGAAATTATACTCTCTGACGAGGATGACAAGAAACGTCGAGAGGCACTCAAGAAACACTACAAAATGTGGCCAAAAGTTGATGCTAAAACCATTATGGGACCTGTAAAGAGAGCCATTCGTGAGTACGACATGATTCGTGACGGGGATCGTTTGCTTTTAGGATTATCTGGTGGTAAAGATTCCCTCACTTTGCTTCATGTTTTGCACGCACTTCAATACAGCAATTTGGGAGTGAAATTTGAATTTGGTGCCTGTACAGTGGATCCACAAACAGCATCCTATGATCCTTCTCCACTCATTAACTATTGTAAACAATTAGGTGTTCCATATTTCTATGAATCTCAATCTGTCATTGAGGGAGCTAAGGAATGTAATGCATCGTCTATTTGTGCATGGTGTGCCAGAATGAAGAGAGGAATTTTGTACAACACTGCAAGAAGAGAAGGGTATAATGTATTGGTTTTGGGACAACATTGTGACGATTTGGCAGAGAGTTTTATCATGTCCATTTTCCATAATGGTTATATGAGAACCATGAAGGCTCATTACACAATTGATGCTGGAGATTTACGTGTGATTAGACCTTTGATTTATGTCAGAGAGAGCGAGACAAAGAAGTTTGCATGGGAAAACAAGTTACCTGTCATTAATGAGAATTGCCCTGCTTGCTTTGAAATTCCAAAAGAAAGAGCACGCATCAAGACACTCCTCGCCAATCAAGAGCTTATTTATCCACAATTATTCCTTAGTTTACAAACAGCCATGAAACCACTCATGAGCAAAGATATTGAAGTGGAGGGACACAAAAAATTCAAGAGTGCCAAGCCCAAGTTTGAAACAATCACACAATACATTAAGGGATACAATGCCAACGAAGGTTCTTCCAGTGATGACTCTATGGTTTGCAGAAGAAAAACAATGGAGGAGGACGACGAGTTCAATGATGACGACGATGTTGGAAACGTTGTCACCAGTAAGAAGGAGTAAATAATGTAGATATTATAGATAATTATAGATTTTAGTGGTTATTCCAGTCCAAAACTTATTCTTTCTTTGAAAAACATTTTCCATGCACTCAAGAAAATTAAATATCATTCAAATATCTTGAAATTGCTTCGACCATCAAAAAAGTCACAGCATTCACTGGTACTGCACGTACCAATGTAGGTGCTAATCCCTTAAATAAGGATTTAGACTTTCTACACTCATTAAAAACGTCAATCACCTTCACACTGTATTCTCCTCTGGCAGCTGCTACTGGAGATCTTGATTGAATGAGACTTTTCACAACATCGGTTTGGTAGCATAGTCCCCAAGCACTTAGACCTGCCAAGCCACCACTCGTTAAAATCACTCTCCAATCAGAACGCAATTCTTCAATCTTCTTCTTAATCTGCTCTTCGTCAGCTCCTTCCATCTGCTTGGAGGCTAAATATCTCGAAAATCGTGTTTTACATTGTTCATAGGTTGCAAAATAAACTCCATTAAAACTCAACTCTCGAATCAGAGTAGACGAATAACCATGATAAATTCCTCTTAAACCTCCTTCATATTTCCAAATAAATTTAGCACAATCCATAAATCCTCTTCGACCCAAAGTGCCAGAGGTGGCTCGTGTGGTGATATGATCCGTTGAGGTTTGAAGTCTAATCTTAATAAGCTCTGTTGGACAAACCACAAAAGCAATACAAAAACCAGCCAATGAACCACTTGCAAACTGAATTGGAATTGAGGTTCTACGAATCATGGTCTGTTCTTCCTCACTTAAATTTCCAAGAAATGTAGAGAGTACATTCGGAAGCAATCCGTTATAGACTCCAAACAAGATACAATTGTTGATCGCTTCTCCAATCAGAGGAGAAAGTAATCCCTTGAAAAGAGAACGAGCTCCTTCTTTTGCTACTGCTTCTTTCAAAAAGTGAATGGCACCGAATTTTGAGGAAGTTTGTGTTTGAAGCCTTACACGGATGGTATCTGAAATGAACAAACGTGAGAAAGATTCCATTTGAATCCATAATTTCATCATCAATGAATGGTGATGATTTAAATAATTTTCCTTACTTACCTAATGGATGTCCAACAAATATTCCCGAGCTGTTGGAGTTTAGCCATGTGTGATTAGAAAAAAGAATAAAGAACTTACATTCCACCAATACTTCCTGCTACACATTCCTTTCCAAAATTCTTCATCAATTGTCCAAAAGATACTGATTCCGATGATACCACTACTTGTGATGATGTAGTAATTTCCTGTGGTGATGATTCCATTCTCAGTCAGATAATAAATAATTATATTTGGTGATGATTATAATTTAGGTCCAGTTCTGCAAATACTATTCTTCGTGATGGTTGTTCAATAAATTGAATCATCAATGAGACGTAGTGGTGATTGGGATGATTTCGAAAGAGGATTTTATTCCAATAAATTAAACAGAGAGAGCAGGAACAACACGTTGTTGTGGAGAAATCAAAAACAGAGAAAATAACAAGTCGAACGATGGCGAGAGTTCTTTTGAATTTTTTCAAACTTCAATTTTTTACATCATCCATCTTCCTGTTTGAGGACCTCTGCTTTGCCACCAAAAACATCAGCCACAAGAGTTGTAGATACAATCACAGCAACAATTGCATCAGCAAACGAGTTTTATTCAAAAGAAAAAAAGATAAGCAACTTTCAAGAAGCCAAAGTTATTCCATGTCATCAAAGTAGTCATCCTCTTTCTCGTAAGTTGTCGTTTCTTCAATAATTTCAGATTCTTGGAGGGCAACCCAACTTGGCCAATATAAAATTGTAAAGAGCCAAACGTACAAGCTGTAGAACATAAAGTATGACAAGAACTGTGCAGCGCTGTTCCAATCCTTACTGAATACATATAAAAAGATTTCTACAATGGTACCAATGACCATGATTGTGGTGAGGAACCAAATGACCTTGCCACGCCAAGCATTACGTTTTGGTAATAAATTCATTCGATGCTTTTCAATTACTCTCATGAGGTAATAAACCAAAACGAAAATATAAAGGATCATGAGAAGGACAACAATAATTCCCAATGTTTGATAGGATGTCAAACCTTGAACAATATTTAAACTGTATCCAGGATCCTCTTGCTCTTGCAATCTCACATAGGTGAAGGTTGTAATGACAAACACAAACAAAATAGAAACAAGTACAATCTTGGGAAGGTAGAACCACAGGAAGGATCGATCCTTTTGCGCTACTACTAGGGAGTGTGTAAAAACTAAAACCGTAAACATGAGAACGCATAAAAAGCTCACAATGAAAATAATGTTAATAAAGGAAAATGCCCAGTTGCCTCCAGTGAAAATCAAAGCAAAAATAGGGTTATTGTAAAGAGTGAGGAAACAAAGTAGCAAACCAATCCATTTCTGTTCAGTAGTCCAGTTCACAAAGTAGCTTCTTACAATATTTGCTACAATAAATGCAACTGTTAGTGGAGCTGTTATGCAAATCATAGAGTATCTCCAGCCCAATTCCCAGTTTGCATATGCATAATTGTAACTCTCCGTTTCAAAACCGATATATCCAGAATTAATAAGTCCATTATCGTATAATTCTTTAGCGTTGAGGAAAGATAATCCTACTCGATAATTGGTGTATCTAATGTGTGATTCATAGAATAGAGCAATGGCTACACATTTCTCTGAAACTTCCGTACATATCAAAGATCTCGTGTAGGTACCATTCACAATTCGAGTCCATTCCTCCGAGTAAGAATTTCTTCCAAACAATTGTAAGTAGAAGGTAAGATCTAATTTCTGGAAACCAAAACTATCTTGTGGTGATTTAGCATTTTGTATCGAAACGTTAGATTTCAAATAACAGTTAAAAGTAATTTCCTGATTCAAGGCAGTATAGTTTTCTAGCGTTTCAATATAAATTGGTTCTTGTCCATAGAACACTGAACGCATGTCTTTGATATCTGAAACTAAACCCCAAAATGGTGTTGATGCAGTATTGTTGTTGGTATCAACTTCTATTGTCGTGAAATGTAAAACTTTTGGTCCTGCAAATACTCCTACCAAAATAGCAATAATGAAAAGTACGGTGGCAACTATGAAAAGAATCAAAACTGCCCACCACGGAAGAATATCAATGAGAGGCTTGTAAGTACGGGACCGATCCTCGCTCTTGCAAAGCCGAACTATAATCTCTCTTAAACCCATTATTTCTCTAAAGAAATTTGTTTGAATGCACCCAAAGCAACACATATACTAGAACAAATGGCCGTTGATGATCAATCTCACTCGAACGGATAACGGAGATGATGAGTCAATTGATGTTTTCTCTGAGAATATATTATTGTTATATCTATGATATTCACTTGTTCAATCAATCCTTGTCGTACACTGCGAATGATCGAGGCCAGTTAATGATGATGAAAGTATGGCACTCACAGACAGCAACGGGAACAGTGAGTTTTTTAAATATTTTTTTGTCTATTAATTTGATTGAAAATGGAAGGTCGTGTCCGGGTCTGACAATTGAAAGTGAAGGTTGAGTTAATCACAATTATTAATAATAGATCTCCTTTACAATTAATTATTTATTGAGTTTGGGAAGTAATTTTCCTTGCTTATGTAATGATTGAGTGTCAGAAAAGCCTCCAATGAATTCATTGTTCACCCAAATTGATGGAACTGTGCCCATATTGGTCATTTCTTTCAATGTGTTTTGATATTCCGAGCCATCCTTCATTGTATCCAATTCCAAAACTTTGTATTCAACTCCTAATTCCGAAAAGAGTCTCTTTGCTATCGATGATATTGAAATTAAAATGTCAATATTAAATTATTATTAATAACAAGAAAGTGTAAATCTCTCCGAGACTCTTGCACACAAATCTTACCATTGCTACAATAGGGGCAGTAAGTTTTCGAGAAAATAACGACCTTGTTTTGTGAAACCAAATTGTGAATTGCTGTTTTGATGGACATGATGAGGACTGTGTATGATTTGATATTCGAGCTATTTTTTAAAGAGTTGGTGCTGTACTGTATAGGTGACAACAACACAAAGGTTTTAATAAATGCTCAAGTCCCACGAGACAAAGGACGAGGAGGACGTATTAATTGGCAAAAAGCCGATAATTGCTGTCCATATTTCTCCTCAACACGCAAAACGGAGAAGGAATTTACGTTCTTGCCACTCGTTGAGAACGTCAACACTTGTTGTCGAGCGAATAGCAACTTTTTTTGTTACTTGTAATCCAATTCCAACCACACAAAAATAGAAAATTAAAACAATTAAAAAAATATGCCTTCATTTTCCAAGAAGTTTTCTGAGGCCATTCAAAAGAAAAAACACTATGGCAGGGTGGGCTCTGAATCTCCGTTCAATTCTAGGAATCAGTTAAATGAAGAAGATTTGAAAGAAAATGATGAAATACACCATGTTTCCGATGAAGAAGAGCTCGTATCGAGTAGTACTCGCCCTGTAAATACGAACAATCATCGAGCTTTGGAAACACAATACAGTCCAGCAGTAGATGGACTAGGTATACGAATGTATGCATCCCGAAATGCGGAAATGGATATTGAAGGAGCTCGCATGATAGACGATGCTTCAACACTCATTGTTGAATCACCCAATGATTTGGGACGTGGATTTATTACAAAAGAGTCGTTTTTGCATACATCTATTTCGTCTTCTCGTCAAGTACATTCTGCATATAATATGAAAAGCGCGGGCCAATCCTCGTTCAAGCAAGAAAACCACAAATCATTATCTTCGAATCAGCTTACGAAATCTAATTCTGTAAATAATATTAGCCAGTCTTCGTCGATAACCTCACTAGCTGGCATTCTTCCTACTGGATACACTATTAAGAAAAAACAAAGTTTTAGACTTTTTCCTTCCATTACTTTAGGTCGCAGTGAGGAAAACGATCTTGAAAACAGGTGAGTTAACGAAATGAACACACAATGATTAATATCGGAATTATTTCACGCAAATAGCGGAAGTGTGTTTTTTGATTTGGAAAAACCAAAAAAATCCGATGAAAAAGACAAAAAGAAACTCAAGAAGAAAATTTTTGTTTGCATGTACAGATCCTCCATTTTACTCATTTCTTTCTTTCTGTTATCAATTTTTGTATTTTTTACTGTTTCAGCTGTTAATTCTGCGGACGATGATGGATATTACACAAATGGAAGTCCCACAACGTTGCTATGGATATCGGGACTTGCCATGCTACTGACACTTTGCATGATTTTTGAGCTAGTTGCAAATGTTGCCATGGTGAATGTATTTAGAAACTGTTTAAAACTACGGAAACCCTCTGATATTTTTCATTATGATTCCTATTTTGCAACTTTAGTGTATAGATGTGCAGTTTTTTTGCTCTTCTTCTCACTATGTTCTATCAATTGGATATGTTATTCATTATTTTTTGAAAATAGGGATCACTTAGCAGGCTGGGTTTCTCTGTACCTTATGATTCCCTTGTTTGGATTTTTAATTATTTCTTATAAGCAGTACTCCACTTTGAGGAGTGACATTGTTGATTTTGAGCATCACGAGGAGCACTTATTCACAGGCAGAAATGTGTTGTGTTGCCTTTCTGGATTTATTTTAAAATTTATTGCTTTCATTAGTTTTGTTTCAATAGGAACTATTATGATCCTGTTTACCATTCAATCTATTGCTCTCATTGATGACATGATGCCAGAACCAGGAAAGAAATGGGCCATTACCTTAAATCATCATACTTACAAAGTCCATATGTATTGTGAGGGCAATGAAAAAACATCTAACGTGGTATTGATTGATGCTGACATTGGCATTGCTTCTCCATACGAATATATGAAAAAATTAGTGTCAACACTTGCTTTGAGCGGATTGCGAGCTTGCGTCATTGAAAGAGCTGGTTATGGATTTTCAGACACTGGACCTTTACCTCGAGATATCAACAATACTGTCATTGAAGTGGTGAATGCAGTGTATGAATCAAGAATGCGAGTTCCTTTTCTTTATATTGCTCACTCTGCAGCTTCGTTTACTGCTCGAAAATTAGCAGCAGAGCATCCCGAACTTTTATCCGGAATGCTATTACTTCATCCAGCACATGAAGATTTGGAGAAGGTCATGTTGAGACAAGTCAAGAATTTAACTGATGCTGAAATTTTAAAAAGAAAGAGAGACAGAGATTACATTGATGACACCATTCGATATTTAACACCAATTGCTCTACCAAGACTTTTCAAATATTTTCATGTCGAGTTTTTACTAGAATACGAGGACCCTTACGAGCTGTATTATATGAACGGGTGGAAAAATTATTTCTTTTCCTTACTGAACATTACAGAGCAGAATTCAATCAATCGAAGAATTATTTTCCAAAACAAGTACGCTGGATGTGTTTGGAGTGAACTGAACCATTTTCTGACAGACTCTGCAGATGTTGTGAGAAATATGAGGCCCAGTAATGGAACAACCACCATTCCTGTTGTGATTCTCACCGCAGGAAATCTTCTCTATGGGGATTGTGTCTCCAATCACTACCAAGAAGACAGCCTAATGTGTGTACATTTTCACAAGTGGAGAGAGGGAAGGCAACAAGCACTTCTCAAATTGCATGAAGATTTGGCGCAACTATACAAGGCTGAATGGTACATCATCGAAACGTCATACGACATTCCAATAGACTCTCCTGAAATTGTCACAAATTATGCCAAACGCTTGTTACGGATGTCATAAATGAAATTGCCTCTCGATACGAATAATTGATTAGTGAATAAATGTAATTGGCTCATACATGTGGAGTTTGTCTTAATAAACACTTTTGCATGATTCAATGGATTTTGTTACCAAATAATTTTGTCTTTAGGAAGTTCGGTTAAGGGTTTCAAGTCTGGATGATCTTCAAATATTGATTTCACCATGGTTATTCGTCCAATAAAGTTTGTATATGAATAAATATAAAACAATGCAGGAAATTCTCTGAATAAATTTCTATACCTCCGCTTATTGGAGTCCTTTTTAGCCGTCGATTCTAATAAATAATGACTATTTGTTTTGTAAGCCTTTTTCTGCTGCTCAGTTAATCGATCCACATTGAAATTAGTCAATTGTTCAGTGAGAGAAGTTAACCATTTCTCACGACTCCAATTTCTGCCATTTGATTTCGAATTAGGCGCTAAGGTGACCTGCTCATTGGCGGAGCTACTTGCCACTGATGAGGTAATGGTGACATCTTCTATGCTATCATCATCTTGATAAGTTGTTGAACTACTCGTAACTCCCATGGACTGATCTTCCATCATGTGTTGCTCGAGCGACGAATCTTCGTCCTCATCGCTGACTAAAACAACAACTTCGCCACTGTCAATACTATCCATGATGGTAGATGAATTTCTTCCAAAAACAAAAGAATCGGAGCCATAAGAATTCAACGAATTCTTCACAAATTCCTCACGCAATTGTGTTGATGTAGATCGTTCGTTGACATCCACTTTTGCAAACCTCTCTTTTATTTTCTGTGCGTTCTCAACAAAAAGTTGAAAGTCATCAAAAAATTCTTCACTGTGATTGGTGAGAAAAGACACCAAGGCTTGGACCGAGGTTGGAGTTGCACCTAAACCCCACGTTCGTAAACGTTGTAAAAATCCTCTCAAATATTCTGCCTTGTTTTGAACTTGTTGTTGTTGGCTAGATGATGAATCTTGTATTTTCCTCTTTTTATGCTCCTCAAATTCCGAAGATGATGATGGAGTAAGATGTTTTTTTGTTGTTGGATGATCATCTTGTGTCGAACTTGTTGGAGGATCGGAACCAGAGATCATCGCCAGGAAAAAACGTATTTTTTGTTGGTGATGAGAATTTCATCAAAAATTTAAAGGCGCACAAATACAACCAAAAAAATTACCTTACCTGCTGAAAGGGATTTTGGTGCCGAGCAGTATGCAACAACCCTTGTTGTCCTGTACCAGTAACGGATCATCTTATGCTCAAGAAAGTGTTATGAAGGAAGATCCAGAAAGAAGCAATATGCAAGGATGGATGGCCAATATTGAAAATGATCCCTCACTTTGGAATGATCATCAAGAGATTGCTGATATCATCAGCAATAAAGTTTCTATGAACGATTTGGAAATGTCTGAGGAAGAGAGAATTGAAAAGTTGAAGAAAGAAATCGCGTTATTGAGCGGGAGCATTAGAGATCAAGAATTAAAGGCAAAAGCGATTTCCCAAAGTCCCGGTTCAGTGCCTTATGGAAATAACAAGGCATTCAACACATCTGATGGGTTAATAATCGCCTCATTAACAACAAGTGGGTCTGTATCATCACCCCGACTGTTCAAAAACAGCTTGGACACTTCCTCATCAACCCTTACCGTGGATGATCTTGCAGACTCTCCATTTGTAAAAGATTCATCTCTTAGTCCTCAAAAGAAGGGCTCTCAATCCTCAGAGGTTGATAAATCTTATCAATATTATCTGTTCACCAAAAATCAGCTTTCACTGGCGGTGGAAGAATTAGAAGAGCAACGACTGGTACTGGAAGAAGAGGGTTACTTCACCCAAGCTGAGCAAGTACACGAAAAGATTAAGGAAATATACAAGAAAGAGGCCTCAAAAATTGAGATGTCCTTCGTCAATGTTGTAAACGCCCTTAAACTAGAACTTGTATCAATAATGTCTAAGGAGATGGATGCATTTGAGCAAGTTTGGAAACAAAAAACATCTCAGTTCGAAGCCCAAGCTAAAGATTTGCTTGGAAATACAGCTCAAAGGCAGAATGCAGAGCTAAAACAGACTGAGCAAGTGATGAGACAGCAAATGCATATTCACAAACCAAAGTTTTCAAAAACAGTCTTGGAACAACGTGCAAGAGTATTAACCCTTGTAAGAACTAAGAATTACAAGCAAGCAGAAACGCTTAAAAATCAATTAATTCCTCTCGAGCTCAAAGAGATTGAAAAATTCGAAAGACACCAAGAAGAAAAACTGAAGAAGAAACTCTCTTATGTTGAGTCAAGACATAAAATGGAAATGGATGTTCTACATCAAAGAATAATGTCTGGTAGACGAGAGCTTGAAAACATCAAAAGAAAAGAGCTTACTGCTGTCACACAACAACAAACTGTGATCATACAAGAATTCGAAAACAAGCACAGGAAGGCATTATCTCAGATAAAACAATTTATAAGCAAGCTTGAAGGAATTGTTTCCACAAAGAGAAGAACAGTATGCAACTTTTTTGACACCTTACCAAGGGAAATTGAAACTTTTAAAACCACTTATTCAAATTTACTGGAACAGCTGAAAGAAGACTTCAAAAGAAATTATCCTCTAGAAGGATCCTCACAACCTCAACAAGAACAACCCAATCGATCGTCTGTTGAGAGCAAGTGGCTGATTGTAGAAAATAATTTCGACCAATAACAATATTTGCTGGTAATTGCCTCGTTTAATTTAAACCTTAGTTTCGACATTAGGGTTGTCAATTGGAAGCTGGCAATGATTTGCGATATGAATCTTAACAAATTCAAGTATTTCCAAAATATTATATTGTGTCAAAGAAGTGTCCTTCCTTTCCTTTCCTTTCCACAAATAAATTGGCATCTTGATATTTTCTACACCATATTCTTTCATTAATAATAACAATTCCTCAATGATCTGATTAGATTTTGGCATGATATTCAGGTTCATGTCCATCAAGAAAGTTCTTCGATTCTTAGGTGATTTGGGACAGCAAACAAGTAACTTCTTAACTAGCTTACAGTGGCGTGCAAGAGCTTGGTGAACTCTTTCCACTCTTTCAACCGTGAAATCGTCGAACGGAACTTCAAATGTGAAGACATCTGACAGTTTAACATCTTCGTCAGTCCAATGCTTTGTCAGTTTTTGTGGAGATTCATTGGGCTGATATCTTAAAACAAGACCGTCTGGAGTATTTACGAATCCAGTCGGTATGATTTTTAAACCTGTTGTGTTCGCAGCCATCCTATGCGCCTTTACAAAACTGTCCTGTGCTTTTTGTCTTTCAATCTTCATCTCATGACTCTCATACCAAACGCCAAACACCTTGCAAAGAAAAACAGAATTGTCAAATTCCTTTTTTTGGAGAGCCTTGTTCACACTTGCCCTCGAAACTATACTTCTTGCATTGATTAACGATTCAGGGAATACAGTGTTTTCAAAGGAGGAGTTGGAAGTAAAAGCCAGTGCTTGTTGACTTGATCGTCTCGCCGATGATGGGCTTGGGAGTGAGGTTTTTGGGCTGTTACTCAGCTCCTTCTTGCTGAAAGATGATGAATCAGAAGCAGAGTGTTCTTCAATTTCTATCACCTCATGCTTTGTCAAAACTTTTCCAAATTGTTGAATAAAAGAATCGTCTGAATTCATGGAAGTGTTGAATGAGCTTTCGTTAGTGGTCTTTTGTCTTGGTGTAAAAGATGTGTCCGACGACATATAAGATGGTTCCGTTTCAAGAATTCTTGATGAGGTCTTGGAAGGTGTTTTAGAAGGTGTTTTGGTGATTCTGCTTGGAGAAGAAATGTTGGAAGTTACATGTGGCTCTTTCACAGTCAATGTTGTGTGAAGAGCAAAACTAAGAATGAAGTGATTAATCTTTCCATCATGCTCGTTTGCTATCCCAGTTGAATTGGTGTCGTCAAAATAAATGTTTTCTGATTCTTGAGCTTCAAAAATCTCCTTTAGGATGTCACTGTTTAGTTGCAAGCTACTCTTTGCTGCAAAGGCTGCAATAACATTTCTACCGTTTTCATCAATTATCTTCAAATCTGAGAAGTAATCCATTTCTGCAAAACCTAAGTGCTTCAACAAAGCTCCCCTTAAAGTTGACATCCACAATGGAAATGCTTTTAGCTCGTTATGAATCTGGTTTCTTGAAAAAGGACTCTGCACAAATAACAACGCCATAATAATGGACAATTCAACCTTTAGAAGCTTGTTCGCAACGTTGGTTGAACTAAGCTGCTTTTGCTCGTTTGTTTTCGTTGATTCAAGACAAGCTTTCAACAATATAGATAAAGACTGGAAATGGGAAACTACTTCTCTTGCCAATCGTTGATCAGAAGGAGCAAACTGCAAGAGATACCTGAATGCACGCGTTGCAAGGGAGGCAGGTCTTGGTGAGCACTGTTTCAGCACTCTAATGAATGACTTCCAATAACCTTTTTGAATGAATTCTTCATGAACGAGAAGGACAGGGTCGTTGGATCCAGCTAGATTTGAGGTAAACAACGTTTCTAATAGTTTACAAGTGGCTTCAAGCACATCTCTGGAAGTTTCTTTCTGTAACCTGTCGTTTAGTACTTTGCACAGCGTTGGGACGGAAACAAATTGAAATGCTTTTGGTTCGGTTTTAAATAAAACCTCTAACAACTCTGCACAAAGGGCTCTAACTTCAAGACTTGGGTCTGCATTAAGCACCTTGACACAAACTTGAATCGCGTTGTCCTTCAACATTTCTTCAGGGAAGGAAGAGCTGAATTCTCGTAAAATGGCACAACAATAACATCTAATTAATTGGTTGGGCTCCTGCTCCAAGCATTTCAGGAACCTTGGAATTCCTCTCTGAATGAGAACAGCTAACCTTCCAACCTCATTTCTTACAACAAAGAAAAACAAGCATTCTGCCACAGCTAGTCTCAATTCTTCATTTTCGATCGCATTTCCAACAAGCGAAGGATCACTTGGTTCACGTATTTGGTCGCTAGAACTCAAATAATCAAGCATGATTTCGACTCCATGATCTTGAACAATGCTCTCAGCACACAACTTGGACAGAGATTTTATCACCGACTCACCTAATGTTTCCATGTACAAATTTCTTGATTCGAAGGAGCAAATACTGATCAACTTGCTTAAACATTTCAAAGCATATACCTTAAGATGATTCAGCAACTGATCAATTTCATTAGCAATTTCAGTTTGTGCACTTTGATCCATTGAGAATTCGTTAAGGGCAGATGGTCTAAAATAGGAAGGGAGAGCAATATAATCGAGAAGCAACGAAATGATGGACTGTTCTGAAAAGTCCTCGTTTTGGCTTGATCCGAATACAAGATGCTTGAGTCTGTTCGGCTCAGGGTCTGAAGACAGCAAAGTTAAAGCCAGTTGGAAGCACTCAAGGGCTTGATCAACGAAATCCATATTCAAGTCATCATCTAGCTGGTTTAAATATCTTTTTATATTACTAAGGCAAGACCCAAGGCATTCACAAATATTTGCCAAGCACTCCATTTCCTCTTCAACGGAGGGTGCTTGGAAAGGTACTTCATATTGAATCTGATGTCCCTTTTCTTCAGAATGAGGAGAGCTTTTGGAAGCGGTTCGTTCCTTACTTCCTTGCTTGGGTGATAGCACAACACCATCATCAGCAAACATCGAAGGCATGATAACAACAGCTTTGAGAATTTTTTTGCTTTTTGGTGATCTCAAGCGTTGAAAGCAGCAGAATTTCAGTTAAATTATATCAGCACCTTCTTTCCTCAACTGGTTAAAGTATTTTTCGTCCAAATTTACTTCTCGTGAGCCCAATTAATATTATCTCTATTCAAAATTCAATTCACCTCTGATGAACTCAAAAAAACCGTTAACTTTTTTTCCCGCCTTGAATTGAAATTAAAAAATAGTCCAACATGTCTGGCTTTAATTTTGAAGATCATACAGACATCAACACTGAAGATTTGAACACAGATTTATCGTCTGTTTATGAACCTAGATGGAAACGAAAACAGAAACAACGTCCTCAATCCGCTACCATAGACCAAGTAATGGCTGATGTCATGGGCTCTTCGACAGCAACCTGTAATAGCATGATCAGCAGTTGCTCATCTTCTTCGGGACCCAATAATTCTCTGGATCAAAGATTTATACCATCCAGAAGGACCTCTCAAGATATGGATATTTGTAAATTTAATTTAATGAATAATTATATGGAGGATGATGATAGTAGTAATATTATTGGTAGCAGTGGCAGTGTTAGCTCCTTAGAATCAGCATCCTCCTCTTCCGACAAGGAAAATATGCACAACAAAATTCTAGAGCAGCGTCTATTTGATGGTAAAAAGGTGAAAGACGCCAAGATTTTAGCCTTGACCGAGAAGGCACCAAAAGCACCCTCAGACTGGCACAATAATTTACGTGTTCTTTATTCTCAAAACAAAATATTTCCTGGCAATGGTGTCTCTCAAAACAATAATTCGAGAAAGCAAGTGACGTCAAGACATATTCCTCAAACTCCAGAGAAAGTACTTGACGCTCCGCAAATGATTGACGATTATTATTTAAATTTATTGGACTGGAATGCAAATAATGTACTAGCCGTATCTCTTTGTGAAAGTGTGTATTTATGGAATGGTGAAACTGGAGAAATTAACAAATTGATGTCTTGTTCTCAGCAAGACAACTATGTCACTAGTGTTTCATGGGTAGAAGATGGAACGTATTTAGCAATAGGTACCAACTACAATGATGTACAAATATGGGATGTCACAAGAAGCAAACAAATAAGAACTATGAAAGGTCATACCCAGAGAGTATGCTCATTGTCTTGGAACACATTCATCTTGTCAAGTGGAGGAAAGGATGGCAAAATACTTAATCACGATGTAAGGCAAGCAAAACATTTAATTACCACTCAGAGTATTCATCAAGATTTTGAAGTTTGTGGATTGAAATGGTCGCATGATGGTAATCAACTTGCTTCTGGCGCCAATGACAATATTCTCAATATTTGGGACAAGTCTCTCTTGTTGACACAAAGTGAAATAATGCCTAAATTCTCGCTTAGAGAACATGTTGCTGCTGTTAAAGCTTTGGCTTGGTGTCCTTGGCAAGCCAATCTTTTAGCTTCTGGAGGAGGCACAAGCGATAGAAAGATGATGTTTTGGAACACCCAAACAGGTACCTTACTTAACACGATAGATACTAATTCTCAAGTTTGTTCCTTGATTTGGTCCAAAAGTGATCGTGAGATTATTTCTTCACACGGATTTTCTCAAAACCAGCTCTGTGTTTGGAAGTATCCATCGCTGGTAAAAGTAGCTGAATTAACTGGACACAAGAGCAGAGTTCTTCATATGGCTCAAAGTCCTGATGGAACAACAATTGTTAGCGCTGCAGGAGATGAAACATTGAGATTTTGGAAAGTTTTCAGTCCTATCATACATGCTGATAAATTGACTCCATCTGAGCATCAATCTGTTTTAGCAACAGCACCCAGAAACATGCGAAGCATTAGATGATTTCTGGCTTTGGCACCTTCCATGATTAAAGCTAATCACGTTCATTCTCAACTTCGAAATTTCGTTTCTCCAAAAAAATGCTCGACTCCCTGTACTTTGTGTTTTCTGCGGAAGACTTCGAATTTGAAGAAAAGATAGCAGCCAATCCTTTCTTCTTGAAGACTTGGTTGGCATACATACAATACAAACAAATACAACAAAATAATCATCCCAACTACAACAACATTATTAACGCGTTATTTGAACGTGCACTTTCATGCTTACCGGGAAGCTATAAGTTATGGAACATGTATCTCGATGTCCGAATGACCCAATGCGAACACTTACATCCAATAACCAGATTGGATACTATCAAGTATTCATTTTCATCATTTGATGGAGATTTAAATGGCAATTACACAAGATCGGGCATTCCGAGCAATGATGTCGAGAAAGGGTTAGAGCTGAGAATCATCGAGAGTGTCAATCAGGTTTTTGAAAATTGCTTGATCACCATGCACAAAATGCCCACAGTTTGGCTGAAGTATTTAAAATTTGTTGTGAGAACACAGCCAACAATCACTTTGGTTCGGATGATAATGAATAGAGCTCTTCAGGCTCTTCCTGTCTCTCAACACGACATTGTTTGGAGGTTTATAGTTTGGGAATGGGTATTAAATGAACGTTCAAAAGTTCCGAAAGAAACAGGATGTAGATTGCTTAAAAGATTTTTAAAATTAGAGCCATCATTTATCGGCCAATACTTGGAGTATTTATCAAAAGTTGGTTGCTATTCTGAGATATGTGAATTACTGATGGGAATTCTTGGCTATGCCTCTTCGGATGGGATCAACTTTGGCCCCATTCATGTTGATATTGCCATAGAAAAAGCAGCCGCTTACTATTTGAAAGAACACTCGTCGTTACACGTTTGGGACCAACTTTGTACTGTTGTTGCTGATCATGCACAACAAATCAATATTTCACACTCTGTGATTGAATCTATTCTTGTTACTGGAACAAAACGCTATCCCAGTGAAATTGGAAAGTTATGGACAACTTTAGCACAGTATTATATTCAGCATGGAAAGTTTGATGCTGCCATTAGTGCATACGAAAGTGGGATGTCCAGCGTTTCGACTGTTAAGGATTTTAATTTAATATTTGACACGTATGCCAAGATGTTCGATGAACTTATTAAGTTTCATATGCAACTGCTGGAACAAGGTGTTGACGAACAAAATCGACAAGAACTTGGTCTGGAAGTTTTAATTTCCAAGTACGAAAATTTAATGGATCGAAGATCATTTCTTCTAAACTCTGTCAAGTTAAAGCAAAATCCAAACAACATTCATGAATGGCACAATCGATTGAAGTTGACAAAAAATAGAGAACAATTCAACTACAAGAATCCAAACCAAAAAATAGATGGCATCATTGGTTGCTATGAAGAAGCCATTTCCAATATCAATCCTGAAAATGCAAGCCATGGAAAAATTTATTCTATATGGAACAGCTATGCAAGGTTTTTCGAGGTAGAGTTGCATGATATCGAAAAGGCAAGAAGCATTTACAAGAAATTTTTGAATAACATTAATTTTCATGGTTATTCCGCCACCACAATTGATATAGAAAAAGTTGTGTGTGATTATGTTGAAATGGAAATCAGAAATCGCAACAACCATGAAGCACTATCTATATTATCAACTACTACACAGTCTGGTGAAGATGTTCTAAAGTCATCTTGCAGAAAATCGTTGGCGGTATGGAATCTGTTCTTAGATCTTGAAGAGAGCTTCAACAACAATATCAAGCGAATGAAAAGAGCCTACAACGAAATGACAGAATTGAAAATTGTCACTCCAGCTACAGTCATCAATTTCACACAATTTCTAATTGAAAACAGATATTTTGAAGAGGCCTTTTCCGTTTTTGAGAGGGCTACATCATTATTCAACTATCCACAAGTGTTTCCTATTTGGTCTCACTATTTGCTCCAATTTATTTCAAGATATCAACATACCAAATTAGAAAGAACAAGAGATTTATTTGAGCAAGCACTATCTCAAATGCCCTTCTATTCAAAAGAAAGAGCTAGCCAACAATCGGGAAAAGCCTACGTTGTAAAAAACTCCCATGCCAGAGATTTCTTTTTACTTTATGTTAAATTTGAGGAAATGTTTGGTATGAGCTCTAAATCAGTACGGATTTTCGATAGGGCTGTTAAATCTGTTTCTCCTAATTCCCAAGAGCAGTTTCAACTATATCAATTATTTATCACACGTGTTAGTGAGTTATTCGGAGCTGCTAAAACCAGAGAGGTTATGGATATGGCCCTTAATCAAGCAGTGGAAAACAACGATGCATCACATCAATCTAATTCCTTCATTCGAGATTTAACATTGAGATATATCTCCATTGAACTTAAACTGGGAGAAGTAGACCGATGTAGAAGTTTATTTGCCTTTGCTGCCTCCTTCTGTAATCCAGAAATTCAAGAGCACTTTTCAAAACTTTGGGAGAGATGGGCAAAGTTTGAGAGGCAATTTGGCAACGTTGAAACCTTCAAAGAGATGCTCAGAATTAGAAGGTTTATTAAACAGCAGTACAACGCAGAAACATCGTCTTTCTCCAACCAGGGGTTACGTTAATTCTAGCTTGTTTTCGTTATCATTATCACTCCTTTTTCTGTCAAAGCCTCTAAGACAGAGCTATGGGAGACAGTTATAAACACTAGAGTTGGATTAATCTTATTTTCTGGAAACTCTCCTTCTTGCAAATAAATTCTTCCAGAATTGGTAACAAATGCGATTGCTTTTGGTCCCGTTGTTATTCTTAATATCTGCTCTCTTATTGTTTTGGCAACAACGTCTGACAGTTCATACATCCCAGTACCATCCCACTTCAAGAAGACATCCTCTTCCATAAATAGTTTGTGTTCACAGAAGGCTCGTATTATAAAGCAATTGTTGCAACAGGAAATCGAAACAGAAATATAAGGGAAAGGAAAGTTATCATTGAATCCTATCAATTCGTTCAAATCATACTCCTCAAACAATGGCTTTTTTGAACCAGCAACCACTCCCCCAACAAATAATTTTAGCTGCGATGCAGAAAAAGCTACAGAAAAGAATTGGCCACACTCTATATCGTCAATTGCATGTTTTGTCATTACATCGTTTTCAATGATGTTGCTCGTCCTTCTATGAGAGGTAGTCAAAAATAGCTGCCCTTTATCCTGTTGTCCTGAAACAAAGACCCTGTGATTAGCATCCAGCATTAGACAATGGTATCTTCCAACTGCAATTTTCGTTATCACTTTTCCCTCTAAGCACCCGCAAACTTTGGTTGGGTCATAGATATTGCTTTCCTTGGATTTGAACCCTAAATTACATTCTTCATTAAATCCAACAACAAACACCTCCCCAACGTCAGTTAAAAAAAATGTTTGGTTGTATTTACATATGATATTTTTAACCTTAATCTGATGTTGGTTGAAATATTCAATCACATTGAGATCTGCTTGTTTTACTGATTTACCAAGCGCAAGCTGTCCAAAGAAATTGCTTCCGACAGCAAAAATTAGGTCCCTGCATCGGATAACAGAATGATGATCACCAGACGAAACTGCCACTTCCCCCACCGACGATGAGGCAAGATATTTGTTAATACTTTGTGTATTAGTCACAAATTCTCCAAATACATTCTCCCCAAATGTTGTTAATGAAAGTTTTGAGGCCATTTTTTAACAATTCACAACGATTACTGTACTGTAAATTAAAGCGGGGAATGTTCATTGGAAGCTTGACATCTGGGTTTGCTGTTATTAACTGTCATAAATCCAACAGATTCCGTCTTTAAAAACGATGGCTTTGCATAACACGGTATGTTATAACAAATTTCGGTGGACTACTGTTATTTGTTGGCAGTGTGATTCTCTTCAATTTACTATTTCTATTTATTCGGACAAATGACAATTCAACAACTTGTGAAGTAATTGCAACAATGAATATGTTTCATTATTTTTTACCTCAATCAAATAATACAACCGTTTCAAATACCAAACAATGTCGTTTAAATGAAATAAAGGAACACAAATTTCTTTTTTAAAATATATTTTCACGTTATTATTTATGTTTTGTAAATTATAACAATATTTGTAATTGGAATAATAATATTTATAATTTAAATATAAGTGATCATTGATAACGAAAATGTTGTTTGAAGAAATATGCTTTAAATAATAGATGAAAATATAAATATTAAATGATGAAGAACTAGATAAAATTTTGAAGTTTAAAATACCATTCCTATGCAACAGCTTCGTTAGAAAAATAATCTTTCTCCCGTTGATATTACAATTAGAAGTTAAATGAATTAAAGAATGTAATTGATTCTTTGCAACGTTTAACAAATCAATTCTTCTCCAAAATTTAAAAAACAAAATTTTTAAATAAAACATGGCGTTGTGTCGAGAGTACAATTTTTTTCGTTTTTCTAAAGGCGGTCTTTTAGTCAGGAAAAAATGGACACGTCCGTTAAGGTAGGTTTTTGAGGTCAATTTTGCATACATACTCCCTAGGTGGTTGTTGTTGGAGATGGAGCAGTAGGAAAAACATGTAAGTAATTGATCATATCTTATATTCTCACATCGATAGGCATGCTGTATTGTTATGCAAACAATCAATTTCCGGAAGGTACGAACATATTATATTTTCAGCTTTTTGAGTTTAGTGTTGGACGATGTGCAATCATGTAGATTATGTTCCGACAGTCTTTGATAATTACAATGCAAATATGTTATTTGGAAATCAATCAGTGAGCCTTGGGTTGTGGGTATGTTATTGAATTTGATCTGAAATCGAACGAATTGCAAAATTCGGAAGGACACGGTATGTTTGTTATTTCCGTCACAACCTGAAACGTTGATTCCTTTTTTCAAAAGGCTGGTCAAGAGGATTATGATTCCTTGTAAGTAACGATTACAGAGTCAATGTACTGACATCGTTCCAACTGTAAAACAGGCGTCCGTTAAGTTATGCTGAAACTGATGTATTTCTTGCATGCTTCTCCGTCGTATCAAAAACTAGCCTAAATAATGTTAAGCAAAAATGGTTACCTGAAATTAAGCAGCACATGCAAAAAAAGACTCCTATTCTGCTTGTGGGGTTAAAGAAAGATCTAAGATTAGATCCTAAAACCACAAGGGAGGTTTTAGAAGCAGGGGATACAATTGTATCTGAAAAGGAGGGAAAAGACGTGGCAGAGGCTCTGGATTGTGTGACGTATTGTGAATGCAGTGCCAAAACGAGAGATGGTTTGGAAGAAGTGTTTATGAGTACAGTTGCAGCTGTATTAAATCCTCAACAAATATCACACAAGGACGTGCAATCAAAGAAAAACGTGAAAAAGTGTTGTTTGGTCCAATAAATTGGCTTTAATATAATTTTGCACCTCTGTCATATCCAAGCAACAAAAACATATTCATGTTTTGAACCAAAAGCTTTCCTTCATCAATTGATTCAATTCTTCTTAGAAACGAAACGCTTAACAACCTCATCAACTCTGATGAATGTAAGGTACATAATGCAATTGGATAAATACCCCCTTCATTTTCAGGAAAAAACGTCAAAAATTCTAATATTTCCTCTCTAGTGTTGACGTGTTTGATGAACAATTGAAACATGGTAATAAGCTCTTCTTCATTCAACACAGTTGATCTCAACCTTTGAACACAGCTTTTCATGTCAATGATATCTGGTGAAATGTAAGCTTGCCTTTTTCCTGATATATAAGTCTTCTTGTTGTGCTTAAATGATAGTGTAGCTCTCCAAGACAACGCTTTTTTGATGTTATCTGTAATTGGATCTTGTGTCAGTGATGTTCCATGATAGACTTGCTGTTGATAAAGAATTTGTTTTTCTTGATCAAATGCCAGATCGACAATTGATTTTGAGTAAGAATAAAATTTTGATCGAATTAAATCCTCCAGCATTTCAAATCCGTTTGTCTTTGGTGTTTTGAATTGAATTAACACTATTAAATCCTTAATAAACCGTAAGTCGTCTTGTGTCAAATAGCAAATGTCATCGAATGCTTTGGATTTAATGACGCCTACTGTATTTCCAATTGTATCAATGATGTCGAGAGTATCTGTTAACACCGAATCAAAAAGAGTTTTTTCTTGAGAAACTGGTGTTGTTGAATATTTTGCGTCCAAAACATTTGGCTTTGATCCTCTCCGTTTTTTCTTATCTTTCTTTTCTTTTTTTTCAATTTTTTTGAGCTCCTTATGAACTTCTGTGAAGGATTGATTCACTTTAACCTCAGCTTTGTCAATGTCCACCAATAGGTCATAATATTCTTCCCTACAGGCAAACATTGGATTACAAACTCCTACAATATATCCTTCCACATTTAAAAATTCTAAATTAGAAAAGCTGGCATAAGGAAACGTTCGAGTTCTTAATAAATTATGCATTTCAGGAAACATGGCAATGGCAGAGAGAACAGCATTTACAACTTGACCTGCTAATTGTTGGGAGCTGAAAAATACAACCCGTTTCTGATACAAAATTGCATTATAGATTAACATGGTATCCTCTTTGAAGGTACTAACTAGTCTGCAAAGACTAATTTGCGTTATTCCGTTGATCCGGTATTGAATCTCGTTTTCTGATAGACAGAGAGGGATTGAAAGAGTAATGTTGTCTACTCGATTGCCGTACTGAAATGAAGCTGTATGGTTGTAATTGGTAAATTTTGTCTTGGCCACGACATATCTCCAGAAAATGCGCTCTTGTTCGGAATAAATAGAGGTGTTTGAAATTTTGATCCCGTTACAAGTCTCGAATATATGCTCAACAAGTGTCTGAACAAGATCATCCATCAGTTTGGAGTCATTTGGATCATCCAGCTCTGAAATATCATCTAATTTTCTTCTTTCCTTACTGTACATAGTATGATCATACGCTTCAAAAATTTGATCTAAAGCTTTGCTCAATAAATCTCTGAGAGAAAAGCAATAGGGTTTTTTTGAAGCAATTGCCAAGCTTTTCACTCTTGCACCTCTTCTTACTCCTGTTCCATAAAATTAAACCAATAAATTTGTTCATTATAGTACAAACCTTCATACTTCTTTTGTTTTTGGACATTTAGTACATGATAGAATATTTCATTGCCATCGGACTGTGTGTTTTGTTTACCTCTAAGAAAAAATACTGTTGTATCCTCAACACAGTTGTGAGATCCATCAGGAAGCATTAAATTAGCAATTGAATATTCCGAGTCATAAGGATATGCTGTTGGATATTGTACTTTTAATATTGATCCTTTATCAATGTCGAACTCTGCTAGAAAAATATACTCAATATCCATTTTGTTGATCAATAATGAGAGGATTGTTGTGGAAATATTTTTTTGATGGTGGAAAAGTGATGAGCTTCACCACCTCTTCCACAGCATGTCCTCAGGCAATTAGCAAACAATCCTGTAGCATAAAAGTGGCACACATTGAGCGCTTGCTCTCTACTCTCATTTTCGTTGAATTCATTGATCCCCAAAGAACAAAGAAGCTTGACTCTGAATTTCCGTGGTTGGAAGTTCAAACCGTCCAATCAAAACTGCGTTTCCATTACAACAGTGCGTCGGCAACGTTCTCCTCAACAAAATTGTGAAAGATTTTTGAAAATTGTTGTTGAAAAAAATTCTTCATCTCTCCTACTCATCATCACCATGGTTGAAACATTCCACTTCTCCTCAGAGTCCGTAACTGAAGGCCATCCAGACAAGATTTGCGACCAAATTTCTGACGCTGTTCTCGACGCTTGTTTGAACATTGATCCATATTCAAAGGTCGCTTGTGAAACTTGTTGCAAGACTGGTATGATTTTAGTCTTTGGTGAAATTACCACCCAAGCTGTTCTTGACTTCCAAAAGATTGTCAGAGAGGCTGTAAAAAAGATTGGTTTTGATGACTCTAGCAAGGGATTTGATTACAAGACTTGTAATGTTTTGGTAGCTATTGAGCAACAATCTCCTGATATTGCTGGAGGAGTTCACGTTGGTCGTAAGGAAGAAGAATTGGGAGCTGGTGATCAAGGATTGATGTTTGGATATGCCACTGATGAAACCAAAGAGTTGATGCCATTGTCTCATTTGTTGGCCTCTAACTTGGCAAAGAGATTGACTGAAGTCAGAAAGAATGGTACTTTGCCATGGTTAAGACCTGACGGTAAGACACAAGTTACCGTTGAATACGAGAAGGATGGTGGAAATCTTACACCAAAGAGAGTGTCTACTTTATTGATTTCTACTCAACACGACGAAAACGTCAGCAACGAAGAAATTCAAAAGCAATTGAAAGAACACGTCATCATTCCAGTGATTCCTGCTCATTTGTTGGATGAACAAACCATTTATCACATTAATCCTTCTGGTCGTTTTGTTATCGGAGGTCCACAAGGTGATGCTGGTTTGACTGGTAGAAAGATTATTGTTGACACTTATGGTGGTTGGGGCGCTCATGGTGGTGGTGCTTTCTCTGGAAAGGATCCAACCAAGGTCGACAGATCTGCTTCATATGCTGCTCGTTGGGTTGCTAAATCCGTAGTAGCTGCTGGATTGGCCAAGAGATGTTTGGTTCAAGTTGCATATGCCATTGGTATTGCTCACCCATTGTCCGTTCACATTGACACCTACGGAACTGCTCAAGGTGGCAGAACTGACTCGGATATCTTGGAAATTGTCAAGAAGAATTTTGATTTGAGACCATACCACATTATCAAGGATTTGGATTTGCTGAAGCCAATCTACTCCCCAACTGCTGCATACGGCCACTTTGGAAGATCTGAATTCCCATGGGAAGTTCCAAGACCATTGAAGCTCTAATTGATTTATCCGAATAATAAAAAACCTTTTGTTTCTATTCCAAGTAGTCTCTGTATTTTGGAAACAATTGTACAACCTGCAATCTCACTCATTAAATGGTCCAAGCTTCCAAGAGCTCTTCCAACTTTACTCGGGGATTTTTGCCCTCTCCATCAAACTTGATCTTGCTTGCCAAAGAGTCAGAATTTTCATGCTTGAAAAGAAGAACTTTAGATCTCAAGTCCTGATCCTCTTCCAATTCATTCAAAAATGTTTCGTAATCTTTCCCTTCTGGCTCCATACAAAAATGCTTTAAGGTCCAAATTCGTTGTGTATCCCAATCATACTTTTTTCTTACAATAATCACATCCGGTAATACAAGCTTCTTATAGCTCAATAAATCTTCATTGTTAAGGTTAGAATTCTTCAAATCATATCCGTAAACAATATCTCCAGCCTCAAGTAAATGAGATAGATGACAAAAGGTTTGGATGTCATGTGAAATACCGAGCTCAGAGGTTTTAACTGCAGTCACTTCACCCAACTGAAATCTTCCTGATTGTGCGCTAACAACTCTACCTTTATGATTTCTCTTCATCTCAACATCGTTTATAGTGTATTCTAACAACTGAGTTGATGTCAAAAGCGGTCTAAATGGCGCTTGAAAATAAGTTTGGGCGCTCACCTCAAGGGCTGAACTCACATAAACAATGTTGAATTTTGCTCATCGAATTCCAAGTTAGACGTTCATACTTACTTTTTAAAGTGTAAGGATCGATAAAATATAGAGAATTGGTGACTTTGTAACAAATAACTAGAGGACTTCACAAACATAAATTCATATATAGTTCAATTGCTCACTTACATACCCTATCTGTCCGCTACTATTGTATAATCTTTGAGGAAGGCACACAAGATCACCTGTATAAATAGGCGCAATTTCTATATAATATTTATCTGAATCGTTGTTGGATTCCATGCTTAAAGATGTTCCTTGAACTCCTAATAGAGTAATAAGAAGATAATTATTAAAACTATAATACTGTACCTCCTCCTAGTCTTCCTTTCTGAAAGGCTCCTGTCATAACGGATTTGTTTTGTAAATCTCTAATGGGTAGCAGATTGCTCAGTAGTGTAATAAATTTGATAATATTTGTGCTTTCAGTGTCTTGTGTGGCATTAGCGTTTTGATTTATCTCGTCGTCTACATGTACATTTGGACGGTAGTAAATGTCAAACCCATGAGCCACTTTTTCAAAGGCTAAATGTGGGAATCTTTTTGTGATTTGGTGTTTCAATATGAGCTGTTCTAAATAATATAAAGCTCTCTCATGACTTGTTTTTTGACGTATCTGAACAAGAGGCTTGTCCGATGCAATAATATTGGCTCGTTTTTTCTTTTGAGTTATTCTATTGGCTTTCTTTTTCTTTTTGGAGGTATGGATTTGTTCTTGATAGTTGTTTCCTTCATGAACTTTGGTATCCTCAAAATCGGAAATAGACATCATATCCACTCCTCTTTTCTTTTGCGATGATGGAACATCAGTTTTCTTTGTCGGAGGCTTTTTGACGCCCTTGCCTGTTTGCTTTTGTCTCATTTTTTGTTGAAGGCCATCAATTTCTGTTATGTCCTCTAGAAATTACACTTGCACAACGAGCGTAAAAATGACGAATTGTGCACAAATTTTAATTAAATGTTTGTAAATTTGATTTTACATGTTCCGATGAATGACCGTTACATCGTTCCTGACTGTTTGGTGATGTTTGTTGATTGTTTGTTTCAAATTACACAGCACCAGATCAATTCATTGCGTTCTCAAAAAGTGGCCTGTGCTACAGTTTTTAAACAAATAAACAAATTCCACAATCTTGTCAGAGTATAAGGATAATTTATTGGAAAACTGCATGAGACATCGACTCTTGCAAATGATGAAATAACAATATTCATGCGTGTCAACAGAAGTTAAAGTGATTGATGCAAACGTCATCACTGATCCTCGAGTATGATTTTGAATATTTTGAACAAACTATGCTGAGTGTTATTGGTACAAGGAAGTTAATTATTGAGTGTTTGATGAATTGGCTCCATTATTCTGTTTACCACCATTGGCATCTTCTAGATGTCGATTTCCATTTCTGAATTCATTCAAATAAACAATGAACTTAAATATTTGCTTTAAATAGCGTTCCACTGACATAATTTCCAGAATATTGTTGTGACCTGCATAGTCTATAAACAGAGGTGTGTATTTGTATTTCACCTTTTGTTGAAGAATCTCTCCGTGTTCAAAAGGAACCACCTCGTCAACTTTTCCATGAATAATAAATACTGGACATTTCACTTTGTCTATCCGATCAATGTTCCTAAACATATCAAAGAAAATCTTCTTGTTGGTATTGACTTTAATACGAACAACTGTCGTAAATGGACTTTGAAGAATAACTCCTCTAAAGTTTGAATTTTCTTTGGAAGCAATATAGGTGCTTGGTCCAGTACCAAGGGAGGTACCAAATCTGCATTTCATGAGATTGTGTTATCACATAGATCGATGAAAATAATTGATTTAAATCTCTTGTGATTATCACTGATACGTACACTATTATTCTATCTTCTGAGAAACCTCTTTCCGTCTTTAAATATTTGACGGCCGCTTCAATGCTGGCATACACTCTAGGTTCTGAGCAGCTTACTTTTGGCTCAGATATTCCATATCCTTGATATTCATACCCACAAACATTGATCTTTAAAGAACTGCGAAGAAGCTCCAGGTATGGCATTGTTTGACCTAAGTCAGTGGCATTACCATGGCTGTACAGTAGACAAAGATCGGATCTATTGAAAAACAAGAGAAAATAATTAAATACAAAAATGATTAAACCAGCCGTTTAAAATCACATTATCATCATGATCACAACAGATTTTTCAAAAACAAAATATTTTCAAACCGATGATGATCAACGTACCCTTTACATTCCAAAAACACGAGCGGTATTTTAACGTTCACTTTTTGTCCTCTTTCATCAACAACTTTCTTGTCTTCGCATTCCAGAAAGATGTACTTGTCTGACTTGGTGTAGCTGGCTGGCTCTGGTGGTTGAAAAAGCAAACGGGATATGAGACCGCCCATTTTTACCTTTAAAAATGCCAAACCACACCGAAGCAAATACACTGCGGAAATGTGAGGAACGGGAGAAAACTATCAACGATAAAGAAAAAAGGAAACGTAATGATGATTCAACATCAGAAAAATCATCAAACGAAGATAACACTAAAGGAGGAAAAAAACATAGACTTTCATGGACCAACGAATTACATAATTTATTCGTAGAAGCTGTTCAAACTCTGGGCTTGGAGAATGCAGCTCCGAAAGCAATTAAGAATATGATGGGCGTTTCATACGTAACGGTAGGTACATCCAGTTGTACTCGGTAGCTCATGAGTTTTGATGAAGACCGATCACATCAAAAGTCACTTGCAGAAATATCGGATGCAAATGAAGAAATCTGACGACATCATCTCATCTTCTCCAGCTATGATCAGCAATGAACAGGAGGCAGAGAAGAAGAAAAAGAAGCGAAAGAATCAAACAAAATCGGAAAAGGACAACACAAAGCAACTAATAACTGTTGAGGAAAAAAAATGTACAGAATCGATCGAACCAGCCCAGAATATTGCATCTTGCTCAGCATCTAGTACAGGACAAAGTAGCAACAATTCTATTGGATTTAACAATTGGATGCAATCATCAAACAGCGGATCTAGCTCATCAACAACTACGACACCTTTTACAATGGGGGTGGAACAACACGTTTCAGAAAGAGACAACGAGCAACATCACAACGAGGCTAGTAACAGCAATTTTTCCTTCCTTAAAAAAGTTTTTACTCACAGCGCTGAGTCGTTTCTGTTTGACAACACAAACAGCCAATCTAGTTTTTTAATTCCTTCACTCTCAAATTTAGCATCAGAGGAAATAACAAGTAATCATTTGTCAGTTTTTGCTGAATCTAACGCCAAGGATAATCTGAATATATCTGGACATTCTCTTGGGTTCAACATTCAAAACGATAAAGAATTTGTGACGTCTTCAGCCAAAGAGTCCGAGAAAAATCAATACAGACAAGTAGGTCAGCATACATTGCCACAGCAGACAAATCAGAATAACGGTGAAGCTGTTCAGGCAGACCAAACAGCCACACCACAGGCTACTTCTTTTTTGGAGCAATATTCGTCGTTGCTGTTTGATATGTGTCGAACAGATGAAGAAGTGCGCCAATTATTTCTTGAGGCGAAACATTTAGCAAAATCAGACGATCATTTTATATTCATTCTGCATGGCTTTAGATTAGGGGTGTTGTCTGGCTTACGGATGGCTAAACAACAACACAAATAGAAAGAATCTGCAATCATGAAACACTAGGTTAACAACATTACATAATTTCAGAGACAGTGGTGTTTCATTTCCTCCAGTGGATCATGCTGCGAATAAAATGCAAATTGAAAAAGTGGATTCAGGACGAAGGAATTGTGGTCGAAGAGAGAGGTCATGTTCTGTTGATCTGACAGACACATCCTGCGGCAGAACTTGGAACCGCTGAAGAAAAAAATGACGGCCATTTCTGGTGTTATTGTAACAGGTGGGTTGATCGACAACACTTTTAATTTTGATCAAACTTATTTTCTTCAAAGGAAGCACGGGTTTTATTGGAAAGCATCTAATTCATTTCTTGTTAGAAAAGAATTATGTAGTCATTGCTACGAACAGAAACAACCAACCTTCCATACTGTTGGACCGATCGGAGGAAAATCAGAAACTTGTCCATCATTTTGGCTGCAAGATGGATCAACCTGAAACTCTCCATGATTTATTTGAGACTCATAGGCACGACAGTCAAGCCATTGTTCATTTAGCTGCCATCATGGATTTTCATCCTCTCAACAGTTATTCTTTGAAAAATGGAAAGAAAATCATGGACAGAATGAGATATGTGAACATTGAGGGAAGCAAACAACTGTTTAAGGAGTTTCTAGAGAGCCCAGAAAAGAAAGTGTTTATTTATGCATCATCGCAAGGTATGTATGTTGTTAGTAGGACTATCTACTCACTCATTGAATGTATCAAAATGAAGCTGCTATGGGACCCTCTGAAGGAAGTACTCCAATGGATGAAGACTCTCCGTGTCATCCAGTGTTTGAATATGGAAAATCAAAGCTGGAGGCCGAGAAGGCGCTTCAGGATATGTTACGAGAATATCAGAAAAATCCAATACACGGGGTCAAGCATTTGTATATTTTAAGATTCACAGGAGTAACAGGAAGTGGAGATAGATATGCGGCCTTTGAAATGATACAAGCTTCTTCTTTTGGGTGAGTGTTAATAGTTTGACATATCATATCAAATTAATTTTCATGCACTTCTTTTCCAAAAGAATCAATTCTCTTGCTTATCCAGGCAATTGTGACAAGGGATTAATTTCGTTTGTACACATTGATGATGTTTGTAAAGCCATACAACTATGTTTCGAATACAGTGAAAGAAATTATCAGGACACATTTTCAGAGATTTTTATTATTGGACCTCGAGAATCCTCAACTGTTAAACATATTTTAGATGTTTGTTGTATGAATACCGGTTGGCCAACCCCATTATTTTCAATCCCTCTTCCTGTATTTCGGTTTATGGTTGGGCTGATGAGTCCACTTATTAACTGGGTGAGATGGATGTTTTTTGGAATACAAAGAGCCTCTTTCATGTTTGCATCTGACACCATTGGTATGTTGTTTGTTTAACTTTAATTTATTCACCTCTAGTGTCCAAGATTGTATGGAACAAAATAATGCTTATTCTTCTCAGAAAGCTATTTCAAAACTGAGATACAATCCTTTGACATGCGAAGAAGCTTTCATTAAAAGCATTAAGGAACACATACAAACAAATGCAATTCCAAACCATCAAACAGTCAGAAAAATTCGCATGAGCTTGCTTTTTGGCTCAATTGTTACCGTTTCGTTTTGCATCGTGGGACTTTTGTACATCAAGAAATAATACTGATCACTTGTTAAACTGATATCTCGTTCAAATAAATACACTTCTTACGCATTTCAAAGCTAAGGTTGTGATTGTTGTACATTTGATTCAGTGAACATAATCCAGTGATGAACGTTCTAAGTTCTCCAAAGCTTTCTCTTTCTAGATGAATTTTGGTCTTCTTGGCATGTTTGTTCATGATAGCATGTTGATAGATTTCTTTCTGTTGAGCAAGTTCAGACATTAACATTTCTTTTGCCTTTCTCAACACTTGTCGTGTGGAGTCAAGAGGATGAGATTTACAATGAAACCAAAGAGGTCCGTAGTTAGGATCAGCATTCACACACAAATTTTCAATCTGCTCTTGAGTCTCGTTAATGGTCGAAATAGGTGCGGCAGCGCTGTTTGGGATTGAAGGTCCTCTAGTCAGCAACTCCAATCTAAGGTACTCAATAAAGCTGTCTCCATATTGAGGTGTGAATTTGATGGCAAAGTCTAGGCACCTCTTTGCCTTTTCCAAAGAGAATTTTGGTGACAAAGGATTAAGAGCAATACGAGCACCCTCACACCACACCTCTCCACTTTTTGGAACTTCTTCAAGAGCTTCCTTAAATACACGACTACATTCAACAATATTTCCCTTCATATGATGTAGCTGAATAAGAATGGCCCACAAACGACCTGTTCCTCGATGAATTTGCAACGCTTCCAAAGCTTCACAAGTTGCTTTTTCAATATTACCAGCTCGCATTTCAAGAAGAATACTTTCTAAAAATACCTTCCATTCGTGTTTGGCTTCTTGTTTGGCACGATTTAAAAAATCCCGAGCCTTATCAAGATGATTACAAAATTCTTCTAATCTCGCACATTCAATGAGCACTACTGCTTTAGTTTTGATTGGAACTTCTTGTAAAGCTCTATTCAAAAGCATTCGAGAAATTTCAATATTTCCAGCATTCAACTCGGTTCTCGCTCCAGCCAGCCAAACTTTCCAACGCAAATTTTCCAGAGCCTTGATGGCACTCTTACTGTAAGCCTTTCGCGAGAGTTGTAAATGACTTGCACGTTCCTCAAATTGAGCAAGTTCAAAGTACACTTTCCATTTTAGCTCCTTGCTAATACTTTTTGCAGCTCTAGAAATACATTGACGAAACTCGGCCAAGCATTGCTCCCTACTGTCCATTTCAACTTTGGAACGATCAAATTTTCTTTCGTAAAGTCTTAACGCTGCAAACCAAAGAGGTCCATACCGAGGGTTGGCAACAAGGCCTTGTTCAACTATATTGAGAGCTTGATCAAATTGTTCACATTTTTCTTCAAGCTTGAACGCTTCATAATAGATTGGGCCGTGACGGTGAACATTCTTCATGAGATATTTAAATACTTTTCGAGCAACATTGACATTACCTGCACGAGATTCAAGCAATGCTCCTTCTAAAAGAATCTTCCAACATGATTCTGGTTTTTGACCTTTTAGCCTACCAAGAATGCTTCTTGCTGTCTGCAAGTCATCGTTTTGCTCGAAATGCTTGATAGCTTTTATGAGCAGAGATTCATTGTGTTTGCACTTGTCCAATCCCTCCACAAGCAAACGTCCACATTTTTCATTGTTACCACTTTCTTCCTCGAGTTTGGCATACTCAAGCCATCCTTGGCTTGCATTTGGTTGTATTTTGTTCACTGTACAAAATTCTAAACGAGCTTGTTCAACAAGATTTTCTCTTTTGGCCAAATCTGCCAATTCCATATGAACTCTCCAATGCATGTGATTTGCGAGACGACATTTCGGATCATTCAGATAATTCATGGTTAAACTCTTAGCTCGGTCATACCCTAGTGGCTCGTAACTCTTGAGCAAATTCTGAAATTCTTTCAAGACAACCTTGTCCTCAGTTGATTCCTTCTTAGATGGTGAGATTGGGCCATTATTGCTGTCTGTTACATCAGTGGTATTGTGGACCATAGCCAAGTTAATGTGAAGCGAGGAGGGGTTGTTGGATGTGTTATTGGATCCCATTCTCCTATGTTTCGATGGCGAGTTGGGAACGCTGCTATATCCATTGGGGTGCACGTTGATGGAAGGGTGTTGCATTGCCTTATCATAAGGATCGTGCCAATTCCCCTCGGCAATAAGGTCTACTTGATCAGATGACGAAGCTCGTGTGTGGAAAAAGCATGGTTCTACATGCTTGGAAGGTACTGCAATGTTTGTCATACTTGGTGGTATTCCTTCCATGTCATTACAAGTATGGGGTGGGATGGTAGAAACTGTGAGAGAGGTTTGTAATGACTTTGTAAGGCTATCCATGATGGCATCGTTTTTCAAACGCCTAGATACAGAGACATAAGGATGGAACTGTGTAGATTGATTTGCAGTAGAGGGTTGTTCCATGTTGAAAAAGGATCCAATTTGTTGTGGGCCATATTCCGTGTTTGAGTTATTTGGTAAATCAGTCGAAAGGGGTTTGGAGTGATTGAGTTGGAGAGGTTGAGCCATGTACGGGACTGAGTTTTGAGGTTTCGGATGGAGAGAGGGAAGAGGCAAGCTCAAGGCTTGTACGTTTTGTGAATTTGGGGTTCCTGAAGTATAAGAATGGCAAAAACTATTAACCTTTTCATTCCAAAGATTGTATCCATTACAAAATTGCATGTAATTTTCGCAGGATGATGCAGCGGATTGGAAAGTTGGAGTTGAAGAAAAAAACGATTGTGGTTCAGAAGACGAAGAGCTGGAAGTTTTACACCCGTTGTTCGTGTCCAATTCTCTGTAATGTGTTGTTTCATCTGAAAATAATGAGGAATTGCCAATTCTATGCATAGAAAGGGAGGAAGTTTTTTGAGAGAGTGGTAAACCGAGCTCGTGTTTGATGCAGCTCGGAATTAATGGGAGTGATTGTATCTGATGAGAAACAGGGTGTAAATAACACTGATCCCAAATATGGTTGTTGTTTGCAGCCACAGGTGGTTGGTATTGAACGGTGACGCTTCCTGCAACGGTTGATCCGCACTGTGCTGCTGAAGGTTGAAAAAGCGTTGTAAACGTTTTGCTTCCAGCAGCGGTTACTTCGACAGGTCGTTGGTGTGTTTCAGGGTTTGTTGGGATAACGTTGTTTGGCTGCTTCAAAGTGCTTGGCATTTTTTTTAAAATTAATGATTAATTATCCAAAAATTATTTTTGCAAAGAAAGTTTAACGATTTCTAACGGCTGGATTAATTTTTATTCGCTCAAACAACCAACGCCATTGCAAAAATACAAAAACAGAATTAACGCTAACACAATGATAATAAAACCACAAACAGCTGCTGCTTTGAGCCAGCTTGAGATTATTGCTCTTTTTAAATCGTTGGTTTTCTTCTTAAATTCTTCAGCTCTTACCACCAATTCGTCCGTCTTACCTACGAGAATATCGATTCGCTCTCCTCTCTGAATGACTTTATCAATGTTGGTAATCATTACATTTTGAATGTCTTGAATTTGATTTTTAATTTTTCGAATCTTATTTGACTCGGGATCGTGATTGAAATAGTTCATTTTGTTTTTAAGAAAAGGTTTGAAAGACTTGTTCATTGCGTAATTATTTGAGACTGTTTTCCCAGAGTCACCGTACATCTTAAACCATCTTTGATTGTTTCGAAAAGTAAAACACATGTGGTTTTCAAAGACTTACTCTTCTTTTATATTCTGAATAAATTTAAAGCATTGCGCTGTACTGAAATAACTATCACTCATACACATGAAAGTCACTTCATTCGAAACCTCATAAGAGAAATTATACGAGTCGTAGGAGTATATCATCTTTGAATTCAGAGGTGGAATTTTTTCTAATATTTTCAGAGATACCCTTTGGAAATTGCCATATTTCACCAAGGGATTCGTAAACTCTGCAAGTACTGAAAAGGAGGATAGAAGTCTTCAAGCAATTCATTCTCACGTACCCTTATTGCCCTTTGCAACCACGCAGTAGAGGATAAAACCGTCTTGGCTCATTTTTTAAAAGTTTAAAAAAAAAATATTGTCGTCATGAGTTCGTACGCTGGTGATGAAGTTGGAGCTGTTGTTGTGGATGTTGGATCTCACACCACAAAAGCTGGATTTGCTGGAGAAGAGAACCCAAAGGTGGTTGTTCCGTCGGTATGTAAAATTGCTTGACCAGATGATCATCAACGATTTACGAAATTTTAAATAGGTTGTTGGTGTTGTTTATGACAAGGAAGACAAATCAACGGTCTCCAATTATTATTTAGGACTGAAGGAAATATCGTTTGCAAGACCGTACATGGAGATTGAAAATATTTTTGATCCCGAATCCGGAGAGAGTATGTGATGACATTGTTTAATTTTATAATTCTACTAACTTTCTAAAAGTTTGCAATTTTGATTATATGGAAAGGTTATTAAGTTATGTTTATGATGAACGACTAGGAGTTCGAACGAATGAACATCCTCTTTTAATGACAGAAGTACCAACAAATTCTGCACAAAATAGAGAAAAACTCACATCGCTGATTTTTGAGACATTTAAGGTTCCTAATTTTTTCCTATCCAAACAACCAGTTCTCAGTTGCTTTGCTAATGGAAAGTATACTGCTCTCGTTGTTGACAGTGGGCATAATTTTACCACTATCACACCAGTTCTTGACGGGTATGCTTTGCAAAGATCTGTTGTCAAAACCAACAGAGTTGGAGGAAGAGCTTTAGATGATGAATTAAGAAAATTAATAATCTCTAAAAGGAATGGTAAAGATATTCTGGCGCCTCATCAATTTACAAAACAACGAAACACTCCACTCCCTAGCTCAAAGTCAGCCAAAATTATTGAAGCTGAAACTCCTGGCCTCACTGTTTCCTTTAATGAGTACTTTAAAAACAGAGTTGTTAGCGATGCTAAGATTAATTTATTGCGTGTTGCAGATAGAAACACTCAAAGCAACACTTCAATTCCGATTGTTTCGTATGAGATGAATGATGGAATAGAAATAGAGGTTGGGAATGAAAGAGAATCGATTTGTGAAATGTTATTTAATGAAGAATATGGAATTCACAAATTGAGCTATGAATCAATCAATAAGTGTGACGTCGATCTTAGAAAAGAATTGTATTCCAATATTATTTTGACTGGAGGAACCTCGCTTATTCCTAATCTTCCAACCAGATATGAGACTGAATTGTCTAGAATTGCTCCTAGCAATGCCAAGGTAAAACCTCCTTTGAACACAAAACAGTATTCTACAACAACATCTAGTCAATCAACCTCCAATCAAACATCGCTTACTCATTTACAAGAAAGAAAATATTCCTCATTCATTGGAGGTTCAATTCTTGCTAGTTTAGGAGGCTTTCAGCAAATGTGGATCTCGAAATCTGAATTTGATGAAATTGGAGCTGCTCAAAGTTTGCTCAGAAAGTGTCCATAAATGTTATTGAAAAATGTTTTTGAACATATTTTTCATGTTTTGGTTGTATTCTGTTTCCATTCTTCGGCATTTGTTCATCTCCGATTCAATAAGATTTAACATTTTCTTACTCATGTCAGCTGAGTCATTAATGTTTGTCTTTGGAGAGCCAGTAATTATTTTGCTGATGATTGTAATATCATCGTTTGGGTTAATGGTGGACAAGAGGTGTTGTGCTTGCTTAAAATCTTGAATTGCCAAAGAAAAGTTTCCATCGTTCATATAAGCCTCAGCTCTCTTGAAATAACTTTTTACATTGGCTCCAATGTTTTCAATGCATTCTGTACTAAATTTCACAACATTACCATATCTTTTCAGTTTCATTTCACATGTTAACAGATTGTTAAATAATGTAATAAGAAGATCTCTTATCTTTCTGTTCTCATCATCCCATTTGCTTTTATCAATTTTTCGTAATTGTTTAATTCCTTTTCTATAACACCTCGATGCTGAAATATTCTTTCCTTGAGAAAAGAAGATGTTTCCTTCTTCCTTCTTAGAAAGAGCCAGGTTGTGCAATTCCGTTTCATTCATATCCCAGTCAGTGTTTACATTATTGTTCCTTTTAATAATTTTTAACAATTGAAGTTGTATTGAATATTTAATACCATCCTTTTCAGTCTCAAATTCTGTTGAATCTCCCACTGCCAAGAGTTTGATTTTCTCTTCAATTTCTTTAAATTGCGTTTGTTGTTTTCCGAGTACAACCGACAGAGGTTTGTCTATCTCGAATGAGTCCTCAATCGTTTCTAATTTTGAACGGTCATGAGTGAGTGCAGAAATTCTGTAATGAAACACAACCAAGTCTCCGATCTGTGCTGGAGTGGAGCAAACATGTTGGCTCTTGTGAGCGGTCATTGTTGTGTGTGATGACCAACCGAATTTTTTCAAGTTTTAAAAAAATCAAATAAAAAATTCATGAGCAATAACAAGAAATCCGGAGAGGTTGATATAAAAGTCGTCATGCTAGGTACGTGCATCTTCACTATTGATTGGAATTTATTATTAATTTTATGATCGTTTTTTGAATATTACGGAACATGGATCCTACAATGATGAAGGCGATAGTGGTGTCGGAAAGGTAAATATTTAATTTCTTGAAGTTCCATTCCACTCATCATACATGAATAATTAGACAAGCTTGGTAGGTTAATTAAAACACATTTACTTATATTGTAACTTTCCCACTGATAGCTGGTTAGATTTCTCGACAATACCTTCGGAAATACTAGATCTACAATAGGAGCATCCTTTTTCAAGGTAGTGTTGTTAAATACGTTTTTTCTGTCATTTACATTTCCAGAAATCAATTCCAAGTAAAAGTGGGAAAGGTTCCATAGAACTTGGTCTTTGGGATACAGGTAAGCACTCACAATTTCACTTAAGAAGCTTCTCACCAAATTAGCTGGTCAGGTAAGTTGGAATAATAGTATTGTAAAATGTTAGTGACACGCTACCATCAGGAGAGATATGACTCTCTGAGGTATGTAAACGTGATACAAAGTTCAACTATGACAATATGAAAAATACATAGCTCTTTCTACTGTCGACACACAAACGTAGCCTTGATTTGCTACAATGTAACTGAAGAATCTACGTTTCAAAATATTCAAAAATGGTACCACAAACTTGAGACGAGCGTACCAGCAGAGGATTGTTTTGTAATTTTGGTTGGAACCAAATCAGACTTGGGTAAATCAGTGATTACAGAAAAAAAAGTGGAAGATTTGATTTCGAATAACCGACTAATTTTCAAACATTTTGTTACAAGTGCAAAAGATGGAACCAACGTCAGCACTATTTTCGATACTATTGCAGAAGAATATGAGCGAAGAAAAGCGAATAACCAGAACAAGCGAGCATCTCTTGGTATGGTTCCTATTTCTCAGCTGCAAACAAATGGTGACACTTCTTCTTCCAAGAAAGGTTGTTGTGGATGACAAATTGAATTACTTAGTGTATTTGTGAATATATGGACCATAATAAATATTCAAAAAGTCGTTATCGTGGCTTGAAAAATTAGTGCTTGTTGTTGGATATCAATCCATGCTTTTCGCAGAGAGATTTACAATGAGAACAAACAAATCGTTCCAAGTCAATCTTATCTTTCATCAGAGAAACATGCTCGTCACATACGCTGTAGGGACAAGTGAAACACTTCTTCACAACAGATGAGCTGTTGCATTCTGAGCAGAAGTGTTGCGGGCAAACCCAATCACCTGAAGGCACTTCTGAAATGCCAACACATGAAAGATGGTAAACTTTTGTACAACATTTAAAGTCACAACAAATTAACTCTCCACCATTCTTGCAGATAAAACATTCGTCTTCGTGAACCTTAGTTTCCTCTTTTGCTTCAAGTCTAGAAACGTACACAGAGAAAAGATCTTTGGTTGGAGACTCGGCTAAATCAACAGGTTGCTCGTTCATACACTCTTGTGCATCTTTCTTTTTCTTTCTTGGAGCTGATGGGATTGCCTCATTTTCTTCGTCACTTGCAATCCCTGATAAGACTTTGAAGGGTAAGTGTTTTATGAGGCGTCTTGGCTTTCGTTTAGCAATAACCTCTTCCTCTGTCTGTAAGTTCTTTTCAATGTGTTTTTTTCTTTTCTTTTTTGATGACTTGTTAGTTTCACTTGTCTCATGGTTCGACTCTGTTGTCACATCAAAAGATTTTGATGAAGAGGATGTGTATGTAGATAAGCTGTCATCTTGATCTTCATTTACAATGTTTGTGCTACTAGTGGCTTTCCAAGCAGTCAGACCAAACAATCCCGATCCAAATAATGAAAATATTGAAGCATTCTTCTTTTTCTTAATTTCCTGATACATCATTGCTGCAACAGTTCTTTCAGGTGTTTTTCCAGCGCTTTTCACTAATTTCTTTTCAAAAATTAACTTTGTTAAATCCGTAGCATTGAGAGGCTTGTTCACTTCAGAAAGAACGATCACACTTGCATCTTTGAAGCTATGATACTTTTGTGCTGAGTCTTCATTTAAAGAGAGTACTGCTGTTGGTTTGGTCTTCCTCTTTCTCTCCTTTTTTTTGTTTCTTTTTGCTTGTTCCTCTTCATTTTCGGAAGATGAATCAGTACTTTCACATGTTCCAAAAGTTTTAAAGACCTTGTAAGGTTGTACTGGAATTAATGAATCGTGATGTTGGGTTGGTGTTGTGGTTGATCCATCATGATTATCGTTCTGCTGTAAAGAGTTTTGATTGTTCCGAATAACACTATGGTCATCGTTGGACAAGGCTGAAGGAGAAGGTGGCAAGGCGAGATTGTCATGGCAATCTACTACTATTTCTGACAAACAGTTGCTCATGTTATGAATTGATAACGTTTCTGATGGAGGTGTTGTTAGATGGCTATTGTAATGGTGATGGCTATTATTATAATAATGGTGATGATCACCGCTCGTTGTTGTTGGATCACGTGCGGTGTGTTGACTCGAGAATGCATTCTTGCAAGTGCTTGGTGCTTCATGGATGGGATGATCCGCTTTGTAAGAGCTGGATGGGATCACAGTAGTATCAACGACAGATCGATTGTTCCGATCAACGTTGACCTGGTGATCCGTGGAAGGAGAGGACAAAGGATCTTGTGGCAAATCGTAAGAGCTGCACAGCGATGATCTTCTTGATATCTTGTGGCTGTTGGAAGATCTTGCCTCTGAACAGGTGTTTGTTATGGCTGCTTTTGAGTGATTGATCGTGTTGTTGTTGCTGGTCAACGTTGATGGAGAGACTGCCGTTGTATGTGTGTTACATTTGTTATCGCTGCTTGAACAAGCCTGGATGGCACTAGTAGTGGTTGTTCGGCCATGATGACGAGCTGTTGTTTCATCATCATTGATATTCCATGCATATTGTGATTGCTGTTGTTGGAGCATGATCAATTTCAAATCATAATCATGTGCCAACAAATCATCATCATCCGAATACAACTTGTTGCTCGTCATGTATTCCATCACATTGTGTACATGATGGACAGATGGAATATTCCTTCGCGTAAAATCTTCGAAATCTCTGGTCATGCCATTGCAGTTCAAGATGAAGAGTATTTGATCAATGTTGCTTTCAATTTTGCGAGTCGGGAATGTGTTACACTCCAGGTTCATGTTTTTTGGTTTCATCACAATACACGAAGGGAAAGAAGAATTTGGAGGACGAGGTGTTTTTCTTTTCGAGCTCAAAAATACAACTCACACTGTAAAAAATCAGTTTGGAATCGTCCAACAAAAATTATTTAACGAATGGAGTTTTGATGTTGGTGAGAAATTTTCATAATAATTGTTTTTCTTAACGACTTTCTTTTTTCTTTTTGATATCACGCTTTTTCTTTTGCAAAGTAGAGCGCACTTGAAAAACATTTTCAATTGCTTGCTTAAAGATGTCGAAGTTGTAATTAATGAGACCAACTTTCTCATAGCTGTCTTTTGTTAACAAGCAAACCAATGCCAAATACTTGTTAACTTCTCTCAAATAAAGCACGCTTCCATTGTTCAACTTGATCACAGCACCAGTTTCTTCATCATAGGCGCTTGATGTTCCTTCTCCTCCATTCAGTCTATTGCCATAGATGCAACTGATGTCAATCACAACATCTATCATATCACTACACAGCTCATATGTAGTGTTGTCAACAGGTGTGGCATCAGTTGCAATGTAGATTTTTGAAACCACATCAAAAAGAAAAGCTTTTTCCAACCGAGAGTTTGTTACAAGTAGATCTAATAAATTCTCCAATGTAGGTAATTGAGGAATTAGCTTTTGGATAACCTTACTAAAAGCTTCGAATATTGAATGATCGTAAATGCTAGTCATATGAAATCTGGTCTTAACATTTGGAGATATTTTAACGTCTGAATCATTTAATTCGTCTGACAGTCTTTGTTGAATGTCCTGTTGGATTTGAATTTTGTGATCGTCACTAATTCCGTCCATTTTGTGAATGAATATTTCAAATGAAATTTGATCATTGACTTTGCTTGCTTGTTGGATCGTTTCGGCTAGCTTTGTTATGCTGTCCAAATAATTATCTTGAGCATCAATGACATAAACAATAGCCCCACATCCACTGAAAATTAATTCACATTCAAAGTTCTGAGTATCACCAAATAGGTCTATCTGACCTGGAAAATCCCAAATTTGGAATTGAACAAAGGTGTTATTAGAAATATCGTTTTTCACAATTTTGTTTGTTGATTCCAAGAACAGTGTTTCGTGTGGAGACATTTTCTGGAATACTACTTTTTGAATGGAACTCTTGCCGCTCCTCCTGAGGCCCATTAATAAAATACGAGGCTTGTCGTCTTCAAGAGAGCCGTTGTTCTGATTAACCGACTTTCTGAAACTGGTGCTAATTTTTTGGAAATTCGGTGTATGGGCACCAACACCAACGCTTCCAATAACGGCGTTGTTACTTCCGAGCGCTCCTTCTTGTTTCTTGACTGCAGTGTTGGATATTCCTTGTTGTTCAACATTTTCAAGAAGATGAGAAGGATCTTGCCCGTAGCTTCCAACAAATTCGTCATCATAACCGTAGTCATCTCCAATGTTCTGATCAAAATCGTGTTCATCTAAGTCATCGTAATGGTCGTCTACCTCGTCCGACAAATCGAAATTGAATTGATGGGCCATTTTTTTGATGGTTTTCGAGGCACCAACGTTGTGGTTGGGTTGGGTCTTTGGCGCCAAAAGCAAGTTAAAAACCCCAAACTAACCGTTTTTATTCTCTTTGCGCCAAAAGCACGTGAAAAAAATGTCCCTAGACCCAAACGTTCTCAAACGTAAAAGAGTAGTCGATCAGGATTCTTCATCAAAGAAGCTAAAGGGTTCAGTTCCATCCTCCAATGATATGGAAAATACAAATCCGAACCTGAAGCCCAGCAAAATTCCAATCCCCAAGCACTCTCAGAGCACATCATTGAATTCTTCATCTCTTTCAAGCAACAACGCAACAACCACATCATCAAATTTAAAAGGAATTTCTTCAAGCAATAGAACAAGCATTATCAGAGCAAATGCTACTTCCAGAATTACCACCAACCGACTGGCACCTAGTTCCACACCGTCTTCAAGGGTCTCACAGTACCAAAAGCCTAGTACTACCAACTCTAGGCAATCCGTGTCAAGAACTATGACAGCTCCGCAAACAGCAAAACAGACAAACATCCAAAAACAAGAGCATGAGACCACAAAACATGAACTCGACCAAACCAAATCTCAGCTCTCTCAATTATCTGACGAGAACAAGCAACTCAAGTCAAAAATTGATGAGCAACTCGTTCAACTTCAGGACTTGATACAACTCGAGGAAAAGACCAAATCGCTTGAGACTCTTTCGTTAAAATATCAAGAAGACAGCATTCAACTAAAGTCGATTAATAAGACTCAAGAAATTGAAATCCACGCTTTAAAGGGACTGCAAGAGAAACTTCAAATGGATAATATTGATCTCAGAGTTAAGGTTAGCTCTCTGGAAAAAGAAATTGAGATAGAGAAGAAGCAATCCGAAATGGATAAGGCTACTCTTAAGATACAATACGAAAGTGAAATTAGAATACAGAAAGAGCATTTCGAACAACAATTGAATGAAGTCACAGAAATTAAAGACAAGGAACATAATTTAACCAAGGAGAGACTTACCAAGGAAGTTTCAAGAGTGAAAAGCGAGCTTGATCGAGTTCAATTTGAGCTTAATTGTTCGATTGACGATGCAAATACAAAGAGCGAGAAAATTAGAGAGCTTGAAGCAAAAATTCACCAACAGCTAGAACACATTCAAAATCTCGAGAATAAGCGACATCATGATGAGAGTGAAAGAAGACGTTTACACAATATTATTCAAGAACTCAAAGGAAATATCAGAGTTTACTGCAGGGTCAAACCAGCTCAAGAAATTAAATGTATCTCTTATCCTGACGCGGATGTAGATGAAAGATCTATCAATATCCAAGAGGATTCTAGAGTTACTGCAACAGGAGCATCAGCAGAAGGAAAGAAATACTATTTCCAATTTGACAAGGTTTTTAAGCCAAACTCCACACAAAAAGAAATCTTTTATGAAATTTCTCAACTTGTACAGAGCGCCCTTGATGGATTTAAAGTGTGTATTTTTGCTTACGGACAGACAGGTAGCGGTAAAACAGTAAGTATCCTTTTTCTAACTTTGAATCATCATGACTCCTCTATAGTACACGATGGAAGGACCTCCAAAGGACTTGATAAGTAATCTTGACTCAGAAAAGCAAGAAGCACTTGCAGGCATGATTCCTAGAAGTGTTGATCAAATCTTCGAATCTGCGGAAAAGCTCAAAGAAAAGGGGTGGACATTTACAATTGTTGCCAGCTTTTTAGAAATTTATAATGAGACTATCAGAGATCTGCTTGACTCAACAAATAAGGATAATGTAAAATATGACATTAAGCATGGAAAAGATGGATCGACCACTGTAACTGGATTGAAGTATGTGAATGTTAATAGACCTCAACAGGTTCAAGAACTACTTAGAATTGCTTCAAAAAACAGAGCAGTAGCAGCTACATTATCAAATGATCGATCCAGTAGATCACACTCTGTTTTTACTCTTCAGATTACTGGAAGAAATGATAACACAGATCAAACAACTCAAGGTGTTTTAAATTTGGTTGACTTGGCTGGAAGCGAAAGAATCAGCAACAACCATCCAACTAATAGTGACAGAATTAAGGAAACACAGAATATTAACTTAAGTTTGACATGTTTGAGTAGTGTTGTTACTGCTTTAGCAAACAAGGCTAGCTACGTTCCCTATAGAGACTCCAAACTCACGTTTCTTCTTCAGAACTGTCTTGGTGGGGACGCAAAAACACTCATGTTTGTCAACATTGATCCGGAAAATGTAAATGAAACGATTCAATCACTTAGGTTTGCAGCCAAAGTGAATTCTTGCGAAATCCATGCTACCCGAAAGATAAAGTGATAAAGAGGCTTTTGGATTGAATAAAATTATTGAATTAAAAATTAAAAAAATACAACATCCTTCATTTTAACTTTGGTGTCTCTTCACTTCCGCAATACATCACCCAAGCCTTGTTTGTCTTCGTTACAACCATCATCATTCGTAGGTATTTATGCAAATTTTCTTTCTAACACGCTATCCAAATTCGACTGATCATTGATAATGCTCTTTTTGCAATGATACTTTCCATGTTCCTTTGTTTTTCTTATCGGGTCTTCCTTGTGGTTCTTTTAGCAATATTTTCATATTACGTTATTAGATTTTACAATGGCCACTGAATTGACTCCACAACAAATTAGTGTTAGCTTTGTTGCCCAATATTACTACATTTTGTCATCTAACACCAAAAATCTTTACAAATTCTACAAGAATGAATCCGAAATGACTCATGAGCATTCCAATGTTGTGAAACAATTGCCTGGAAATATTAATCCAAACACTGTTGTTGGTCAAGATATTGAAAAAAAGATTTCTACTCTTGGTTATGAAGATTGCAAAGTTCGATTGACTTTTGTTGATTCACAACGTTCATTGAATGGATCTGTCTTTGTTTTTGTGGAAGGAGTGATGATTAGACAGAGCGATGACCAAAAAGAAATGAATTTTGTTCAAACATTCCTTTTGGCAGAACAAGAGAATGGTTATTATGTGAGAAATGACTACCTCCGTTTTACCTCTTGTGCATCTTCTGTAACCCCTAGTACTGTTCCTCACCAAGTGACATCCACAATCTCTCATCCACAACATCATGCCATCAATGCCAGTAATAGCACTGATACTCAAGTCAAGTCTCAAAACGGAAGCACAAATTTAACACCTCCTCAATTATCTTTCTCAACTAATACTTCGGTTGCAAATACTGCTGCTGCTAATGGATCACATTCTCCAAGAAGTGAGACTAGCTCTACTGCTGCCACTGCTGGAGCAAGTTCTGTTTATGGAGGAGCTGAAGATAATCAATTGGATGAAGAAAGCGATCACGAAGAATCTAAGCAATCAGAAAAGAAGTCGATTGGTGTGAATGTTCCATCTCAATCAAGCAGCAATACTGCTAGTTTACCACCTGTTGCATCTTCAACACGTGTTGAAAAACCAAGTGAATCCCACAAGAGCATTTCATATGCTGCAGCTGTCAAGAATGAACAAAGTTCTGCTACTTCTGCACCATCGACTACAGTGCCTCAAGAAGCATCTCAACAGCCAAAGCGTGGAAAAAAACATCATAAGAATGAAAATAAGGAAAAGGTCGAGCATAAAGAGGATAATGAGCAAAAAGGAGAACTCAAGAATGAGCAAAAGAAATCGGATCACCAAAAAATCGAACCCAAGAATCGCAAGCATGAACACAACAAGAGTGAGAACGATCAAAAGAAGCCACCTAGCGTTTCTGCTAGTACAGACGAACAAAAGAATAATCAAGTAGGTGAAAGGAAGGAAAAATCATTCCGTGGAAAGGATCACCCTCTCAACAAGTATGCTGTGTATGTACGTGATCTACCAGTGGGAACTAGGGATAGTGATCTCAAGCAAGTATTTGCATCCTACGGAAATATTATTGATATTCACAACAAGTCAGGAAAAGACCAGTCTTACAACAAGTATGCCTTGATTTTCTTTGAGACCAAACAAAGTGTTGACACACTTTTGGAAAAGCCAACTGTGAACATTGAGGGACATGAATGCCCAATCACCAGATACCAGAGAAAGCCAAAGCCTCATTTCACACCACGAGGCACAAGCCCAAACAACACCAATAACACTGTTGGAGCTTCAAATAACGTTCCCAATCAAAATCGTCCAAGTGGAGAAAGACGTCCTCAAAGACAACGATTTGCTCGTGCTCCTGCCAACACAGAGACTTCTGTTGAGAAGTAATCCTCACTAACCAGACCTCCCCCAAAACAGCGTATGGCGGCGCATCCGACGTTGAAGCGCACTAAAAACCTGTCAGATATTCGTCAAGTCAAAAATGAATATGAAAGCATAAAAAAATTTATTCGTTGAATGTCATGCAGTAGAATTGGTAATAGTTCTGGTTTAGGGTGCTAGCAAGGATCTGTCTTCCGTGAGCTGTTCGTTGGCACGCTGTTGTTTTTCAAGCTTCAGCTGAAGCGAATAATGGTGCAACGTCCTATGGCCTCAAAATTTCGTTTCAGTTTGTCTGTTGTTGCAGTAAGAACCCAAGTTGCTTGGGTTCTTCAAACCCTTGCAAACCAATCAGGAAGAGACTCACTCATTTTATTTTTGATTCCTTTGTAGTTTACTCAAATCAGCTGACGTGGGATTGACGAATATCTGACAGGTTTCTAGTACCAATTGCGCCGCCATAATTGCAATCCCGAAAAAATTGAACTTGTGCATAAAAACTCAGTTCCATCACAATCCATGGGAAACACACAAAACTCACCCCCCAACAGTAACGGGTTTGGAATACAAACCAAAAGGTCCTCTTCTCAACTCAAATTAGACGATCTGAACAATTGTAACGAAAAATACTTTGGATTAGAGAATGTGAGTAAAGATCAAATGTACAACAACACGATTAACCGTTTACTTATTGAAGTTCGGAAATACGTGTTACGCCAACAGTGTTTTGCAAGCATTATATTTCTGCAAACCATTCCGATATAGAATTTTAGAGTATTATGACAACAACAAGTTACAACAACAACCAGATTTAAAGAATTCTAATTTATTACATTCACTCTCTGATTTGTTCTACCAATTATTCAATCAAAAGAAAAATAGTGGACATCTCGCTCCGAAGAACTTTATTCAGAGGTTACGTGCTGATAATGAACTGTTCAGAAGTTTGATGCAACAAGATGCACAAGAGTTTTTGAATTTTGTTCTTAATCATGTCGTTGAGATTTTACAAAAAGAAAACTCCACTCGAGATGAGAATGGAGAACAAAATATGCCATCTACTTCATCTCATGGCTCGGAAATGGACACAAGTAGCGACATTCAAGAACTTGCAGACACTTTACAAGAATCAAAGAAGGTGAAAACATTTATTCACGAAATATTTGAAGGAAAATTAATTAATGAAACAAGATGTATCATGTGTGAAAATGTGACAAGTAGAGAAGAAAGCTTCTTTGATATTAGCGTTGATGTGCAACAATTTTCATCGATTACTCAATGTTTGAAAAACTTTAGTAGCATGCAAATTCTAAAATCTAACAACAAATTTTACTGTGATCATTGTTGCTCGCATCAAGAAGCCCAAACTCGAATGACCATCAAACAACAACCACAAGTTCTTGCCATACAGCTTAAACGATTCAAATATTTGAACAACACTTTCAAAAAACTTTCATACCGAGTGACTTTTCCTTTCGATATTAAGCTTCCCAATTTATCCGAGGATGAAGAAGAAAAAACATACAGATTATTTGCAGCAGTTGTTCATATTGGCTCTGGACCAAATTGTGGTCATTATAAGTGTATAGTGAGGTCTGAAGATCAATGGATTCTGTTTGATGATGACAGGGTGACCGTAGTTGACGAAGATTATATTAGATCAACATATGGGTTTCCTTATGATGAATCATCGTCATTTAGCGGAATTACAGAGACATGTTATATATTGTTTTACAGCTCAGAGATGTAAACACGTGCAAACAAAACACGCAACCAGAGGTTCCTCTTGTGGTAGTACATCCATATCTATTTATTCAAATATATGCCAACAAACTCATAATTTAGCTCGTGTGTCATTTTAATGCTGCCCCTTGTGTGTTTTGTTGTGTGAGACGCAACCAACACACCAACAAACTCGCTGGAGAATTTTGGCTCGAGTTAAACCACTGTGTCACTCTATCATTATTTTCATCTGCATAAACAGTTAATTTCGTAAAGACTTTCTGAAAGAAACCAAGTTTACAAAAAAATGCGCCACACACTTCTCGCATCTTCAACACATACTCTCCGAAAAGCAGTTAAGACCCTGGGTACTTTTCCATCATCGTCGGTGATCAATGCTGGTCTAAAAATTACAAGAAATTTGAACAGAAAGAACAACGATTTAATTTCCTCCTCTACATCATGGAATTTATTGGAAACATCGAAAAAACACTTTTCCACTTGCTCTATTCAACATCAAGAGGCGCTTCTTGAGAATGAAGAAGAACCTATTGAAAGAGAAGTTATGGAGTATGACGTAGTCATTGTAGGTGCTGGGCCATCGGGATTGTCCTGTGCTATTAAATTGAAACAATTGTCTCAAGAGGCAGGACAAGATATTAGCGTTTGCGTGTTGGAGAAGGGTCAAGAAGTTGGATCTCATCTACTCTCTGGAGCCTGTATGGAACCACGTTCTATTGAAGAGCTGTTCCCAAATTACAAGGATCTTGATGTACCTTTCTATACTCCTGCAACTAAAGATCGAATGATGTTCCTTACCGAAAAACGAGCCTTCAGACTACCAGCAATTGAAGAGATGAACAATCACGGAAATTATATCGTAAGTTTGGGACAAATTGCCAAATGGTTGGCTACGCAAGCAGAAGCACTTGGTGTTGACATTTTACCTGGGTTTGCTGCTGACCAAGTTGTTTATGCAGATGAAAATAATGATAGAGTGATTGGTGTAATCACAAAAGATGTTGGTATTGGAAAGGATGGAAAGAGAAAGGATAATTTTGAGCCAGGAATTATGCTGAAGGCAAGACAAACAATCTTCTCTGAGGGATGTAGAGGCTCTCTCACAAAAACTCTCTATGAGAATGTAAAGTTTAAACTCAGAGAAAATTGTGCTCCACAAACGTTTGCGCTTGGTGTCAAAGAACTTTGGGAATTTCCTGATAATCACCCTGAGTTTGAATCAGGTTTAATTATGCACTCTGTTGGTTATCCATTAGATGCAAAAACATATGGTGGCTCTTTCATGTATCACTTTAATGCAAATGGAGTGAATAGAATGGCGCTAGGACAAGTAACAGCTCTGGATTATGAAAATCCAACACTTAGTCCATATGGAGAACTTCAAAAGTTAAAACATCATCCATTATTTAAAAAGATGCTCGAAGGAGGTAAATGTATTGCGTATGGTGCAAGAACACTTGTAGAGGGAGGTATCCAAGCCCTCCCCAAGCTTTCATTCCCAGGCGGTATTTTGATTGGTGACACTGCTGGTTTTTTGAATGTTCCTAAAATTAAGGGAATTCACACCGCTATGAAATCTGGAATATTGGGCGCTGAAAGCGTTTTTGAAGCTCTTGTTAAAGATGATGTTGAAGCTTCCACATTTCAAGAACGATTTAAGAGTAGTTGGCTCTATACAGAGCTTTACAAAGAGAGAAATATTAGAGCCTATTTCAAATATGGCTTATATCCTGGTCTATTACTTTCTGGTATTGATTCAATCATTTTCCGTGGAAAAACACCTTGGACCGTTAAAATGAATACAACAGATCATGCACATACCAAACCAATTTCTGAGGTGACTAAAATTGAATATCCAAAGCCTGATGGAAAGATTAGTTTTGACTTATTGACAAATCTTGCTCGTTCCGGAACTAACCATAATCACGATCAGCCAGCTCATTTGAAGCTGAAGGATGAAGCAATTCCTGTCAATGTTAATCTTAAAGTTTATGGCGGCCCTGAGCAATACTTTTGTCCTGCTCGAGTTTATGAGTTTATTCCAGATCAAGCAGGTAATCCAAAGTTGAAAATCAATGCTCAAAATTGTTTGCATTGCAAGGCATGTGATATTAAGGATCCTAAACAGAACATTAACTGGACTGTACCAGAAGGCGGAGGTGGACCATCATACTTGGTCATGTAATTTTGTTTGTCATTAGCGTTTGATGCTTGCGCTACTTATTTGTAGAGATGGCAATTATTAAATGTTTTGGATGTTGTTATTTAAACTCTTTTGTCTTGATTGAACGCTGTAGACGAAGATAAGCTTTGAGAACATTAACGCTTTTACCTCCAAGAAACGAATTTGAGGGTGTTGTCTCACTCTTGTCACAACAATTTGCCAGTCCCGAATTGCGCTGCTGGTTCCTCTCTTGATAAAGCAACTGAATAGTTTCAATCATGCTCAAGCAAGAGGATGCCTCCACTGCACAAATGAACTTTTACACCCTTTCATTTAACATACCTTTCTGCCCCAATATCAAAGAACATTCATATTTCTCACAAAATAATTCATATATTTTCTCAAGATCTGTCTGAGATAAATCCCGTAATTGTTTGCTGCGGGGCCCGTTTCTGAGATCGAGGATGACCTCTATCATCATTTGATAGCCGAGCATGGCGTTGAAATGGTAATTGCATTCTTTACATTTGGAACAGTATTGACGAAGGAGTTGAAGAAACATCTCTTTTTTTGTCTCATCACTTTGAAACTCCTTCTCAACTCTTTCTATTTCTTCCCGAAATAGTGCAAATGCTTTGTTATCGTGTCCATTCCTGAAATAGGCGTCTATTTTGAACCTATAAAGATCATTCGAGCCATTAGAACTTGAATGAAGTCTCTGAAAAACGTTCTCAATCTGCTCCTCATTCAATGTACCTGACAGAATCAACTGCAACAACACCTCCTCGGATGTTTCCATTTTTTAAGGCTAGAAGTCAATTATTTGGGTGATGGAGCTACTCCAATGTATCAAGCTGAGAGGTTGACTTTGAGAAATTGCAATAAGGCTTTGGAAACCAGTAACAAATCTTGAAGTCCAGCATTCTACAACCTCCGTGGTCGTCATGAGGATTTTACTTTCAACAACGAAGACAACTAGTCTGTTCTTGCCAGGAATGTGGCAGGAATTGAGTTTCGCAAATGAATCTATTTTTGGCCTTAAAACAACACAATAAAAAATGAGTATTCTTGAGTACAACGGTGGTGGTGTAGTGGCCATGACAGGGAAGAATTGTGTAGCGATTGCTGCCGACACTAGATACGGTATCAGACAACAAACTGTGGGCACTGATATGCAAAAGGCTTTCAAGATCCATGACAAGTGCTTCATAGGAATGACCGGATTAGCTACTGATATCCAAACATTTCATGAAAAATTGAAATTTAGAATGAATCTGTATAATCTTAAAGAAGAGAGACTCATCAAGCCAAGCAGCTTGTCTAATCTTGTTTCGAATATGCTTTATGAAAAGAGGTAGGTGTACTACTGATCAGTGATTCCAGACGACGAATTCTGAAAATAATCACAACAATTATTGAAAAATTTATTAGATTCGGACCATGGTTCATTGAACCAGTAATTGCTGGCCTTGAAGGAGACGAGAATAAGCCATTTATTTGTGCACAAGATTTGATTGGTGCTCCTTGTTATACAGACAATTTTGTGGTCTCTGGTACTTGTAGTGAAGCACTTTACGGAATGTGTGAATCGTTGTACAGGCCAGATATGGAGCCAGATGATCTTTTTGAAGTAGTTTCTCAATGTCTTTTGGCAGCTGTTGACAGAGATTGTATTTCCGGTTGGGGTGCAGTTGTTCATGTCATTACACCTGACAAGATTATCACCAAGAGGTTAAAGGTGAGACAAGATTAAATATCTATTGTAATAACTCTACTTTTGTTATTTGTAAATTAAATATTAAAATAATAATAATTTGTTAATTCAGTGTCACTCCGGATAACACCAAATTACAAAAAATGCTCAAACACCGTTGGCTGCTGTCATTGCTTGTGACATCACTCGTTATTACCGTGATGGTGATTGGGGTAATGGCTGATGAAACCACTCACAGAGTATGTACAACAATTTTTTAATGAATATATACTCTAGCGTATACTGATTCATCATCTTCCGATTTTTGTTGTGTAGTATGAAGTTGGAGAATCGGTTACTTTATGGGCAAATCATGTTGGACCACACTATAACCCGTTAGAAACATATCCATATTATGAATCACATGTTCCTGTTTGCAAACCAAATGATCCTACAAGGGGTGAATTTAAATTGGAATATAAATCACTGTCGCTTGGAGAGGCTCTGCAAGGACAAGACCTTGTAAAAGTCTACGGAATTGAAACGATATTCAGAAGTAAGTGTTTCTCTATATCAGGAAATTTCGGTTGAATCTTGTTGTTTTGCTAATGCCTTTTCATCATTATTGCCAAAATTTGAATTTATATTAATAATTGAAAAGAGAATACTCCGATTACACGTCTATGCAAAATGCCATTAACTCAGAAGGAAATACAACAATACATTTATGCTATCGACAATCAATATTGGTATCAATATTATCTAGATGGTAGGTAGCTAGTGTTTTTTGAAGAGTATGTTGCAACAACACACCATTCTTTCAATGTTCGGAATTAGATCTTCCAATGTGGGCCATGATTGGAGGCTATGCACTCACAAAGAAAGGCGACAAGATTGAAAAAGTTCCTTTTGTTTATACTCATCAACTATTTCAAATTGAGTGGAATGAAGATCGAATTATTAGCGTAAATTTAACAACATCAAGAAGAAAGCCATTATTAGAAAACACAAACGAAATTAGTTTTACCTACGAAGTAGTTTGGAATCAAAATACTAAGCTTCCTTTTGAGCAACGTTTTGAGTTATATCTCGAGCAAAATTTCTTCCAACACAAGATTCACTGGTTTTCCATTATTAACAGTTTTATGATGGTTTTGTTTTTGAGTGCAGTTGTTTTCATGATTTTAATTAGAACTTTGCACAAGGACTTGGCTGCCCTTGAAAAACATGCAAAATCAAAACTTGGAGGAGACATCGAAGTAGGAAATGAAAGTGACAGTGAATTCGATATTATTGGAAGTGGAGACTCATCTGACAGTGGCCCATGGAAAATGTTACATGGAGATGTTTTCCGCAAGCCAACAAATCTCACTTTGTTGTGTGCAGTGTTGGGTACTGGTTTTCACTTGCTCTTTTTGGCTCTATTTTTGATTATTCTCTCCATTGCCAATACATGGCATGATACTCGTGGCGCTTTATTGAGAGCATTTGTCATCATGTATTGTGTGACTAGTTTTATTGGAGGATATTTCAGTGGTCATTTCTATTTGAAATGGAAAGGAACTGGAGATCGATGGATTAGAACTGCTCTTTGGACAGCTTGCATTTTCCCATTTACCGTATTTTTGGTATCCCTATTGTTGAACTTTTTGGCTGTTTCTTATAATGCTCTCATTGCTATGCCATTTACAACCATGCTCACAGTATTTGTTATGTGGCTATTTATTACTTTACCATTAACATTTGTTGGTACCATTGTTGGTAGAAATTTCCCATCCAAGACTGGACCAAAACCTCATAATTTCCCATGTCAAGTCAATCAGTTCCCAAGACCAATTCCTTCAAAACCATGGTATTTGAGTCCTTTGAGCATGTTTTTGTTTGGAGGAATTTTGCCATTTGGTAGTATTTTTATTGAGCTCTATTTTGTCTTTACTTCATTCTGGAATTATAAGTTTTACTATGTATATGGATTTTTACTTTTGGTATTCCTCATTCTGATTGTGGTGATTGCTTGCGTTTCAATTGTCACTACATTCTTCTTATTGAATTCTGAAGATTGGAAGTGGGTGTGGCATTGTGTGCTGGTTGGAACAAGTACTGGCTTTTATGTATTCCTCTACTCGATTTACTTTTTGAACACAAAAACAAGAATGCGAGGTCTATTCCAACTCGTATTCTACTACGGTATTACGTTCATGTTCTGTGCTGGTCTCTCATTTATGTGTGCAGCCATTGCTTTTGCCGCCACCTATAACTTTGTCAAGCGAATCTACAAGGACATCAAGGTGGATTAATCTCTCTAAGCATCGCCTTCACAAAAGCTCAAGAAAAAAGTTTCAAAGTTTAATAAATTAAATATTTAATGTAACGTGACAACTGATGTTGGAGTATAATTCCAAGTTCAAGCACAATATCATCATCAACCACGTCAAAATTTGTGCTCGTGTTGTGGGTGCACTGAGAGAATATAAATTTCGCTTATTGTTTGTTGTTTCTTCTTCTTCTGATATAACCCATACCGATCAAAACACCGAAGAGAATCAACAAAACCAATACAATGATTGCAATAACATCACCTGCACCGACCATCTAAAAAGTCAATCACGATTTTTAAAAGATTATTATTGGAAGGTGTTGAGCGTTCAATAACAAATTTTACATGATAATAACAATTCATGGTCATTGAATTTCATCAACACATTCGTCCGATGATGATTCACAACAAAACGAAAATCAATCTGACCCATCACGTACCTTGAGAGAAGATATTTTTTTTGAGAGTTTGGGTTCGGTTCAACAGCAGCAACTTTCGAATCTGCAAAAAAATCTAGTGTTGTGAATTAGAAGAGAGTGTAGACACGCGTTTTAATTTCAAGTGTGTCAATTACATTACATTGTGAATGTCTGAGAAATAAGGATCCTTGATCACATCTCCGGCTGAGGGTCGTTTTGAACTACTCTTCTCCAACATGCTAACCACAATTTCTATCAATTCTTTGGAATAGATTCCTGGCTCGCTTAATTTGTTTCTCAAGAATTCTTTGGCGTCGCATTCTTCATCAAAATACAAGTGACTAATCGAAGTAACAACATCCTTGGTCATTATTTGGTAAATGGCAACACCCAATGAATAGACATCCGTGTTGAAACTATATTTACCTCCAAGACCCAACTCTGGAGACATGAATAATGGTGTTCCAGCATAGGAATTATTGGTTGATCCTTGATTCGCTCTTGCAAGTCCAAAATCTGCAAGAATGACATGAACATGATCTTGACTCATCTTGTCAATAAATATATTACTTGGTTTCACATCTCTGTGAATCATTTTGAGATTGGTGTGAACAAAATTCAAAGCATCACACATTTGATAAATAATGTGTTTCACAATTGATTCAGGACATTCTACGTTTGGAGCTGTCAATTTCGATAAATCTCCATTTTCATAATAATCCATATCTATACAAAGGACTTGATCCTTATCTACAAAGAAATCATTCACTTTCAGAATGTTAGGATGATTCAAATTCATAAGTTGAGCTCCTTCTTTCATGGCTGTGTTCAATTCAGCAAGTGAGTTGAATTTTACCACTTTGAGAGCTTTGGGTTTACCTGCCAATTTCGAATCATTTCCTCGAAAAACAGATCCAAAAGCACCTCTTCCAATTCGAACTAAATTAGTATATCTGGACATTGGATCCATAACAGAGGAAGAGGAAGAATTGGTGTGAGTTCCATTCGAAGAATTCAATGAATCCATAATTCCATAATTTCCTGTAATGGTGCTGAAATGCATACTGGCTTCTGAAGGAAAATCTGAAACTTCAGAATTGGTTTTTAGATTTTCATTCATAATGAATGCCATTTGAGAGGATGAGGAGGATTGCATTGCTTTGGATTCTGTTGCAAGTTGACCAGCACCGATCGAACTGTTGTTTTGGTTATTATTACTATTGCTGTTGAACAATTCAGAGCTACTACTACTACTAGTAGTACCTTGTTGAATATTCATTTCGAGATCAATCAAATGACTCTGAGTATTGGCCACATGAGAATTTTCATTTCGATCTGTTGTGGATGGATTCTTCTTGTGACTTGTCTTTTTCTTTTTGAAAAACAAGACACACATAATAATAGCAATCAACACCACAAGTACAATGATAATGACCAATGGAACGGTCACTCCAACTGCAATGGCTGTTGTTGTTGCTGCTGCTGCTGCATCTGCATTTTGTTGTGGATTAAGAATGGTGTTTTGACATTGATCTCCACTGTATCCTGTTTGACAAGTACAATTATTCACAGACGAGCATGAACCTTTTCCATTACAGACATTCTTGGTGTCATTGGACCATAAACCATAACAGGAAGTGAGTTCACATTGATTTCCTCCATAATTGGTTTCACAAAAACATGTATCTTGGGAGAAACATCGTCCATGACGAGAGCAAGCAAGAGCAGAATTTGATGGAATTCCAAAACATGATGGAATTTGTACAGATTCACATTGAGAACCTGTACGTCCAGAAGTGCAATTACATTGATCGATTCCAATACAGTTTCCATATCCAGAACATACTCCTGCATCGTTGGACAATCGACCATAACAAGTAAAATAGGAACACGTCAGTCCAGTATATCCATACGAACAATTACATTGATTATACGAGAGACATTGACCATGTCCAGAGCATACACTAGGACTCAATGAGGACACGGTATAACATGAATAGACTTCACATTGAGTTCCAGAATAGTTACTATTTTTACAAGTACACGTGTCAGGTGCTGTGCAATTTCCATGCTTGGAACAAACATTGCTTTGATTTGCTAAAATTCCAAAACATATTGGAATGTCACATTTAAGGCCAGTATATCCTGCATGGCATGAACAATTGTCATTTCCGACACAATTTCCATGTCCTGAACAAACCGATGAGGAACTTCCAGTATCTCCATAACATGTATAAGGAGATGGAACAAATGGTGCATTTTCACACTTATTTCCAGTGTATCCATTCGTACAATTGCATTGATCCAATCCAAGACAAGTACCTTGTGAAGAGCAAACACTTGAAGAGGATTTTAGACTTCCAAAACATGTCCATTCTTCACAATATCTTCCGAAATAACCTGGCTTACATTGACAATAATCTTGTGTGATACACTTGCCATTACCTGAACAGACAGATGTATCGGAATTGAGAATTCTGTTACAGAATGGTCCATTGTCAGCAATGACAGCATAACTTCCGAGTTGACTCACAGCAATTTCAGTAATTCGATCTGAACCTGAGAGAGTCCAAGAATTGATGAGATAGGGACCATAAATGTCTGAATTATTTCCAGTTGCTAGATTTCCAAATCGATTATCTCCAATGGCATAAATATTGTTACTGTCAGAGAGAATTAAAGCAAAATCACCTGCACCAGCAATTTTACGAATATTTGATCCAAAATAATAAATATCTGACAAGACAATACTGGGACATGTTTGTGGTCCTGTGTAATAACGTCCAAGATATTCATACTTGTTTCCATATAGCTGTGAAATGTATGTCACCAAGTGTGTGTGATTATAAGATGATTGATGTGTGAAGATGTTGATGAAAGGAATAAATGATTCATTGGTGTTAAGGTATGTGTGTAAATGACTCGTCGTGTGAAAAATTACAAACTTACAATAATCTTTGAAGTATTAGTCAACATAAAGACATGAGAAGATGCAACTACAATATCCACAATATGATCTCCTGCACTCAATGGAATATTCGTTAATTGAGTAAACGTTGGATATTCAAAACACATGTACAGTAAGCCAGTGAGATAGACACTCGAATCAGAGGTCAATGCCACACTAAATTGATGTCCTGCTACAACTTTGACAATGGATTTTCCTCCAAATACATTCAAATTCACAGAAATTGGAGTCGTTGAATTTGCTCCAGCAGCCACTCCCATTTGATTGAAATTATTGTAACCAAATGCATAGAGATATTGCTTTTCAGAGTCTTGACAAAGCAAAAAAGCTTGATCATAATGTGTCAATTGTTTTAAACCTTTTCGACAAGGAGTTGGCATCTGAACTTGGACTGGAATGGTCACGTAACCTCGAAAGGTGGATGCACCATCTCCCAGTCCTCCATTCGAACTATCTCCCCAAGAATACAAGATGTAATTTTGTGCTGCATCTTTGGTTACAGCAATACTCACTCTTGAAGATGTAACCACATACAAGATATTTCCAAACGAATTATATAAATGTAATGGAACTGGACTTTCCTGAATGGGATAATTCACATTTTGTGTCGAGTACGAGGGAAGATATCTTTCATCACCCATTCCCAATAATTCAAAAGATGATGTACTTGTAATATCCGTTGTAGCTAACAGATATTGTGAATAATAGCCAGATCCTTCACTCAATTTCAAATATTGATATGAGAGAGTCAGATTCACAATATTCTTGGGTGTTAATACATTAGAGGGAGAGGCACTACGAATTCCCATTTCAACACCGAGAGTGCCAAACATGTCATTGCCCCAAGCAAAGGGTCTTGTTGAAAGAGCATGTGCAGTTCCAATCATTGTGGAAATGAGAGAAATCCATAAACCAATGATGAATGGAGTGAATATGAAGAAGACGAGTTGTCGTACCAATGTCATGGAAGACTTGTTGTTGTTGTTTTGAATGGTTTTGTGTCTTATCGATGAATGGTCATGACTGAATAGTGCACTATTCAGAGAAGGAAGAGGAATAGGGATTCTTGGGATAGCATTCCTCAGTAGCAGCAGTGGCTTCATCTTGTTGTTGTTGTGGTTGTTGGTTGTTACTTGTTTTTTGGTTGTAACCCTGGTAGTACAAAAACTGTCTTTCAAAAGTGAAATACGAACTCGGTGTGTCCTCAACTATTTAGTGATGATGTTTTTAGCCTATTTGTATGAAATCAGTGATGACGAGAAAACGGTACGAGAGTGTTCAGAGTAAGTTGAATGATGGTTCCTCTGAAAAGTTCACGACAATTTTTGAAACCAAACGGTGATGTTTCTTGTTGTTTTTTGTGTGGAACAGCACTGTTGACAGTGATATCACAGTTGACAGGTCAAGTTCATGTGCACTCAAGAAAATTTTGTTACCAGGTGCCTATTTAAGACCCAACTCAGACAAAACAACAAGGAT